AAAGCTAAGGCCTCCGAAGCTTGATGGGGAAGAGAGTGCACCCACACATAATAATCCTCAAATTGATGACCTAGTCTTGGAAGAAGATAAGCTACGAAATTCCTTTAACGCAAAACGTGATGAAAGCTTAGGTGTTCAAACTGATCTTGCACAGAGGAAATGCTCTGGCAATCTCGTTCCACCCTGGCCAACTTGAAACCTTTAGAAATTAGATATTGCAAATCTATCAATAAAGCATAAACTTCAGCAACCAGAAGGGAGCTTGAACCAAAGTTACAAGCCCCAACGTAATTAGTAACTAGTAGTAGCATCTCAAAATGCATTGATACTGTTACTATTAGTAGCGTGTGACTTATATTTTAGTTTGTTGAGGTACTTTTCTAATATGAATACAACACGTGGGTCAAGTCCAATAAACCCATTCATGAAGCACCAAAGCAAGAATGAATATGTGGATGAGGTTTAATTAATCGTCATATATCTAACTCAACATAAGTCGTCACTTTCTTAATCGTCATTTCGTCTATTAATTATATATAATTATTAAATTGTCACTTCAACTTTTTCTATAGACAATTTGGCAAATTCAGTTTTCAGACCGACAAATATATTATATATACAAAATTAAGCTTTCAGTGATGTAGGGTAGAAGGATTTTCCACTTGGGTGGAGATTTCAACTTCCACTTGAATAGTTGGCGTTGAAATTACAGCTACTGTAAGTTAATTTAATGGCGTAATGACATGAAACTCTCCAGTCGAGACTAATCTTTAGTGCCTCCATACTGTGTCACATTATATCTATAAGGGATAAATTTTTATAGTTTCTTAGATGTAAATAAAATTCTATTTATTTTCTTAAAGAGAAAGATTGATGTTTAAATATATGAGGTATGTTCCGCCCTTGCATATTTAAGGACTCCGAATCTCTGCATTTAGATAGTATGCATTTATCCTTATTTCATAAAATCTCAAGGATTCAAATCATCTAACGATTTAAAACAAGCCAAATAAGCTAAATATGTTTTTTTGCTTTAGTAACGATAACGGCATTCGTTACTCCTTGTTTTCTCCTCATAACCAACTTCATTGTCACTCTCAATATTTTTCCTTTCTTTTTCTAATGAATAATCAGAAATTCCCAACTTTATCATGAGAAACACCAACCCATTTCAAATTACCAAGCCTGCTTCTCAACCGACTCTGTAATTTACACAAATAGAAGGCCACTTCCGCAATACCAATCTTATAATAATCCTCCTGATCTCAAATTGGAAGATCTGCTAAGGGATTGGGTGAGGGGATCTACCATCATACAAAAAAAGAATATATGAGTGAAATTAAAAATAAATAAATAAATTCAATTTTATAATGAAATGAAATTGGGGATATGGAGGAGGATGGAAGTATTGGGCGGTGGCCATGGAAGCTGATGACAAGCAATCATGAGGAGGATGAACATGAATAGAAATTAGATGTGGCTTGAAAGGAGGAAATCTGGTAAGTGCTGGAAGATGGATGCATAGTCCTTAATGGAGTTATAATTATGATGAGGATTATGGATATTGGGGTTGAGAGACGGAGGGATTGTTACCGTCAATTTTCAAAGAAAATTACAAATCTATCTTGTAACTGATGTGACTTGCTTTAAGTTGTTAGATGATTTGAATGTTTGAGATTTTATGAAATGCGGATAAATGTATATTCTCTATGCATAGGCTCAGGATCCCATATCTAACTACTGTTAAATTCAGAGAGACGGGCCTACGGCCCACTACTAACAACACCAATATTGTTCCTAACTTAATCACCCACAAAGCCCAGTAGGTGTGTGGTTTTATCACAAAATGCCTCGATATTATTAGTAGTAGAACCATTCATTATATTTTGTATTTTATTTAGTAAAGTTTCCGATGTGGGACTCATATTCTTTAACACGCCCCCTCACGTGGGACTACCACATAGTGGATCACACGTGGAGCTAAGTCCACATCGGAGTCAATCATTCAAGCCCAACACGTGAGCACCATGTATTGGGTAAATAGTAAGGGTAAACATTCAGGTCCAACATGTGAACACCACGTATTGGGTAAAGGTAGAGGCCCAATTCAGGCCCAGTCAATCAACCAGCTCTGATACCATGTCAAAAATAATTAGGGTTTAAACTGATATGTTTATTCTTCTCTCAAGGAGAGTGGGTAGAAATAGGCAAATATATTTATGTTTCCACAAATTAATACATTATATATAAAAAGGAATAAAATGATTAATGATTCAACAACATTCATATAATGTCACAACAAATTCATTAAAAATGAATAAAATTACACAGTTATGTGAGGGATAAGTAAGCAGCAGCCAACCAACATTTTAATCATCAGTACTGATGCCACAAACAAGTATGATTATATTTGGAAATTTGAGATTTAATTTATAAAAGAGTGCTACTAAACCAACCATAAAATTAATTGAATACACCATATTACCAAATTATTTATTGAATTACATATAAAATGACCAAAAGGAATATATTTAATTGTGAAACAAATGTAATTTTAATAAGTACACCCTACTCACCATCTTCAACTATAATCAAAGAAATGTTTTCACATATTGATTCCAGTATGCAACTAATAAAAGAAAAAAAAACCAAAAAAAAATAAAATAAAAGAAACCCCACCACCTTGGCTTCATTTATACTTAACTTCAAGAGAGGGCAACATTCATCTTTCATGAGAACACACCCAGGGAAGTCAAAGAGCACGATGACATGAATTTGGCTTATATAAGTAGGAAAGCTATTTGATTGATCAAGATGGAAATGACATTGTCTTGGATTTAGTTGACATGATGAATAAAAGCATATAAGTGCTAAGCCCACTTGATGTACGATGGTCAAGATGATAATCTGGGGGTACGGCAAAGGGTTGGGTACCTTGATAAATTTTTGAGGCCTTGGGTCTGGGGCTGGTTACAAAGGGATGTGTGGGAGGGAAGGTGTAGAACTTGGAGATGAGTGGTGGTGGAGGAAGGAATGGGCGGGCCGCGGGTGGGAGTTGGGTGTGGAGGTGGTTGTGGGATGAGAGGGAGAGTGGGGGACTGGGTAGGTTCTTTAATATTTTAGTTTTATGAATAAATATTTTCAATTATTTTATTTGTATAGGGTATGGATATTTTTGGTAGTTAAATAGGGTGTATTTAGTTAATTTTATATTTTAATTTAAATATTATGGTGTACTCAATTAATTTTAGGGTTCGTTTAGCAACACTCTTTAAAAAATTATAAAGCAAGCATATATATATATACATCTCTATATATAAAGCAAAAGGTAGATAATGGTGAAACATTCAAAATATTAGAAAATACCCTTTGTTAATACAAACATTAAAAATTAAAATTATTAATTATATGAAAATAATATGGTAAATTCACACTTTTTCATATTAAAAAATAATTAAAATAAAAAAAAATCAGATAATGAATCCTATTTTTATAAAACACAACTACCCATTATATTTTTATATTCTAAAATAAATAAAATCAATTTAAAAAATCAATTAACACGCGTATGATATGAGCATTATTATGTTGAAATAAAATTTACAAGAATATATAAAAGAAAAGGCACATACGCGCGTGAAAGCCAAGGTACGTACTCTTTATTGGCCACTTTACCATTATATATAGTTGGTGGCCTGTAGTGTAGGCTTGTTTTGTGTACTTATTTTTCACGTGACATATAGAATGGGGGTTAGGTTCATCGAATCATAGAGGTTTTTCTGATCCGATCAGCCCTCATATATATCTGCACTAACGAAAATGCTAATAACTGTCAACAAATCCATAATGAGTAGTGTATTAATTCATGTACCAAGCGAATGGCCTTCTGCCATATACGAACACTGAATAGGTCAATTCAATTACAATTATGAAAATAGAAAAGTCGACAATTAAATAAATTCTTACTGCTGGTAATGGTGTAAACTGCAACTTGTTGACCCCTGATGTGTTCGTATAGTACCACTCAATAATGTAATTTATTTTTTATAAATTACTTATTTTATATTTTTTGAATATATTGATGTTCAGTCCCCTTCTATTGAGGGATTCCTAAATACTTTTACGAAAAAGCTTGGTTTCTCCTTACAACCAATGTGGTTTTTACACGTGTCAAATTATTTTAATATCATTGATTGGTCAAATGATTTCGGATTCAAGTAATTTTTTACAGAGATAATCTTTGAATGAATATCTATAAAATAGATGGTTCGAATTAATACAATACAATGCGGAATAGATGCTACAAAAGTCTCCTTAAACTAATGTTCTCTGTATTAATGTCATTACATCGAACAAAATTAAAGAATTATTTAACAGAGAGAAAAATAGGCCCTGTGTGGCGTTGACAAGGGGGAATATTTAAGAATAAACTATGATACATGTGGGCTTTATATACCGCCTCTCCATGCTGAGATTGCCCCATCAAAGACGCAAAGCTTATCTCGTGAAGCTTTTCTCTGCTTCCTTTTTCTTCCCCTTTATATCCTCCCTTTAATTTCCCTACCCTTTTGGCATTCTTCAATACACTCCCTCTTTCTAATGCCCACCTTAACCACCACTACAACCTGATCAAATCCTTGTGATTCTTTTGGGGCGGGCTTCATCCATATTTTTCCTTATTTTGGGGCTAGGCAGTCCCTCTTTTGCATGATCCATTTGTTTTTGTTCATTGAGAAAGTATGAGTAACACAATGATCCCAAGAGTGAAGGTCATGGTTTATTTGGTCTACGACCGGGGTTAAACTGGATCCGACCCGTTCACAACTTTTTTGTGTGCCCTTTATTATTTTGTTCATAATACAAGTAGTAGAATCAGATTTCTCCTTGCAATTAAATTCATGGAAGAGGGTGGTGTTGTGTGTGGTTTTTAAACCCAACATCCATATTCCATATATATCTTCTCTTTCTGTATTCATTGTAATTTCCAGTCATCTTTGGATATGATGAAGGAAAAGGGTAAGAAGGGCTTGATAGTCAAAACCTGGGAGCGATGCAAATCAATAGGCCGTGGCCGCAACATGACTACTACTACTACTATGGTGCCTGCTCTGACAATCAAGAGCAGGTCCTGCCCACATATCAACCTCGGGGTCCCCGAAAGGGAAGAGAAGCGCACCAGCAGGCGCCAAGTGGCTCCCGAGGGCTGCTTCTCCGTCTACGTGGGACCCCAAAAGCAAAGGTTCGTGGTGAAAACCGAATATGCAAACCATCCTCTCTTCAAGATGCTACTTGAAGAAGCTGAGTCGGAATTCGGGTACGACAGCCAAGGTCCACTTGTGCTGCCTTGTAACGTTGAAGTGTTCTACAAGGTGCTGATGGAAATGGACGATTGTGGTAACCCAAAGGTTCCTCAAGGGTGTGGCTTGGCTAAGCGTTATGGCTCTTACCATCTTCTTAGCCCGTCTCGGATGGTTGCTATAAATCAGTTCTGATTATAATGTGTATTAATTTACAAAGACTTGGTGTAGCTTGCTTGGGTTGTATGTATTTGCGTTTGAAATAATAAATTTTGTGGGATTTAAGTTTTCTTCAGTCTGTCAAGAACCTTGCTGTAATATAGCGGTTGGTATAAATTTTTGTTTTTGTATTTTGAGCTTTTAGATTCCATCTCAATCATCATGCTGCTTGCAATATGAAGCATAAATTATCATATGCAAATTAGGGGTAATTAAGAAATTGAGGAGACTATATATATATATATATAATAGCTAGATATAGGTTTCTTGATAATGTTACAAATAATAGGGATTAGGAAGAAGTCGGTAGCAACTTGCAAACAAGGGGCTAATAGATGCTAAAAGTAATTATGTCATCTTCTTGTATGATATGATTTGATGAAAAGGGGAAAGATAAGATCACGAATATTTTAGGGACCAAGCTATACCTGGGATATGAAGAGGGCTGAACCCTACGTTAATTGACCCCTCGCTACAGTCCAAATGATTCATTACAACTTAATATTATCAAGACACAGACTGTTTTTGTAATTCGATTAGCCACCTTAAGGTCGGTAATACATAGGCGGCCTGGCTGATAGTTATACTTTATTATCTTTCTTTTGCTAAGCTCAGCAGTTTATGAAGGAACCAGGTAAATGAAGTTCTGGTGTGGGTCGGAGAGAAACTTTGGGGGTTAGCGGTGGGATCAGCCGCCACTTGTTATGTTCAAGAGGAGAATTTGTTTAGTGTAACAGTCAAATGGTCACGTAGTATTATTGATTCACGTATTATAATATAAATAAATGACATGATTGATATTTCAATCACCTAAATATAATATTAGTTGATTGCATGCCGTTCCTCTTCTTTAATCAATATAGTTACGCCACTAGTTTTTCTTCTTTTTTACTTTCATTTAATTATTAGTTTTTATACGTGATTGGTGTGATGAATGCGTGAGAGAGAGGATGGAAGAAATGGGAATATCATTTACAGTTTGTCTAATCGTATGTGTTTGTTTAATTGTATATAATCATTATTTACAGTTGGTAATTGGTTATATATAACTTGGGTTGGGTATGAACTCAGCAAATTGGAAGGGTTTTAATTAACAATCTCGTTGAATATTTGTGTTTAATTTTAATTAAGTTGGAGAAAAGTTTGTCTTAATTCTTAATCAGCAATAATAGCTAGCTAATGAACCCACTTCACAGTTCTCACACCATTGATAATACGTGTATACTACAATCCCATATTCATTATGTCACCACCACGCATGCCATTCATCAAAGTTGACATTAGACTTTTCTTTATTTATTTTTCTTTTTATTCTTCTTCTCATTTTGTTTGGTTGTGCCAGAATACTTGGTTCTGTCCTGGTGGAGTTGGTAAACCCATTTCTTTAGTAACAATAATGCTTTTGTTTTTTGGTTTTTTTGGTGGTTCAAAACAAACATTTTTAATTTACTCACTCTATAGTTTGTCAGCCGAAAAATAATAATAATAAAATAAAATAGACAACTAAGGTCCGTTTGATAATATTTTCAATTTTAGTTCTTGAGTTTTCATTTTTTTTGCACTAAAGTATAGATGAAAATGAGAATGATAATGAGAGTTAGGATGAGATTGAAAGAGGGGGTGAGATGGGAGGATGGTAGAGAGGACTAACAAAAGTGAAAACAATTTAAAATATATTTCAGTTTTTAGTTTTTGTTTTCACTTTTGTTACTTCTCCATCTTATCCTCCCCTCTCATGTTCCCTCTCAATCCAATCTTCACTCTTCGCTCTTATTCTCACTTCTATTCTCCCTCTTTTTCGTCTATTCTCTAGCACAAAAAATAAAATAAAAATGGTTATCAAACCCTACAGTTTTATTTTATGTATTCCTTTGCTTCCAGAGAATTGACATTTGATGCTCTACTCGACCGGGTACTGTTCTATCCGTTCACTAAATTGATATGGATATTTTTTTTATTTGTTTGTAGGGTAGAAGTCCAAAGATAGGAAATTGACTAGTTGCCAAAAGCAAACGTCCCAAAACAGCTTAATTTCATTGGAGGACATTTATCAAGCGGTAAGATGCGTGGAGTGCTTGGTCTAATATGTTTATACTCTGAACAATTCAAAACACAATGTACAACAAAAATTCTCTATAGATGAAGATATACACATATACAAGGCCTATTGACACACGTATAAGGGTAGGTAGAGAGGGTAGTTGTAAATACAATTGACAAATATTATTCTTCGAAGATAGATTATGGATAAATTATTGAGCGATCAAGGGAATAAAATATGGAAGGAGCAAGTGATTCAGCCAAGACTTCCATACAAGACCGAAGACGCCATACTTTCTTTGGTTTTGAATAAAACATCTTTTCCAATAAAAAAAGGGGAAAACAAAAAAGATGACGGGTAACAACAGAGAGGGATAAGAGCCCAACGAGAGAAAGGGGCCCAAATAGACGAGCAGCCCAACAAAAAAAGAGCGAAAGCTACCGGGAAAGGGCAGCAAACCAGCAGCCAGGCCTTACCAAACAGTAACGGCAACAAACCAAAACCAGGGCAACCAGCAGCAAACATTCAAGTCATTATGAAAATGATTTACACAAAAAATATATGAAATTGAAAGAGCTAATATTGGCATTTGTTTAATAATAATAATATAAATTCCTTTCAGCTTTTAGCAATTGGGAAGAAAAAGGTGCAAATTTTCCTATACAGATGAGATTAAACGAATTAAAAATATGGAGCCTGCGAAGGTGATCCTTCCCTTTCAATTGAAGTCTACTTTGACATTTGCAACAAAATCGCAGACTTCATAGACGAAGCCTTCAACTTCAATTCGAAAAGCGCCGTAAGAAATCCACAAGTATAAGGAGGGCGGATAAGATTGAGAAAGCGATGGAGGCGCAGCGGACCAAATCAGTTGCAGTAACTATACTTCACAATGCCACAATCGTCACCATGGACCCCGACGCCCGCGTCTTCCGCAACGGTGGGGTCGTCATCGAGCGAGACGCAATCGTAGCCGTCGGTCAATCTTCCGATATTCTTCACCAGTTCTCTTCTCTCGCCCATCAGATTTTCGATCTCAACGGCCAAATCGTCCTCCCTGGTCCTCCCTCCCACTGGTTCATAATTTCCATTTTTATTTATTTTATTTTTATGATTTTTCAAAATACTGAAATAATTGAAAATGTTTAAAATAGGATTGATCAACACGCACGTGCACACATCTCAGCAGCTGGGAAGAGGGATAGCGGACGATGTGGATTTGATGACTTGGTTGCACCATCGGATTTGGCCGTACGAGTCCAATATGAGCGAGGAAGATTCATATATTTCCACTCTGCTTTGTGGCATTGAGCTCATTCACTCTGGTGTAAGCTTTCTCTTTTCTATTAGGTTTTTTAATTTTATTTTGTTTTTGTTTTTGATTTGCGACAAACTAGTGAGCTACAAATGCTGAATTTGAAGGCCTGTGATTGGTTTTCCTTGTTTGCATTTAGGTTACTTGCTTTGCAGAAGCAGGAGGGCAACATGCGTCAGGAATGGCAAGGGCAGTGGAGTTACTGGGCTTAAGGGCATGTTTGGCTGAATCCATCATGGACGCCGGTGACGGCTTGCCTGCTTCTTGGGCCGGTCGGAGCACCGATGATTGTATCCAGGTTTGAGCATATACTTCTTGACTAATGACATAACTTATATTCTAAGTTACTCGGTTTTGGTTGGTTGTGTTTAGCTGAAATTAATGTCCTCACTCACTCACTCACTGTTTAAACACTTTACAAGAAGAGCTCACTCACTCACTCACTCACTCGGCACAGTCTCAAAAAGAGCTTTACAAGAAGCACCATAATACAGGAGATGGGCGCATCAGAGTGTGGTTAGGAATTAGGCAAATTATGAATGCAACTGATGGATTACTACTTGCAACAAGAGATACTGCCAAAGAACTGAAAACTGGCATTCACATGGTACTGCTCATTTATCTCTGTACATTCTAGGATACATTATGGTTGATGTTGAAATTTAACATTTACTAAACTCATGTTTCCAATGCTTAGCATGTTGCAGAGATAGCATATGAGAATCAATTTGTGACAGAGACGAGAAAAGTTGACCATGGAACAGTCACTCACTTGGAGAAGATACAGTTTCTTCAGGACAATTTGCTAGCGGCTCATACAGTTTGGGTTAACCCTGCTGAGGTGAGTTGCTGTTTCTATTCCTGTGTTGAACTAATGCAAATTTGGTAGAACTCATCAAATGGTTTTTCTTGTTTGTACTGTCTTACACACAAAATAAGAGTAGGATGAGGCTTGTGTTTGTCTAACAGTAAGACATTATGAGTTTTCAAGCCTGTGAAGTGTTATTTATGCTATTATATTGGTTAAAATCTTGTTCTTATATTGTAAATTGGTATGTAACTCTTATTCTGTATGTTTAGATTGATTGTCTTTCAAGGGGCGGGGTCAAAGTATCTCACTGCCCCGCTGCTGCAATGCGAATGCTTGGATTTGCACCTATTAGAGAGATGCTTGATGCTGGCATCTGTGTCTCTTTGGGAACAGATGGGGCGCCCTCAAATAATAGAATGAGCATAGGTTGATTTCCTGATTATTCTTGCACCTCTTCCTTATTTATGGGTTTGAACGTTGGAAAATTTAATGTTTGGACCTGGAATTTCATGCATGAATTTTCTTCCTTGCAGTTGATGAGATGTACCTGGCTTCTCTGATTAACAAAGGACGGGAAGTGCATACAAATGGGACAACTGATCCTACTGCTCTTCCTGCTGAAACAGTTCTCAAGCTGGCGACTATAAATGGTGCAAAATCAGTACTCTGGGATGATGAAATTGGATCCCTTGAGGTTGGGAAAAAGGTTGGACTTTTGGCTCTGTTTAGTTTCTCGTGTCTTTCTTCATCTCTCATACAACTTTCTCTTTTATTTAAGTCACAACGAATGCATTCGTTATATCCCAAGTTCCCAACAAATTAATATTTTTTAAAAGGCTGATTAGCTTCCTTATTCCATGATATGGCAGGCTGACTTGGTTGTTATCAATCCTTCCTCTTGGACCATGGTTCCTCTCCATGACAGGTAAGAACCTTCCTCAAAGGAGTGATTCTTAAAATTCATATACGAAGAAAGATCTTCTAACTGGCTTCTTACAATTTGTATCCTAGTATGTTGTGGATTATGCATGTGTCTAATATTCTTATACAGACTTTTTGACAGTTTCCATTATCATGACTCATGATCAATGGGATAGTTCAAGATTTATGGACTAATGAGTGGCCAACAGTCAGGATTACGCTTTTCTAAGTCGTTGTTTGGGTTTTCAGTTGATATGGTTCCAATTTAATAAGCGATAAATTCATAAAATTTAGCTCCATTTTTTTTCCTGCAACATACCTATTCAGGTAGATTAATGTTTTGCCAAACTACATATGCAGCATTTCCAGCCTCGTGTACTGTATGCGAACTGAAAATGTAGTGTCTGTAATGTGCAATGGTGAGTGGATTATGAAGGACAAGAAGATTCTGAATGTGGATGAGGTATTCTGTCATACTTTTCTCATATTAAACGATCAAGGTTGAATAAAGATCAATTGTGGATAGCCAAGCCCAATTTCCACACAAAATTAACTGTAAATATCAGTTAGTGAATGTGCTAGACAATAAAGTTAGCTATGTTTGCTAGTTTGGTTTATGAAATAGTATGCTAGTGATCCATATGTTACGATGCAACTGGATTTTCTGCAAGCGACTATATAAACTACAACATCTCATCTCTCACTCTTGTAACTGAACAGGAAGAAGTTCTTTCAAAGGCGAAGCATGCTTCGGCAGAACTTTTAAAACGGGCAGGCATCAAAATACCAAGCAGAATGAATTTTCTATAATGCTAGAACTGTAGAAACGGTGTTCTAATTGCTGTTCTTCCTCAAAACCAACTGTTGCATGATTTTGATATTTGATGTTATCTTCTATCAAAACCCACACAGACCTAAGGTAACGACCCATGATGTGAAAATGTCACTTGATCAAGTTCAACATTATTCCTCTAGTTTGTATTAATTATTTTCTGATCCAAAGAATTATGTGTGTAAATATATTATAAAGTTAGCAGTTGGGTTTCTTGTATTAAAATTTCCACATTTTTTTTTCTTGGGTCAGAAAATTACCACATAAGTATTTTGGATTTGTATAGGAGAAGGAGAAGGGACGAGTTTTCCAGCCTTTACATGGAAAACAAATTTCCTATTTTTTTCTTTTGGGTGAAAGAAGAAGAAAATTAATCCCCTTTGGTAAAGAGCTTCTAAGTGGCAGGGTATATATAAGAAGCACGTGATCACATGAAGTCCAAATTTCACGCGGCAAATAAGAAGAATCGAAAGAAAGCTAGAACTTACGTTCTCCAAAGCCCACTCTCTAGAATCTTACTTGAACCTTCTGGAACTTTCCCGCCCCTCCTGGACGCCGATCAAATTCCTCCTTTCTCCATAAATACCCGAAACCCCCTTCCTTCCTCATCGTCGAATTAGAAAGTTTCCTTAGAAAACTATCTTCTTCTACACTCAAAGTCGTCGTTGTAATTCGATTCTTGTCTACCCCATGGATAATTCGTACTTCAAAAGACACTTGAATAGTTTCGCGCCACACCATGGCTACTCCCCGAGCTTTCGCCAGGTCCCGTTCCAGCGCCAAGCGACGCCGTCGCCGAAGGTGGTCTCGATCCCGGTCCAATTCGTCGGGTTGGAGCGCAACCGGTCGGCCTCGGCACTGAAGATCCAGAAGGCGTTCAGAGGGTTCCTGGTGAGGAAAAGCTTGAAGAAGATCGCGGCGATCAAAGGCGACGTCGACGAGATCGAGAAGCGGATTTCGAAGAAAGAGACGGTGGAATTGATGAAGAGGGAGGCCAAGGAGCGGTTGAAGGTGAACGAGACGCTGATGAGCTTGCTGTTCAGGTTGGATTCGGTGAAGGGCGTCGACTCTGGAGTTAGGGATTTCAGGAGGACCGTGATCAAGAAGGCGATTGCTTTGCAGGAGAGAGTGGACGCTGCGATTGCTGATGATGATCATACTCTGGGTGAGGTTGGGGAAGCATCAGGGGTTGATAATGGGGAATCAATTTCTGAAACAGTTGGAGGAGCCGTGGAGGATAAAGATTCAGGGGAGGATTTTGAAGTTGGTAAAACGGCCCCAGTGGATCAAACCCAAGACTTGCAATCTGTAGCTCGTGAAGAAGATTGCAATTCAAATGCAGCCCCCAAATCTCTGAATACAACTCTGAATTTGCCATGTTTGGAACAAACTGCTGAGACAGATGGAGTAACAAATGTGAACGAGATTAGAGAAATTGTTGCAGATGAAAGTGAGAGCCAGTCTGTGTCGTCATATAATCCACAGAATTCGATGATAGAGGATGTTGAGGAAAATCCGTTGGTGAAGCAAGAGGAGGAGGAGGAAGATGGTATGGAGATTGTGAAAGCTGAAGATGAGGGAGGCAATGGCATTGGATTTGGGGTTAGAGACAGAGAGGAGAACAAGAGAAGCAGAGAGCTTCTGGAAAGGATGGTGGAGGACAATGAGAAGATGATGGGTATGATGGTGGAGCTTTTCGAGAGGAATGAGATGCAAACTCGGATGCTGAGCTCGCTGTCGCAGAGGGTGGAGCAGCTAGAGAGAGCTCTGGTGTGCGAGAGGTTGAGGAGAAGGAAGAAGAGGCAAGCAGCTGCTGCTGCTGCAGATTTCGTACCACCAGATAATAATGCAAGGAAACAATAAATTAAAACTTTTTTCTTTCTTTCTCTTTCGGTTTTGTAATTGTAAGTTGCTCGCGTTGCTCTTGGATTTGAAAATTGAATAGTTAATGTTTTTTGCTACATTGATTTTGTGAAGTTGATTGGATCAAGTTGTGATCTTGTTTTCAATTGGGACTTGTCATCTTAAACTAACGCATATGTCGTTATAAAAGAATCCAAAACAAGGCCCGGTTGACTGGGTCCTAACCCAATCCTCTGAATCCGCTCAAATTTTAAGCCTGATTATGACCACTGTTATTTTTTTTATTGTTTTACCAGAGTCCTAATATTCATTTACTTGTTTAGCAACATTTTGTGTATTGTAACGAGCTTTTTATGGCTTTAATTTAGCTTGCCACTAGAGGATTTTTACCAAATTAAATTTGAAACCATTATTTTTTGGGCTAATTACATTTTCTACTTAGGCCATCTCCAACTCAAATGAGGCTAAACCCAAATTTCTCCCCTTTAAAATACAATTATTCATGTATTGTCCAAATTCAAATAGTTTTTTTTTCCAACCATGCAAACTCATAATTTGAGTTTGCAATTTTATTAAATTGTTTAAAAAAGTTAACTCTTTTTTTTTTGGGAGTTTCACTAAAACACCCAAAATGGGGGCTGAAATTATAAAAAAACCTAACACCCAAAACCCATCATTACACACACTCAAAACTCATTTATAAACACATCCAAAAAATATACAATTGTTGATTTTGAGTGTGTTTCTATGTTTAAATAGTGCTTTAATTTTTTTATAAATACATGTCTAGGATTAGGTTTATTTATAAATTTGTTTTTTTTTCTCGACATTATTTTTGTTTCAATCTTCGTGAATTAATTTTATGATGATTTTAACCTAAAACAAATCCAAAATCCAAAATATAATATAATTTCACTTAAAAAAAAACAAATACAACAATATTTTATTTCATAGACTTTAATAAGGATTTATAGAGTTTGGAATGTGTTTTAGGGTTAGATCTGATTTAAATATATTTTTATTTATTTATTTTAGATGTTGGATTTTAATTTTAGCCGTCATTTTTTTTTTTTTTTTTTTTTTTTTTTTTTTTTTTTTTTACTTTTTAATCATTATCTAATAATGGTTTATCCACCACTAGCCTTAATTAAACAATTTGATTATATTAAATAAAAAAAATTCAAGTTGGCTGTTTGAATTGCAGCCTTTAGATGGCAACGACTACAAGCCCATCTTGCGCCACGCGTTAATAACTTTCCCTTCAAGTAGTCAACATGGCTGGCGCACCTCCTCAGTTTCGTTTGCTTTCCTTCATGTGCTGCAAGTTGCCTTCAATTTGGAGCCTACAAAATTTATGCCCGGATCAGAAAGCTGGGCCAAATACCCCCTCTTGGTTGGAGAAGGCCTCAAGTGGGTTAAGTTTGTAACATTTTGTCTAGCTATCAAGTTTATCGCTTTTTTTTAAAAAATGTTGAACTTGATGAACTTATATTTTAATGAGTAATGCTACACTTACCACATTAGTATCTCACATTTCTATATCATATGATGTGGCATGTCCATATCATATGACATATCAATTAAATGAATGAAGTGTATTTTAATAAATAAAATTAGAAAAAACAGAAATTAGTATTTTACATGATGTGGTATGTACACATCAGCCACCACATCATGTGGTATAAAAAATGTGGTAAGACTAGTATTATTCTATTTTAATTATGTAGACATATGTCAAGTTTAAATTAGAATAATACTAGTCTTACCACATTTTTTATACCACAATTTTATACCACATGATGTGGCGGTTGATGTGTACATACCACATTATGTACAATACTAGTTTATGTTTTTCTAATTTTATTTATTAAAATACACTTCATTCATTTAATTGATATGTCATATGAGATGGACATGCCACATCATGTGGTATAGAAATGTGAGATACTAATGTGGTAAGTGTTGCATTACTCTTTAAATTATTCTATATTTAGAAAGTTGAATATTCTTTAAAGAAAATCTTATTTGTTGTTCATAAAACAACTGTTAATTCACGTTCAGTTTCTCTTGCTTTCCTTCAAGTGCTGCAAGTTGCCTTCAATTTGGGGCCCGCAAAATTTTTGCCTAGATCAAAAAACTGGGCCATAACTCCCACCCACCCCCACCCCCCCCCCCCCCCCCGACCGAAAAAAAAAAAAAAAATGCCCAAAATTCAATCCCCACCCTATACATGCGTTGGGGATGAAATTGGGCCAAAATTTGAGATTTTTTAGGTTTAGCCCCCATGGTTAGAGAAGGTCTCAAGTGGGTTAAGTTTGTAACATTTTGTCTAGCTATCAAGCTCATTGCTATTTTTTTTTTTTAATGTGGAACTTGATGAACATATATTTTAATTATGTAGACATTTGTCAAGTTTAAATCGTTCTATATTCAGAAAGTTGAGTGTTCTTTAAAGAAAATCTTATTTGTTGTTCATAAAACAACTGTTAATTCACGTGCTGCAAGTTGCCTTCAATTTGGGGCCACAAAATTTTTGCCCGGATCGGAAAGCTGGCCCAAATACCCCCCCAAAAACCAGTATGCCCAAAATTCCTCCCCTCCCTATACATGCGTTGGGGATGAAATTTGGCAAAAATTTGGGATTTTTTAGGAAGCCCCCATGGTTGGAGAAGGCCTCAAGTGGGTTAAGTTCGAAACATTTTGTCTAGCTATCAAGTTTTTTGCTATTTTTTTAAATGTGGAACTTGATGAACCTATATTTTAATTATGTAGACATACGTCAAGTTTAAATTGTTCTATATTCAGAAAGTTGAGTGTTCTTTAAAGAAAATCTTATTTATTGTTCATAAAACAACTGTTAATTCGCGTTATTAATATGATGTCTATGTAGTCAAATACTAGATTGCAAAAATAATAATTGTTTTTTTAACAACAAAAATAAGATTAACTTGATAGTAAGATTGTTGACAAAGGAAACTCTTTCTCCTTGCCCAAAAACTCTAGCCGAAACCCTCCTTTTTCCTCGTTGACAACCAACTTTTTCTATGCTTGGGTGAGGTGGCCATTGCCCCTCCTCCCCCTCCCCATCTTCTCCTTTCCTCTCCTCTTCTCCCAATTTTTTCCCTCCCCTTCTTTCCACTTTCTTGGGGTCTCTTATTGGCCCTTCTCTCCCATTCCTCTTCTCTTCCCCATATCTACTTGGATCTTGAGTTTTTAACCTCGATCTGTTTGGATATAGGCATGTTTATGTGTTTGTTTTATTTGGTTGTTTTTGCAGTGGTCTAGGTGGCTGGTGTTGTCTCTGTCTCGATGACGGCGATAGTAGTGATGCTGGATTGAGGCCCAATTTGGGATTGCTGTCACTTTGAAAAAAAGTTGCTTCTGTTGCGCTTTGAAAATAATTAGTTGTAAAGTAAAGCAGCTTCATATTTGGTAAACAATATTTTTAAAGTGCTGTTAGTACTAAAAGCAGTGTAAAAAACGTTTGGTAAATTTTAATATAAAATTGTTGTAACTGTGAATAATGACTAAAATAGACATGATATTGAAAGTGTTATGTATTAATCATATGGTGATAGTGGTGGTGATGGAGTGGAGGTGATGGTGGTGATGAAGGTGGAGTTGGTGGTGGCAGTGGCAGCCTGGTGGTGGTGGCAGTGGCAGCCTGGTGGTGGTGGTGGTGGTGGTAATGGTAATTGTGGTGGTGGTGGCGGAGGATGAGGAGGAGGAGGAGGAGGAGGAGGAGGATGGGGTGGTGGCAGTGGCGATTGTGTGTGTAGGTAGTGAATGTGGTGGTGCAAGTGGTGAAGTTGGATGTGGAAGTGGAGACGGTGTCATTTTATAAAATGAATGATGGTATTTTGGAAATTAAAAAAATTCATTAAATGTTCATCTCTGCTTCTTTTGAAAGCAATTTTGAAAAGCAACCTAACCTGTTTTTAAAAGTTGCTGTCAAAAGATCAATGCTTTTAAAATAATCGGGATATTTTATTTTTACCAAACACCTTAAATTGCTTAATTTTAAAGTGAAGCAGGTTTTTGACCGAAAAAAGCAATCCCAAACGGGGCATGAGTCTCTCTTTAGGAGAGTTGTGATACCTGGTGGTTGATGTTTTGTCTATGTTTCGACGGCAGCGACATCAGCAACACTGGTGGTAGTTGTTAGGATGTGGTGGTGTGCCATCTGAGGGGTTTTGTCTTCGATTTTAGCGTCTATTTTATTGTCATTTTCCATTGTTACATTGCTCCTTTGCAGCTCGTCTCTGCTCTACGCTGCCTGACGACTTATGTTTGGTCATATGAGTTTCTTTGTCAGGTTCTGAGTTGAGTTAGGGTGCTTTTCAGGGGCCCATCTTGTTATTGTTTTTGTGCTCTCTTGAGTTTCTATCCATTGTATCTTCTTTAACCTTCTGCACCTCCCACACTTAAACTCAGAAAAAACAAAACAAAACAAAACAAAACAAAACAAAATTAGAGCAATTTAATCCCATGATAAACAAAAGTGACCCTTATCTAAAAACCCTTTTACCCATAGTTTTTGGTTTGATGGATCTACAGATCATGGGGGGCAGTGGGATTGAATTGGGTTTCTTTAGAATTATCATAGAAATTCAATTCAATTTCTTTGAAACTTGGTTATGATTGCAGAGTGGGAGTGAGATGCATCTATTTGAATGTTCCTCGAGGCCCTACCATTGAAGGGTAAAATTGGAAACTTTTGAAGCACGGGTCTTGAGGAGGTTGAAGGATTGAGCAAGCTAAGCTAGGAGAAAGAAGTTGGCTTGGAGGAAGAGAAGGAAAGAGTCCTGCGCAGAGAGAAGGAAGAAGATGCAGATAAGAGAAAAAGGAAAAATAAATCCATATACCCTGTTTTTTAAAATTATAATAACCTAGTCCCAATCCCGTCTAAATATACACTAAACATAGGACAAGTGTTATCCAGTTTAGACTACGCCAAGCCTAGCCAATCCAAGACAACCTCTAAATCTAATCTATGCCAAGATAGTCCTGCGTAACAAACCAACCTAATAATTTGTAACTTTATAATTAAAGCTCATGGGCCGAATTAGAGGTTGGGCTTGGATTGCAAATTAGAGCCAAACCAACCCGACCCATTGACTTCATGGACGGTATTGCGTTTCTATCCAGTTGACGGCCCCTAAACGCAAACAAAAAAGTACACTTCATGAGCTTTTTCTGTTATGAAACCTTTCTCTATGGCCTTTCTCTCCAGCGAGCTAAAAAAACTAAAAATAAAAATCTTTTTACTATTATTTAATTTAAAACCTGATTGTTTTATATAACAATATTTTATTCTACTAAACAAGCAACCTGAAATCTTATACTTGATTAGTTGATTTGGCTGTTCTGACCACCACCCAAACCCTCACCCTTTTCCTCTCCCAGACCTCTATCTCTCTCTCTGCTCTCAGTGTTGTACAAAACTGTTCTTCGAAACCCTAGATTCTCTGAAATTTCAAAACTAATCCAGACCTAAGCATCCCGCTCTCTATCTCTCACTATTGGCTTTGTAGCAGCGGAGCTTCAATCCACTGTGTGCTTCTTCTCCCTTTCTCGATCTCCCTCCCTCCCCTACTTCGTCACTTTTCGACCGTTCCATGGCGGAAGGCAAGCTCGATCTGCCTGACGATCTCCTCTCGTCCAAACCGTCCGATCAGTCCTGGACCTCCAAAGGTACTTCCGCGCTTTCATTTTTGCATTTTATTTCTTCGTAATTCATTTATCTCGATTTGTGTATTCAATGGATTTGATCCATATGAAGCTAAAGTAAGGGCGAAGGTTACTGATCTGAAGCGTTTAAGTGTATAGTGGACCAGTTCATTTAAGTCTCTTTCAACATCAACTTCCTTAATTTCGGCTTTCTGCATCTTGAGCTATTCGGACTTATACGTTGTTTTTTTTTTTTTTTTTTTTTTTTAATATTTGTTTTTTATTGGATTTTTCAGATCAGTTTTTCTTTTCTCTCATATTTTACTTGTGATTTTAGCATTCGAAATTGATCTGTAACACTATATTGTAATCCCTTCGATTGTTTTACTATCAAAATCTCGTGTTTTTCTTAAAACTATTAATTCTGTATTTTGTATTTCATTTATGTTTTTGTTTGAAGATCAAATAAAGGAATTTGCATGTGCTACAGTCCCTGGGTTAGGCCCCAGTTTTTCGTTTTATTTGTTTTCAAATATTCAACAGTGGATTCTTTCCATGGCACGGTTCATTTATACTAACTCTTTCGGTGACTCAATGAACGGAGATGACCTATATTTTTGTGCTGAACAATAGTACAACCATGGATGCTGAGTTCTTGAGATTTATTCTTGTGTGAAAATTTTGGTTTGCAGTAAAAACTATGTTAGGAAATTAATTATTGAAGTTTTCAGTTCTTTTCTCTTTTGGAAAGTCTATTTAAAATTCTAGTGTATCAAATTTTATTTGCTGTTGACAAATATGTACAGTTCCTTCAAGTAGTGTTTAAGGGTTAGTAACATCATTACTGGATTAGTGTGTGACATTGACTGGGCTTTGTAGTGAAATCATAGGCATAGATTTGTCTTTTAATTAATGTTCATGTTATGGCAGTTGAAGCCTCTGGAGGAAATGATGAAGAAAAGGTGCTTATTGGGTCATCTGATGACTCAAAAGGTGAGCTTTGTCATTCTATTTTGTAGCTTTAATTTGATGAACTGTTGAATCGAAGTAATATCTATTTTGCTTCCTCCATTTGTTGTTTATTTCGTTTGATCTGATTTTATATGCTATTTGACTCTTTTTTTTTGGCAGATCCAGCAGCCTCAGAAAGCAGCATACCTTTGTCCCCCCAATGGCTGTATGCCAAACCTAGTGAGTCTAAGTTGGTATGTGCTGTAAAAATTGGATTTCTTTTAGTGTTAGTCGAGAAATTTTATTTCTGTTATCTCTTTGAATCAGGATTAGTTGTAGTTACTTGAATCCGTTTTACTTATCAAAAGACTTCAACTTGTGGAGTTGTGCTACTGCGTTATTGATACTCAGATTATATCTTGATATGATGAAAACACTCACTTTATCTGTCAATTAACAGTTATTTAACCCTGGATTGCATGAAAAATTTATAAGTTAGCTAACTAGTCAGAAAATTGTCTGTATATGACAGGAAATGCGCGGCCAAAGTTCACTCGGAAACTCCACTGATAGCAACCAGAAGGAAGGTTGGCGTTTGGAAGGATCTGATGACAAAAAAGATTGGAGGCGGCCTGCCACTGAAAGTGAAAATAGCCGTCGTTGGCGTGAAGAGGAAAGAGAAACTAGCTTGCTTGGTGGTAGAAGAGATCGCAGGAAACCAGAACGCCGTGTTGACAGTGTTCCAGTTAGAGACACAACTGACAATAGGACATTGCCTGCATCTGAAAGGTGGCATGATGGCCGTAATTCTGTGCATGAAGTGCGGCGTGATAGCAAATGGTCATCGAGGTGGGGTCCTGAAGACAAAGAAAAGGAACCTCGAACTGAGAAGAGAACAGATGTAGAGAAGGAAGATGCTCACACTAACAATGACAATCAATCCCTTGGAGGTAACAATCGTTCAGCTCCTGAGCGCGAGTCAGATTCTCGGGACAAATGGAGGCCACGCCATAGAATGGAGGTTCACTCTGGTGGGTCAAATACTTACCGTGCTGCACCTGGATTTGGACCTGAAAGAGGACGGGTGGAGGGTTCAAATTTGGGATTTACCCTTGGAAGAGGGAGGTCAAATGCCATCGGGAGATCATCTGCAGGCGTTATTGGCTCTGCTCCTTCAGGAAAAAGTGAAAGCGTCCCAGGGAAACCTAGGCACTCAGCTGATAGTTTTTGCTACCCTAGGGCAAAGCTTCTTGACATTTATCGTCAGAGAAAGCTTGATCTATCTTTTGCTACCATGCCAGATGAGATGGAGGAATCACCCCCTACAACTGAAGTAGGATTTGTTGAACCACTGGCTTTTCTTGCCCCAGATGCTGAAGAAGAGGTAAGAAATGAAATTCTTGGATCATCTTGGGTATGTGGATTATTTTTCTTTGATGGATTGATTCCTTTTATGCGTTTTAACTGTTCATATGTTGCTAATAGGCCATCCTTAGTGATATATGGAAGGGAAAGATTACAAGTAGTGGGGTTGTATACAATTCTTTTAGAAAGGGGCGATCAACTGAGAACAGTACAGGTACTTTCAACTCAATGGTTTCCAATTTCTGTCAATTTTTGGAAATTTGAAGTCTAATGTCTAAAACACTCATTCTCTAGGTGTTGGGGACTTGGAAGCTGTTGATGGAGTTCTGGGTATTTTGCCCTCAAACATCCCTGAAGAGTCTATCAATACCTTGCAGGAGGCTGCAAGTGCTGATACTAATGGGAGTTTGTGGAATTATGGTCCACAGAGGAATGTGGTAGATGGTGAGTTGCAGTTTGTTTTTATATTTTCATGTTATGCTATATATTAAACTGTATGCAAGGATTGTTGACTGGAATTTGACATCTGAAGAATCCTAATTATTTTTATTGCAGAAAAAGATGTCAATCATAAAGAATGGCAAAACAAAGCTACTGCAGGAAAGGACCTTGATGGATTGTCCCTAAAATTTCAAAAAAGTAATGGTATCTGCAGTGATTTTGAGACTGATGGTGCTTACAATAGTGCCGATCAGCTCCATGTTCGTGACAGTAGGCAAATTGCAGATTCTACTTTTTCCAGTCATTCTCTCTCTAATGACATTGAGTTTACCCCTTCTTCTGACATAAGATCCAAACTTCCCGATGATTCAAATACTCTCTATGCTTTAGGCTCTTCTGAGCAGATGCAGAGTACCAACCCTCGGGCAAAAGAAGTAGAAAGGGATGTCCCTCCCGAGGACTTATGTTTGTATTACCTTGATCCTCAAGGGGTTATTCAGGGACCATACCTGGGGGTAGACATTATTTCATGGTTTGAACAAGGTTTTTTCGGGACAGACTTGCTTGTTCGTTTGGCAGATACTCCTGAAGGAACACCTTTCAACGAATTGGGGGAGTTCATGCCACATCTGAAAGTTTGGGATGGGCAAGGGAATATCATGAATCCAAGTTCTAATATAGAAGAATCCAGTGGCTTGATAGGGAGCTTAGAGTCCAGTTTACCGTCGTCTGCTCCGGTTTCAGAAATTACTGATTCATTTATGGGGAATGACCTTCGGCGGCCATTGCCTGAACTAAACACCCTTTCAGCTCAGCATATTCTACCCAGAACATCTGAGCCTGAAGCTCCATTACAACTGCCAAATTCCAGGGGTCAAAGCTTTAATGATTTTGTTGCAGATGATGAAGGTTTGGCTTTAATGATCAATTCGTTTTGGTTTGTTTATTGTGCTGACAGATGGTTTTTCTATTTATCTCATCCTATTTCATCTGCAATTTTTCAGATATTGTGTTTCCAGGAATACCTGGAACCACCGGCTATTCTACTGCAAAATCTTCGGGGACCATTCATGATCCTATAGCTAATTCTATTAGCCACCTTCCTCCAACTGAGCTGACTGAATCTGGTATGCCTATTCAGAATGATAATAAGTTGCACCCCTTTGGCTTGCTATGGTCTGAACTAGAAGGTGGTCAAACAAAACATATCAAGTCAGCCAATACGCCTTCTAGTGCGGGGAGGGCGGTTCCATTTGGTGCAATTTCTGATCCAGCAGTTGTTGCCGAGACGTGGTCTGATGTTCACAGAAAAAATACAGTCTCTGATACAAACCTGTATCAAGACATGATAGCTCCTCAGCAATTGGCACACATGGAACAGGAACCCAGTCATTATGATTTAGCGGAGCAGCTCATGTCACAGCAAATTCAACAGCAACAGCTCCAGCAGCGAAATATGTTGTCTAGTTTTGGGCACTTGAATGATGCAGTATTAGAGCATTTGCCAAATCAGAATCTTATTCACCAACAGTTAGCCAACCATTCTTCTGCCGACATGGATCATCTATTGGCACTTCAGATGCAACAGCATCGACAGGCTCAGCTCCAGCAACATCATCAATTGCAGCAGCAGCAATTTCATCAACAGCAGAAGCTTTTACAGGAGCAACAGCAATCTCAAGTACAACAGGTGCTTCTTGAACAACTGCTGCGTGGTCAAATGCATGATCCTGCACTTAGGCAGCAACATGTTGATCCTGTCAGAGCAAACAATGTTCTCGATCAGGTTCTATTGGAGCAGCACCTTCTGCATGAGCTTCAACAACGGTCTCACCATCTTCCAAGGCATGTTGATCCATCTATGGAACAGCTTATCCAGAAGTTTGGTCACACACCGCAAGGACATCAAACTGATTTGTTTGAGCTACTGTCTCGTGCGCAGCATGGGCAAATTCAATCGTTGGAACATCAGATGCAAGCCAGGCAGCAGTTACCAATGGGAATGAGGCAGAGGATGGAAGAAGAGAGGCATGTCAATTCTGTCTGGCCAGCAGATGAATCAAATCAGTTTTTGAGGGGCCATGCTGGTACTCAGCAGCGAGCTCACTCTTCTGGATTTAGTCCTTTGGATTTTTACCAGAGGCAACAGAGGCCATCCCATGAGGAGCAGCTGAGTCACCTTGACCGGAATCATTCATTGCAGGATCGACTTCAGCAAGGGTTTTATGAGCCTGGCTCACTGCCGTTTGAGCGGTCAATGTCATTGCCTGCTGGTGCACCAGGGATGAACTTGGATGTTGTAAATGCTATGGCTCGTGCTCAGGGTTTGGATATGCAGGATTCCGCTGGACGTATGCAATCGGCTGGTCAATTGGGAACATTTTCGTCTGGCATCCATTCTCATAATCCTCATCACCCTCTTCCTAACCAATTTCATGTCTCACATTTGGATGCACTTGAGGGACACTGGTCTGAGAAGAATGAACAGCTAGAAAATGACTGGCTGGACTCTCGGTTTCAACAGTTGCATATTAATGCTGAGCGGCAGAAAAGGGAGTCAGAAATCAAAATTCCTTCTCAGGATCGAACTTTATGGATGTCAGATGGATCTAATGAAGAGCATTCAAAGAGACTATTGATGGAGTTACTCCATAAAAAATCAGGCCATCAACCCACTGAGTCATTGAATGTCGGCAATGATATGTTCTCTGATAAAAGGCTGTCATCTGGCCTCTACTCTGGATCAAGTTCTTCAAATCACCCATTCATTCTTCACGCAGACCAAGAAGCAGGTCTAAATAATTCATTTCGAGTAGGATCCTATGGTTCTAATCCATGTGAGCTCCCACAGGAAGAGCGAGCCTGCAGTGTGGAAAGCAATGAAAAATTGATGTATAGACCTGATTCTGGAGCATTGATTGAGAGAGAGTCATTCTTGGCAGGCATCAATGCTACGACTCAGTCAATTTACACAAATTCTAACATGATTAGTAAGTCTTCTGTCAATAAAGAACGTTCGGAGTTGGAGGGGAGGAAGCGTGGATCCAAGAGTGAGGCAATCATTATGGGTCGAGCTTTTGAGACTCAAGAACGAATGGCTGAACAAGCAGGGTTGGCTGCCCAAGATTATGGGGAGAGGGCAACAAATGCCCTTGGCATGCATAATTCATCTGGTGTTTCAGGTACTACTCTTTATTGCTTCTTTTTAGTCTGGATTCCCTTGCATTGTGTTCAAAATTGTTCATGTGAGAGTCTTGGTTTTATAAATTTGCTTCTTCCCAGGTGGGAATGCAGGCTTTTACGGCGACAAGATTGGCCGAAGTAATTCATTTGCAGAAGAAACTACCAAGGATCGGTACATATGCGACCTTACTCTTATTGGTCCCTTGTCTTTATCACCCAAATTCTTATACAATTATTTTTACTTCCTTACATTGCCACAGGGTGCCGGTCCCATCCAAAGGTCAAGACAATATTCTGCTGAGGCGACCTGCTGTCTCAAATGCTTCAGCATCCCAAGAAGGATTGTCAGAACTGATTTCCAATCCAGTTTTCAGAGGGAAAAATTCAAGTGGTGCTCCAGATGGTATCGTACTTCTAACTCTCTACTAATTTCTTATCTGTGTATGGTAGATTTGATGTCTATTTGCTTATTTCAAAGGTTATGGACTTTATAGCTACGTCTACCATCTCTTTAACTCTCGTGCCACCCCAAACAGGCAGTGCTATCATCTGCATTCTATTTCTTATTACTTTATTGTACCACTTTGAAACAATGTTGGGGGACTTGAAATTTACAATCAAATTGTCAAATACTACTTTCAGACAAATAAGTACGTATTTTTAAATCTTCAGGGGGGAGGCCAGACCAAGTCGTTAATCCAGTAAACCAAGGTTCTGACGTCATTTCATCTTCAAAGAAAGAAGTGCATTTCCGCCGTGCTTTATCCGTCAGTGACGCTGATGTGTCAGAGGCGTCATTTATGGATATGCTTAAGAGTAATACCAAGAAGGTTGGTCCGATGGATGCCCATACGGCAGCAGGATTTTCAGAAGCATCCGATGCAATGCAAGGGAGCCGAAGTGGCAAAAAGAAGGGAAAGAAAGGGAGGCAAATTGACCCCGCACTCCTTGGTTTTAAAGTTACCAGCAACCGGATAATGATGGGTGAAATTCAACGCATAGACGATTAGAGCACCATTGATTCTGTAATTTCTGTGTAAATCTCCATTTCTTGATAGTTAGTTTAGTTAGTCGTATAGGTTTAGAACACTCGATGTAAAGCATCTGCGGGTGAAAATTCTTTTATTTTTTCTCCCCATCCATATCCTAGTGGTTAATGGTTGACACATACTGTCACTGGTGATAAAGATTGCTTAGCGTGCGATCTGAGTGTGCAGCAACGGCTAGTAGGATCTAAGTTTTGTATAAGACTAAGAGGGTTTACTTAGGGTAGTGATCCGGCGATATGTCTGTATATTGTTTAGATTTATTTTAAAGCTTTAACATTATTAGCTGAGCCCTCTGTTTGGGTCTTTTTTAAATGTTGAAAAATTAGGTTTGCATATGCCTTATTCGTCACAATTACACTTCTACAACTACTAATATTTGTGCTGAAAAGACCAGATTCATAGAGCACGGTAACGCTACATGTTTTGTACCGAGGGCAAAATTGGTACAACGAAGGTGATGCAGATAAAGGCAAAAGAAAAGAAACTGGGGGCACGGCTTCATATTTTGCTGCAATTTGAACTTGAGAAAGTGAATAGGCTCCAGAAAGGGGCAGACTAGTCTCGGATTCCCAAGCAGTAGGAAGTTTTAACATTAATCAGAACTTGAATGGAAGAACAAGACCTTTTATCTTATCTTTTGTACAACCAAATGTTGCAAAAAGTTGTTACTGGCATTTACATTTTGCTTATGGAAGCCATTGATTTGGAAAGAGCTGCATGACCGTCCTTCCCATGATCCACTCCAAGTCTGTAGATGATAGAGGTATTTGATTGACGACAAGAGAAACAGCTTCTTTCGCTCCTTTATAACCACATTCGGGAACAACAAACGGAAAATCACTGCAGTGAAGACTATTACTGTTAGCTTCTTCTCCCTACCTGGTCAAGAAGGAAGCATTTTTTTTTTGATTGAAAGAACAAGAGAAACACCGAGGTCTACCTGCCCCACATGACATGGTTAGCACCAAAGCTCGAGACAACTTGAGACAGTGAGTGAGATAAATCCTGATATGGAAATGGCATTCTTGACAACCTGAAAAGTGCACTGAATTTCACATAGACCTGGCCATAAAAAAATCACATTACACATCAAGAATCGGACTCTTAATGTGTGTGAAGTATAAATTGGGAAATAAACATACAAATCATAAGGCATTAGACAGAGATATCAGAGAGGATCCAAGGGTTCATGATTGTGCTTTATATATCCAATAACCTAATTGTTCTTGACAATCCTTTATCATTGCCTAATAAAAATTTAAGTTGGCTGATTTTCAGTAAGTTCAACAACCTGTATCATTCTCAATGCCCTCGGCGCAGAACAAATAAAGATATAAGGCTTTCAAGTAATGGTCTAGGTCAATCTAAATATGACGGCCTTGTCTTACTCGAGATGGCAGCAATAGTAGAAAAGCAACCAGGCAGTTATGAGAAGGTATTCTGGAAACCTTTACCTGTGGGAATCTGGATAGCTTTAAAAGTGCAGAGAAAGCCAGCTTTTCCTCATCGTTTCTGCAAGATTAAGATATTTAAAGTAAGAAAAGTTACAAATGGTCTAGCCAAATATTGATTCTTGAAAGCTCTTTCTAGCAAAGTAAACTACAAGAAAACTCACATTGGTGGTTTGCAGAAAGCCAAATGATCAAGCAATACAGTTGTTGATGGAAACTCTCTGCACAGCTCCTCAATTTCTGAAATATGCAGACTGAGGCCCTGAATTTAACCATTTTATAGTAAATAAGCATTTCTACGATAAGCTCCATCTGGTAACATCCCACACACAGAGACTAGCCTATTTGGTGAGTAGGCCATCAAGTAGTTCGATGTATAGGCCATCAAGTAGTTCGATGTAAAGTAATAAAATGTTTTAAATGAATATGCCATCCACGTCAATTGCTTGTAATATAGAACCACAAATTGCAAATCAATTTTACAAAAGTCATAAGAAAAGAAAAACAATACCTTCATACACATAAAACCAACTGGTACTCCAAGTTCTCCTGCCTTAGCGAACATTGCCTTCCCAACTTCATTGGTCATCTGCAGAAACCCTCAAATGTGATAAGAATAACATCGATGTGGACATATAGAAGTTATCTGGCTCTAGAAGGAACTTGCTCCACCTTTAATGGTGTTCGCAGGCATATATACAAGAGCATCTATCTATCTATTTTCTTTCTTTTTATTTTTTTTATTTTTTTATTTTATAAATATTTATGAGGAAACCAGAGCATCTATCTTAAAACATGTGCAAAAGTATGAAAATATTTAAATTACCTGTTGACCAGAAGGCCACAGATATGGATTGAAGCGAACAGCATGATAATTATCCTAGCATAAAAGAAATTTTTGTCAAAGTGATTTCCTTTAAGGCACCAGAGATAAACCCTGATTAACATAATCTGGAATTTCCCAAAGACCTGCAGAATGAGATGTTCAAGTTGCTTAACCCCACTTCCATCTTCGGTTGGATTTGCTAGGCAACAACCAACAAATTTAGATGGATACTTCTTCAACACACTGTCCAAAGATAAGCAAGTATAAGGCAATACCATATATAATACGTGGTGAAGAAATCAAGAGGAAATTACTACCATATACTGATATGCATCAAGTAGTCCTATATCATGTTTCCTACCAACTCATGCCCTCGCAAACATGATCATAAGGCCACTACTTAGATGGAGCACCTGATGAACTTCTGAATATTAAACTTTGTTGATTAGTTTAGCAATTCAAGTCTACACGGAATGAAAAGTTCATTGGGTGGGATACCTTGAGCCATGTCATGTTATTGCAGGAATTTAGAAGTTCAGCAGTTCAGTTACTGGGTTGGGTGTCATTGTCAAAACGTAAAGATCAACTACCATATACGCATTTAACCATGTCAGCTACAATTTCATGTGGCTCTGTAGCTAACATGACTGCTAATATTTTGTCTAAACTGTACTATATTAAGAAAAAATGAAGAAAAATGACTTCAACTTTGATAGGACATGATCATATTTAACCAGACCTTGTCACCAAAGAATGATCGAATTTGTGATTAATGGGCTGCACAATAAGCGCACCGTCAACACCTGCTTCTTCCATAGACTGGGAGAAGAAGAAAAAACATGAATATATGTTGGCAATAGACATTGTCATTTATCAAAAAAAAAAAAAAAAAAAAAAAAAAAGAGAATGGAAGAAAAATGAAGAAGATGAGAGTGTGTGTCTCCTTATGCTGAAAATCACTAGAACTGAGACTCTGAGACAATCTAGAAAGACAAAGTATGTATGAGATCACAGTTACAATGCTGGCAATCCTGAAAAATCGATATAATTTCAATTGGGATTAAGCAAGAAACACACACAGTGACAGCTTCATAAAAGTCATACCTTGAGCAAGAAATCGACATCTCCAGGCAAAGTAGGTTCTTGGCCAGGAAAGTAAGGGTATTTATCTGCAGCCTTGACAACCCAAAATTTCAATAACACTTCAGCTTCAGAAAAGAAAAAAACAAGTATGAACTTGCAAAACAGTTAAACTCAGCTGGGTTACCTCTTGGGGAGATGCCCACACATGCAGATGTGAATCTATGATCTTGGTTCTACTCTGGGGGTTCATTGGTAGCCATTCTTGCAGCAGAGACTATGAACCGGGTCTTTGTTGAAATGCGGGCAAATGGTGGTGGACATTTAAGTTGCACTGCAGGGACTTGAGCTGAAGCTGAAAGCAGAAGAGGCGTTAGCCTCACTGCCATAGCCATTGGATTATGGCTAAAAGACCCTTTCATTTAAGTCACATATATGAAAGCCCAACTCGGCCCGTTTAGGATGCAATCGGCATTTTGGATAACTTGGACATTATATTGGTAATTTCAGAGTCATTGCATTGGTGAGTCAGTGACCTTCTCGCTACTCTCGAATCCATCGCTTCTTTGCAACAACAGAGAAGGAATATACTGATACCGTAAATTACACCACCACCCACATTGAGCCTTATCAGCAGACCACATAGCTTAGTAGCAGCAGCAGCAGCAGAGGTAGCTCTACTATACCTTCAATGGCGGCTCCATTGACCACCCTGGTAAAAACCCATCTTCTCTCTCACTTTGTTTGGTTCCAGAGAAACCCAAATTAAAAATAAATGTTAATGATGGTACAATAAAAGAAGTTTTCTTTCTGTTTTTGCTTTCGCAGTCAAATGTTGGTTCGCTTCCGGGTTCTCGCAGCGTATCTCAGATCAGAGCTTTGACCCCTACCTGTACTTCAGTCACGCTTCGAACAATTCCATTGTCTTCTAACAAAAAGGCAACGTTATCCTCCAGCTTCCTCTTCAGGTCGTCGCGTTTGTCCCCTCTGACATTCTCTTCGAACCCTAATTCTCAGAAAAGGGCCAGTCTTGTTAGCTCAGTCCGAGCCAGTGCTGAGGTTTGAATGAAAATTATTTTTTGTTTTTTTTAACCAAAGTTGCTGCATTTGGTGAGCTTATAATTATAATTTTAAGTTTCTTTTTTCAATTGTAGGAAGCAACTTTGCAATCAAAAGTGACCCATAAGGTGTATTTTGACATTAGCATTGGGAATCCAGTTGGGAAGCTTGCTGGAAGGATTGTGATTGGATTGTTTGGTGATGATGTGCCCCAAACCGCAGAGAATTTCCGTGCCCTGTGCACAGGTTTTAAGATTTATTTGGTTTTGTTTATGGCTTAAGTGGTCTGATTAAAGTGGCCTCTTGAATGTATTTTGATTTCATATGAGCTGTGTGTCTTTCGTAGGTGATAAAGGCTTTGGGTTCAAGGGTTCAGCATTCCATCGTGTAATCAAGGATTTCATGATTCAAGGAGGGGATTTTGACAAAGGCAATGTGGGTGCTCTTCCTAACCTTGTAGCCTCATTGTTTCTGGTTTATTTTATGAATTGCAACATTGGTTGACTATAGGTTTAACGATGATACATGGTCTAGGTTTCTAGTATAAGATTGATTTTACATTGGTTTTGGTAAGATTACTTTAAAAGCCAATCTATCAAATACAAGGAAGGGTGCTAATGGTTCACTTATGCTAAACACTGATTGCAAGGTTAAACAGAAGAAAACAGAAAAACAATTCAGCATTTGTTAAGATTGTTATGATAGCTTGAATAAGTCTCTTTTCTAGCCCAAAACTTTACATCTAAACTTATGAGTCTATAAGTTTGCAGTGGGCATTGCCATTCACTCATAAAAACATCTGTGGAGTTACCTCGCACATATGGCTGGTTGACCATTTTATTTTTCCTGTTTTATGTATCTTTTCTCTGTTCTGTTTCCCAAGCCAAGCCAGCTGTGCGTTTTGAACTTCGAGAAAATTAGCTTTCCTGTATTATTTATAACAACTTCTTCCAGTATATATTTACTCTTGTTCCCAAAGGTACATAGGTTTACTAAAGGTCTTGTAATCAATGTTGCCTGCTAGTAAATGAGAGCTTGAATTCCTGAGTATTGGAAGGAGATGATTTTTTTAGAGATTTCCTGCTTAATAAACTATTGAGGGTACCCTTTTTGGCCTTTCATTCATATCTCACAGCCTCACTTTTCCAAGATTTTCCCCACAATTTTGTTCCGTTTATTACTTCGAAATATGTAACATTTCTTCGTGCTTTTTTGAAAATTTCATAGTTTGTTTTTGTTAAGAGGTTTTTCCATTTGTTGGACATAACAATGACATTACAATGCTGGAATAATGTTGCAGGGAACTGGCGGTAAAAGCATTTATGGTCGTACTTTTAAGGATGAGAACTTTAAGTGTAAGTTATTCCTCACTTCTCATGCCTCATAGTAGGTTGACTGACGTGATAGATACGTTCCTTCCTAGGATAATATTTCCAGAAAACATAGATAATACAATGATTATTTGATTGGAATTATTCAATAGTCATTGATGTATTCCTGGATCTTTTGCATTCAGTTACACTCCAACAGTATGAACTGTCTTTTTATTGACAACAGATTTTCTTTCTGATGTAATATGAGATATTGAATATGATTGTGTCTTAACTTTCATTGCAAACATAACAATGTAAATCATGATTTTGCAGTGTCTCATACTGGACCAGGAGTTGTTAGCATGGCCAATGCAGGCCCCAATACCAATGGGAGCCAGTTCTTCATATGCACTGTCAAGGTAAGAGTCATTCATTCTCTATATGATAAATCAATTTGTAGGAAAATTATGGCATTATTGTTTGAAGCTTCATATAATTGTGGCACAAAGCAAAAATTCATAAACTTCAATTTTCCTAACGTGGAAGATTGACAAGATTTCTTAGTTTCTTCTCAGAAGGTAGTTGAAGCTTAGAGTTGGTAGCTTTATAGCTTTGTAACTGATACATGCTTAAGTATAATTATTTGGTTGCAGACCCCATGGCTCGACAACAGGCATGTTGTGTTTGGGCAAGTTCTGGAAGGCCTGGACGTGGTTAGGCTGATTGAGTCTCAAGAGACAGACAGAGGCGACCGTCCTACAAAGAAGGTGGTCATTGCCGACTGCGGAGAGCTGCCGGTGGCCTGATGAGTTTTCTTATCAGTTTGCTTCCTTTTGGAAATGTAGGCTTTTGTATTATCTACCCAGTCAAGAGGCTTTTGTTTGGTGGGATTAGGTCCTGCACAATCTTCTTTCTTTTCCACATATCTGTATTCCAGATAGTTGAGTTTGAGAACTGAGAATTATAGCCAATTAGAGGAAAGAACATTTTCTGAATCTACGAGTGAAATGAAAATGTGATGATAGGTGGACTGATTAATATTGTTAATTGATGTGATCCAATCCATGGAAAGCATCAATTGGTACTGTAAGCTCAAAATTGCTGCATCCCATGGCTCCTGGGCTACCCATTTGGTGTAATATTGGGCTGGGGTTCGATGTCGATTCAGATACATATGGGCCTTTTTCATGTTAAGTCCATATTGGTTTTCTTTTTTGGGTCAATTTATTGCAACTCCAAGTCCATATTGGTTTAGTTCCCCAAACCAAAACCTTGGCTGCTCTACTGGTACTAACCAACGTCATGTACTGTTTTCGTACACACAAGGAAAGGAAAGGAAAGGAATGCAAGAGGCTCCTTTGCACTAAAAATGATTAAGCTCTTTTACTTCTTGCCATGCCATGCATAATTGAAGATTCAGAAATCGACTCTTCATCTCATTATTTTCGATTTGATACGATGCGATGCGATCGTCAAGATCATATATCAATCGATAACAAATGGGTTTTCCTTTTTCTTATCTTAATGACTTTTGCCAAAGGAGAGTGATAATAAGTCAAAACTTGATACGTATTCTCTTTATCTAAAGAATACCTACGCAACGAATCAAAATTTCAAAGGTATTTTTTTAGAAAATCCCCTGAACTTATATATAAATTTCAATTTGTCACCTTAAAGAAAAATTTAAAAGAAATGTCATCTAAATTTTTCAAAATCCTTAATTTGTCATCTGACTTTAATACCATCTAATTTTCCATCCATTTTTAAGGGTATTTTAGTCTGCCCTCTTTTCAAGGGTATTTTAAAAATGGAAAAATCATTATAAAAAATTTGTATATCGTTTAAACAATTAAAATTGAAAAAGAATATTAAAAAAATCTCACATTCCCCTAACCCATGTGCTGCGCCACTAGCGGTTCCAACCAACCCTGACCACCTTGAAATCCATTCCCTCTTCCCTCCTCCATTCCTCCTTCCATGTTCCCCTTCTCTCTCTCTCTCTCTCTCTCTCTCATTCTACTGTTGTGTCTACCCAAGTGCAATTAGTCACACGTAGTAATAATCTTGGAAGTCCAAGTATCGTATTCTCAAGGAGCAAGTAGGCAAATGTCCGAACACAAAGAAATAATTAAACATACCAAAATAAAAGTGACAAGAAAAATTGAAAAGTAATTTGATTTGAGTGTTGTAGAGATTGAGTTTTAAAACGAAATATCAATAATGGAAATGCTAAAGCATCAAGGTTCAATTCTTTAAGCAAAATATGTTTCATGTTCTTTAATCCAAATTATAACTCGATTAAAATTATCATTGAGAAACTTAACCAGAAGATAAAGAAATTAAAACTAATTTAATTTTTCAATGTTATCTTTTATTAATGATTGTTCAGAAAATAATATTGCTTAATATCTAATCTTTTAATTTAAAAGCATGCTAAGTCAGTTCTTAACAATGAGAAAAATATAATTGAACTCATTAAAAGATAGTAGCACTTAACATCAATCAAAATAAAAGGATATGAAAATATTGAACAATCAAAAATTAAAATTTTTAGCAATTCATACCGTATATTGGATTAAAAAACAATTCACAAACTTACTCAAAGGACATTCCTTTTAGGCTTAGCTAGAGCAACTCATTACAAAGAAAAATGTAACTAAATTTGGATGAAATGGATAAAGAAATTTGTCATAGTGGTCTCCTTGCCAAATAAGTTGATGGGTGATTTATAATAGTCAATGAGGTGAGTGGAAAGCTAATACATTCATGATGGGTAATAAAGGGTTTAAGTGAGAGATTAATTGGATTACACATGTGTTGATGGTGGAGAGTTAGTGGAAAAGAAATAATAGTGAGGTAGTGGGGGTTAAATAGATGGCTATGAATGACACGAAATAGGCTCTTTAGCTTCAACGTTTTGTCTTCTCTTCTCCCTCTTTACTTCTCTTTATAATCACAATAATCTCACAATCAATTATTCAATAAAATCCGCCAGCAATTCTCTTCACACTTGGCTTGAATTTGGAAATATATATATATATATATCTTCATCTTTTGGCTTTCCACAAAAGATAAATTCACCTAATAAGTTCACCAAATTAAATACAAAAAATTCATAAATCCAATTGGTGAGAATGAAATGTGACAGCAAGTGAAATTATATTTTTAAAGCCAAATTTATATCCTAAAGTCTCCAAAATAATATTAAAAATATGTAATTTGAGACCCTCATCATCTACCATGGAACACCTACCCTCCATGCACAAATTCCCTCAGCCCACCCAAACTGAGTCCACCTTTTTCTTTTTTCTTTTTGGTATTTTTCCATTTGCATACTGAAAAATTGTGGAATGACAACTACTAAACCAACAATTCAATAGCCTACGTAACAGATGGTGACAAAGCAAACTTTGGATCCTTCAACAAAAACACAGTTGGTATAAGTTAATAAAACTATGAAGACAAGAAAGGGATTAGATTTTGGGTGGGAAGCTTAAGTAGTTTTAAATCACGTGTTTGAAAATTTAAAACATGCTCAATGAGAAAATAGGACAAGGGGTGGAAATAGCAGCACTAAAAAAAAATATACATGCTTAGAGAGAAAGAGAAGGGAGGTCATGTGCGATGTGTTTTAGGGGTAGGTGAGGGAGAAAGGGAGAAAGGTCTCTTTTTTTTTTTCCTTGAAAATGAAAAGACTAAAATAGCCTTAAAAATAGATGAAAAATTGGATGTTGTTAAAGTCGGATGACAAATCATGGATTTTGAAAAATTAAGATGACATTTCTTTTAAATTTTTCTTTAAGGTGACAAATTGAGACTGAAGTATAAGTTCAAGAATTTACAATAAACAAAAAAAAAAAAAAAAAAAAAAAAAAAAAAAAAAAAAAACCAAAAACAAAGAGGTAACTACAAAATTTCCACCCATGTCCCTATTCTCCCCCACACCCACCATTATTCCTACCCACCAATTATTCCTTTAATATATTAATTCAAGTTAAAAACATTAAATTTTCAACAACGAAAATCACTCTTCATCGTCTTCCTGTTTTTTCGATTCACGACCAAAAATCCCAATGAAACACCATTCTAGTCAACCCCTCAATCTTTATGGAAGAACTACTAAAATTTACGCTACCATATCAATATTCGCATAAACTCCTTAGCAGTATTGGTGGCTTCACCACTGCAGCATTGGCAAGATTGTCATGGATTTTAATTGAAGTGATGTTATATGGAATAAGGACCCGCATGTGGGTTAATCAAACTAAAAAATCTTGAAAATGGAATAAAATTGAAGGACGCTTTGGCCTCTATTATCAACACCCACCAACCTTAATGACACAATATTAAAGGGGGAGTTGCGAATTTGATTTTTCTTATTTTTCTAACTTTTCAAAAGATTGGAATGGGTAGATTGGTGGGTTTAGCTCGCTGGATTTGCTGAGGTCAGGAAGATGGAAAGAATATGGAGAGTTAGAAGAAAAAATTTGTTTTCTTTTTAAAATTCATTTTATTTTTAGGGTTTTAGTAGTCATTTTACAAAGAGGTAAATTTATCTTTAAAATTTTAAAGATAAGGTGAGTGGGAAAATTGAACATAACGGTGAAAATAGCAGTACTCAAAACAAAATTGGATGGCATCATCAAAATGAATATATGCATAAATAACTTAAATTCTATTATTAATTCACTCTATATACAGGTGTCAAAATAAGACTTCTTGTAGTAATTGAAGCATTCAATTGGCTTTATTTATTTATTTATTCGACTTTCATTTATTAACACAACGTCAAAATTCATTCCACCCATCAGGGTTGCACTATATATATATATATATAAGTGATATTATATTTTAATCTAATTTTAGCTACGAAGAAGATGATTTGAAGTCGGGTGCAGAGTGAGGAGTACATCCCATTTAGTTAACTTGACTAAGCCCATGTTTGCATCAAGTTGCACTATAAACAACACCAAAATTTCATGTTTATAAGTTTCAACTTTTAATCTCACATACTTGTAACAAGTAAAACATTCAATCTACCACAAAATGGTTTTAGTATTAATATTCAATGAAAAACTTCACAAAATAAAATCCTAGTTACTTATAAAGGGATATGGAATCCAATGTTGTTATGATTCACTTACAATTTTAGTTTCTACTTTGTACATGTGGTTGATATTTTTGTCGATATTTAATATGTTAGGATTTTTGTGTTTTTTGTCTATCTAGTCTACGTTAACATTTAGTATCTTTTGTGGCAGAAAAAAGCATCCTGACGAGAAAAAGAGAGCAACTATCATACAACACAAAAAGCTTAGAAATGCAGAGCAGTCGATGCCATTGCTTATACATATGTGTCTGAAATGCATGGGGGCTATTGTTTCTAAATACATACACGTGGAAGACTCGAGCTAGCCCTTCCAGAACCAACATTCCCTCCCATTGCAACCATAATTGATGTATGATACATGAAGAAAATAAAATTGTTATATTTTCTTAAAAATAAAAATAAAATAAAATGTGCCCGTGTCTTTGTTTGAGTTTCATTTCGGTCCTTTTTAAATTAGAGTACATAGCTTAAATGTTTAAAAGTATTTATTTACACATTTTAGGTCATACGTTCGATTCCTCATTTGGTTGGTATCGCTGATTTAATTTATCATTTTGTATCAAAATTTTAAAAAATAAAATAAAAGGTCTTTCTGATGAGTCTCTCTGCGCTCTGAGTCTCTCTGGTCGTAGTAGTCACAACTTGCCGCACGCGCGCCGAGGCGGATTCGATACGATCCCAACCACGTGACCCTTGGTGGAGGGACCATCTTTTCTTTTGGTGAGCCCCCCAGCGGTCCATGGCATGGCATCAATCGAACGGAGAAAATGAGGCCCACATGTACTGGCGGCTGTCTGTCCGGTTCAGATTGCGCCACGTTGTACTAGAGTTTGAGACCATTCACAGCTAAAACCAGCTATAGAAAGGAGAAGAGCCTAAACGACAGCAAAATTAGAAAGCGACGGATCATGTGGGCGTGGAGATTCGTGACGACCCCCCCACCTCTCTGCCCCCGTTGAGATTCTGTCGGTGTTAGACTTTTTATTATTAGTCTCCCTTTCCCTTTCATTGATGACATGTCGTTCCTTCGCTTCCTCTTCATTCTCTTCCTTCCTTCTTAGACTGACAAAATCATTATGCTCATCATCACCATCCATCTATCCATCCATCAATCAAAAACTCCTCCTTAATTGCGCCTTAATTACCTCATCATATGCTCTCATTTCCCCCATCATGATGCTCTCATTTCCCTCATCAGTTCTATGTTTGTTCTTACAATATTATTATAATAATTTTTTTACACAACGAGAGGGGAATTTGAACACGAATATTAAAGAAGGGAATTTGAGCACGGGAATTCGAATGCAAGAATACATAATTTTGATCACTTAAACTACAAACTCATTGCCTAATTATTATTATTATTATTATTATTATTCAGGCCAGATGTTCAATTGATACCCAAAAAGGCAAATATTTCCCCATAGTGACCTTACCTACTCATAGCATTATATGAAAACAACTTCCAACTTCAAGAGCGCGCACACACGCACTCACACCTACACCTGTCACTGTAATTACCTAAGGCCTGATGTTCAAGCAGAATTTCCAACCCTATCCAAATGCGCAGTGTCACAAAAGCACTTGTTTAATCAAATAGCAACACACAGGTCAATCTTGGCAGCTTATTCATCTATTGGAGCCCTAGCCCACAAAATAAAACAAACAAGAAGAAAGGCACTTGCTACAATATTTGTGCCATGAGTTTTTCTGTCTTGTTCATATTGATAGGAACACTAGGTGTCTAGGTGTAAAAATGCAAGCTTTTTATACCAAAAATTGGAGAGCTGAAAACCCTGATGAAAGACATGCTTTTTATGCTTTTAAGGGTTCTTCTCTTGAGAGATTAGATAGATCATTCAATTTGTGACTGCTTAGATCCTAGTGTCATCACACTGTAAGGTTTCCTGCTGATTATCAGAACTAGCCCTTATAATATGAATTGCCAAAAAGGCATACCAGGTTTGAGATTTTGCAGTAGCTGGTAGAATAGGTCATATATGTATTTATCATACCTTTAGAGACTGAAGGATGAAGCTGGGGAAATGTATGTAGATTGGAACTGTACAAGTCAGAAATCTGATTTACAAGTCCCAGGCCGGATTCAAGATCAACAAGGGGATTGACCTGAAGCTTTGCATTGCAGTTTCAGAGCACAATTTACAGCTAACCAAAAGGCATCCTAATATAGACAGGCATTAGACAGAGTGACAGACAGCACCTAGTTTACCTAATGAGACACTCATGAACATGACTTTATCAAACCCAGGTTGTAAAGGAACTTCTCCGATCTAGTCCGAAAGAGATTCCCCAAAGAGAATCTCACACCCTCCTGTGGTGGAGATTTTGAATAGAAGTCTTCTTTCACACGCAGTATTGTTGAACCAATCTCTTGCCGAACTGCTTCAATTGTCTCACTCTTCACTTCATTTCCTGATGCATCTATCACATAGAAAACATTCACGGCTTGGGAACCCCTGGTTGTAACCTCAGCTCGGGTGACTGAAAGACCATTTTCTCTAAATATGCGAGTCACATCAGAAAGAAGGCCAACTCTATCTTCACCACAAAGCTCTAGTCTTATACCCTGCATTAGAAATGATGCTTTGACTTCAAAATGCTAAGTGAAATCGGGAAAAAGATATACAAAATTAAAATTACTGTATGTTTGTACCTCAGACGTCCGCCTTCTAATCGCTGCTTCCAAGCAATGGATAACCCTCAGCCTTTCTCCTTCAGAACTAATAGGACAGCCATCCGTGTGTCTGATATAATATTCCTATTAAAAAAAGATTAAATGTTAACTAAAATAAGGTATTTGTGTTGATTGCGATATGCATCTTAAAGCTAAAATAAGCAATTTCGAGCAACTTCAGGGAAATAAAGACAACCTGATAAGCCTCAGGTCCTTCAGCAATCACAGTTGCATGGTATACCACATATTGCATATCTGTTAAGGTGCATACAGTATCAAAGAGCAGCTTAGGACGGTCTGGGCACCTTAAGTTCACAACAGTATATCCTTTATCTACACAATTTTCAACAGTTACAAGAGGTTTGCTTCGATCACTGGCTGATCCACAATCAGCACCATCCATATCATAATCACGATCAGCATACATCATCTGGTGAAGCCTCCTTTCCTTATGTGTGGAATCCACAGAAACAGCAGTGTTGGCACTGCGCTTATCTCTGTCCCCCTTAAGCACATAAAGGAGAAGTTTTTTTATTTTAGAAAGATGGTCAGGATCATCAATAGGCCTCCCAGTTGCCTCGTCGGTGATGAAAACAACTGATGCCATTCTTGAATTGTGAGTCCAGACTTCTGCGGTGACCACATTGCATTTGAGATCAGAAAGAACAGCAAAAACTTCAGACAGCAAGCCTGGCCTGTCCCTTCCTGTCAATTCAATAGTGGTGTGTTCTGCGGCAGCTTGGACACCCACAGACCTTCTCAAGGAACGGAAGCTCCGTGCTCTTGGTCCTAGTGACTGCAAAATTTGAATTCAATAATCAATATGAATTAAAATTTACAAGATTCACAGATAATGTTGCTAATTATTTCCATTACAAACCAAATAGAGAAGACTGTCTAGTAAGGTTCTAGACAGTCTTCTCTCTCGGGGTGGGGAAAGAGAGATATCCTCTTGAATAGATCTTGCCACAATGTGCACCATGTTTTATAAAGTGAATATATACAAATCATGACTAATACTGAAATTCAGTTAATACATGAGCAGGTCAAGAAGCACACATAGAACCATACGAAAACTGAATGAAGTAAACCTCCAAATGCAGTAAGACTCAAACTATTGCTTCCACAATACAGATAGAAAACACATCGATCAATCAAGTTTGCGGAAATTTCCACCTATTAAAAGTCAGTCTAAACCCCATTCTCAATTTCGATATTAGAAGAAAGAAAGAGGGCTATTAGTTTTGGGGATTGACCTGTTGAATGCGTTCAGCTATTCCATCATCAGAGAGCTTATTCCCCTGTTGATCAGTGACATGAAATACTGCAAAAAGAATCATTGAAAATTAGTCATAAAGAATAAAAATTTGAGATTTTTCAGCACTTGGAAATAAAAAGCTCACCATCCATGAACCATTCCCCATCTGACGAAATGTAAGCTCGTCTTATAATGAGATTTAAATCATTCAGAACCTGAACCAACTCCAGCAAACTCCCACGCTTATTTGCACTATCTACCTACAATTTTCTCAACAAAAAAAAAGGATAAGGACAAAGAACCAATGTTAAAAAGAATGGCCCTTTTGGATTGCTTGCAAAGATAATTCAAGAAATTCAGTCAGATATACCTTTATCAAAGTGGCTTTCCTGCTTGAGGTATTATCAACGGTAACCCTACAAATCCCATATCAAGAAGAAACCATATCAAAAAACTGTATAATTAAAAACACTCAAAATGGACAATTGCAGCTCAAGAAACAATGAACTTCCAAGAAAATGAGCAAAACCCATTTTGTTCAACGAAAACCAAGAGCAATTCATCCCCAAAAAAACCCCATAAAGGAAACAAAACCAAAATGAAGAGAACGGAGAGTGAATTACCTTGGAGGGTTAATTCTCATCGCGAGCTTCTCAAACTCATCGTCAACAGCGAGAGAAGAGGAAGACCAATCCATTAGAAACAATGAAAAGAGAGGTTGGGATTCCAGAAGGGCAAAAATAAAGAGAAAAACTTGAGCTCTGTGTTTGAGACAGGGCTTTCTAGTTTGCTCTCTCTGAGAGTCTCTCGCAGTTTCTGCGTTGCTTCGAAAATGAAATGAGACGAGGCTTTGTGGCTGTGTTAAGTGTTGGTTGGGTGGTGGTGGCTCTTGAGCTGGCGAAGAGTTTTGGAGGGACATAACAACAAAATATTAACAAAATCATATTCAATAATCAAAAAATATATTTAAAAAAAGAGGGCATGCGACTATTATGTCACTGCCAAGTGGGACCCATCTCACCTCCTAAAAAACTTGGTCTTCCAGGTTTCTGTTTGTGTTTTTCTCTCACAATCACAGGTACAAGGCGGCTCTATTTTCTTAATTTTCTCTTCCACTTTATTTTTTTTGACAAGTGTGATATTTTAAACTAAAACAGGTTCGAATTCAAGTGCAACGAGTCTGAGTACACTTCCTTAACCAACTGGTAAATTCACGTTTTGGGCTCCTATGTTCTTAGGGATCTTTAATATTGTAGGGATATTAATTAATCTAGTACCTTATCCTTTTATCTATGCAAGTTGGTCTTCCTAGGAGGGATAAGGTGCCCTCAAATCTTATAAATTAAAGGCACACACGACACATCGGCTTTTTTTCTTCTCTCTCTCTCTCTCTCTCTCTCTCTCTCTATATATATATATAAAATATCATATGGAAATCTAGTACGATTATGCTGTGCTTTACAGCTTTAGAGACCCCTCCTCCGATTTGGGGAAGCCCCTCTTATCTCATAATTATTCGAAATCTAGAGGGATTTTGTTGGGCTTTTTGGCCACTGATCGCTCTTGGATTTCTTTTCATTTTGAATATAGAAGGGTGTAACTATAAGCATCCCTTTATTTTAAGGAAACCTCTGAACATGTCTGATTTCCTCTCCTTCATTCAATTATTGTCCCAAAGTTTATGATCCCTCGAAACAATAATAAAATAAATAAAGGCCTTTCCATATGTAGTAGGGCTATCCTCAGCTGGCGGGATCCCCTTTTGTCCCTCTATTTTGCCACTAAGCATCTGCCTTTTTTTTCTGATTTGATTTGCTTGGCTACTTTCGGACCTAACCTCAGTATCCTATCTGCCCCTCACTCTGGAGGACAACTTAAGTTGTGTCTCTCTCACATCACACGGCATTAAAATATGTCATGTTACATAATTATACACTAATAACATGTAACATCTTTTAATTGGATTTATTAAATATTTATTATATACAGAAAGAGCACGCATAAGAACTCTTTTTTTTTTTGCTCCAAGAATATATCCTAAAATGCCTCTCATTTATTTTTCTTCCTATTTTTACAACGCACGCTATCAATGATAACGCTTGTATGACAAAAGTCATCAGGACAAGAGTCCAGATGAATAGCACCCAAGTGTTTGGACTTGCCATGTAGTAGGACCCCTTTTGGTAAGATTCCTGGCTTCGCCACTAGACATCATAAGCCTATATCTTTATTATATCGAGAAATAGCACACATGCCCTTTTTTTTCTTCTTATTTTACAATGGCTACTATCACCGACATCACTTACGTGAGAAAAGCAAACACTAGGGCATAGTCAAGACGAATAGCACTCTAAGTGTTGGCAAATGTCAAAGTATTAGTCAAGATGACTTGAACGTTGTGGAGGTCAACATTAGGTTTCGGTGTTGTGATTTTTTAGTTAGAAATTAATTATTTTTTAAATAGTAAATTTGGCTTACACCCTTCAAATTCAATTTGCCGTACCTAAAACCCTTCACTTTTTGTTCCTATAAATAATACCCAATTTGTATAAGTAAAAACCCATGACTAGGATTCAACTCAGCAAGTTACCTAATTAAGCATAAAATCTGATTTATTGTACTTTTTAGATTCCAAAAATACCCCCAACTAAACCATTATTGCATTTTGTATATTAATGTAGGAATCAATATGGAAACAGTTTTTAATTGAATTGTATATAATGACAGATGTTGAATTTGGAAAGATCTCCAAACGGTTGTAATGGATGTAGGAATTAATTTTGAAATATTTTTTAAAAAAAATTAACAATAAATTCATATTTGGGTAATCGGTTTGTTTAATAAAATGTTTATGTTATTTTCTTTTTATGAATTATACATGACTAATAATCCACTTTATAATTGTTTATGAATAAAACTATACATACTAATTATGTTGAAAAAATAATGTACCTATTACTTGTTTGTTTTATGAAAAATATAATTTACCTAGTATGAAAAGTGTACATAATTATCTATTCCAATATACCTACATTATACGACATCCAATATACCTACATTAATTTTAATGTACTTACAATTAGGATTTAGGTATTATATGTCATCCAATGTACCTACCATTTGAATAATATACCTACTACGAATAAAGTACCTATTATTTATCTAAATAATGTACCTATTTTTTTTTATCTAAATAATGTAATTTATTTTGTATATATAAATAATATAGCCTTTTTTCTCTGAATAAAGTACCTATATTTGTTTTATTAAAAATAATTTTTTTAAATGAACCCATTTTCTCTCTCCAAATAACTTACCTATTTTTTTCCTCTAATAATGTACCTATTTTTCATAGGTACATTATTGGATATGTAATTTATTGGATACCTATATTTTATATGTATATATTTATATTATAATTTTCATAAGTACATTATTGGATATGTAATTTACAGATTTTTTTTTGTTTGCAATTTTAGGGGGCGAGATGTGAGAGGGAATGACAACTATAAGAAATGGGGTGATTGATATGCTATTAATAGGGAGTATATTAATTACAATTATGACAGTTAATGAAATGCTTGAAATAAATTATAAATAAAATATGAAGTTTAGTGGCAACGATGTAAAAACATAGAAATACTACGACCTCTTATATTCTACTGGTCATTTAAATTTGAAATTGGGTTTTACACATAGATTTATAGAGTGATGGGTATATGTCTAGGAAATAGAAAATGTATGGATCTATATTGGACAAGCCCTTTTTTAAATGCAACTCTTCTCTAATTCTTTGAACTGATTTTATATAGGATCATATTGTGATTAAAAGTCTTTCTTGAGTGAAATGGAGTGTAAGTAAGCTCCTCTCATAGTATTAGTAGGGTGAGAGTCTCCTGCACTTGGGGTACCGCGAGTTCCACCCTAGGCAGAAACCCTACCTAAGAATCTCTCCCGACTAAATCATCAAACAAGAACTACACAACATGTCTCGTGAAATCAGAAAACAGAGAATGCTTGCCAAACTTGTTCTCATTCTCTGCCACCCTACCGTTGGATCAGATTCTACCCTGGACAGCTGGACGGCATAAGATCGGTAGGAGCCTCCAGCAGCCTTAGGAATAAACTGACCATATCTGTAATATTATTATATAGTTGCATTGCAGAGTTGAGTGCAAAAGATATTATTGGTGTAAGTAAGACTGTAAAGTCAAACAAATGTAACATCACAGGAACACAAAAAAGAGGGAGCCTAGGGCCACTCATTGAAACATGCCACTTGCCATAACTACTATTCTGCAGGATCAGCACATGACACACACATGGAAGAAACCCAGCCCGAGAAAAAAGAAAAGAAAAAAAAAGGGGGCTTAAAACCATGTGGACCTGCATAAAATATAATGATATTCTTATTTATTAGTTAGAGAGTGGGGAAATTTAAACGTGTAACTTCTTCTAATATTTAAAAGAGAAGTAATACTGTTCACGCGGTTTTAACTTAGTGAAAAATGATTTTTCTAATTGGATTTCCGTTTCTAACTGGATTTTATTCCAAAGATGTAGGCCAATGGTTTTGGGTTCGAATTCATGGTACCTTGTTAGTGTATGTGAGAAACTGTCCTTCCACTTATAATTTAGACTATCACTTGTATTACTTCTAGTTGAAAGGAACCAGAAAATCATAGGGGAACAACATATCCGTACCAGGAAGTGAAGATTGTAAGGCTTTTAGGTCCACCTGCCATGGCAACATGCCATGTGATTGGGCTTTTCTTTTTTTCCTTTTCCGACAGATGAACAAGGAGTATGGGATTGACAATATTGTAAGTGAAAAAATGGATCATTGATGGTGTTTGCTTCACAGAATGACACTCAGACCACAAATGCATTATTGAGGTGCTGAGAAATCATGTGCATAAAATGGGGTAGCAGCAGCACCCAAAAAAACATAAGAAAAAAGAAAGATAATTACCACAATACCATGCTCACACAAACTTCGTTGAAATTTGAGGTTCAAATTATTTGAATAATCAAAGATGAATAAAAAAGTATATTAAAGTCAATTCAGGGTTTATGTAAGTACCTGAGGCCAAGTGTAATTATATAATATTACCTGGACTCATTAATCATATGTCTTTTTCAAGTGGATTTAGCAAATGGTTGATGGGTTTAGTGAAGTCAAGTGCTGGCATCTTCATCACATGAACTTGCATCACAAAGCAGCTCATCCAATTCCACTGGCCCTGGGGGAGGTTGTGCAAATCTACTCACATCAGACCAGATCTCAAGTGGCAATTCCACTTGCACATCTTCATAAGCCCGGGACTCCGGACGGGTGCTTACCAACAATAAAATAAAGAATTTAGATTTTTTTTTTTCTGCATTCGTGTAAGTTCACTCTGCATTCTAAGTACATTTCTCGTTTTAATTTAATTCTCATTATTTCTAAGAAAACCCAGCATGTAACACTACAATACTCACATCCATTAGCTGATTAGCCGACTAATATGTATTAATTGGATCCACACATTTTCTTTAATGTAATAGATAAGAGAGAGAATATGATATATTTTTATATATTATACACACGCACAATATACATGTATAATGTATTGATTGCCATGCAACTTTTGTCAGCCAGAGAAACAAAAAGGGTAAAAGAAAAGAGGAGAAGATATTTGTTGCCGATAAGGGATTATATGGTATATTTGGCGGTCCGTACAACTTAAAACGGCCTTCATATGAAGTTAATTAGAGGCTCGGAGAGAACACAGACTGTAGTCTATAGATCCAAATCCAATCCAATCAATCCCCAATATATGTTTGAATCTTTGATTTGATGTGGTCCAACAAGTCACTTGGGTTGGGTTGCTTGGACCACCCTACATTTTTGTCTCTGGTTACTAGTTGATTAAGCTTACTGGCAGGCACTGCTATGGCAACGTCTCGTCCTCATCCCACTCTGTAAAATTTTCTGGACATTTTCTGGGTTGACAGATTGAGCTTCACACCTTCACCATGACCTCGCTTGTAATGGAAAACAACAAGGGCCTCTTCTTGATTGGTTATGGCCCAAACTGGTGCATAACCGGGTTTGGCTGGGTTGTGCTTGGATGGGATAGGGAAACAATGGTAAAACTCAATGTTGGAAATGGGTTAGGTTCATTTGCCATCCTCTTTGGTGCATTGTTTGATTTGATTGGGCTTGGATTGACGGCCTGCTGCAATTGGGAGAACGACAACCGTTTTTTTTCATGACGATGGGTCGGTCACTTACCACATGTGCCTGCATGAGTAACTTCCTCTTAACTACTTGAGCCACGAGTCCCTTACCACGTATTACTTGGTTCATTTTTGACAAGTGTTATGAACAACCTTAGTTTCTTTTTTTCCTTTACATTTTTTCTTTAACGAAAACGACAGGAGCACCTTCACATGTATCCTTTAAATTAAGGTTCAATAATCCTATTTCATTAAGATCAAATCCAAGACTAAGACGTATTGTTTAACAAGAAAGGAAAGCACCACACCACTTCCAAGAACTAACCAAGGGCAAATCATTTGCCAAGTTTGAAAGAAGCAACTTTAAAAGAGCATCTTCTGGAGCTATATATAGATATAGATATATATATATATATATATATATATATATATATAAAGACTCAGTGAAACAGGAACCAGATAATATCTAAATGAAATTGCATACCTGCACTGCATGAAATCTTATATAGTATATGCTTAACATTTCAACAATTTTTTTGGTTGGATGCAAGCAGCAGCCATATTCTAATTGGGACATGATAGCACACACATCAAAAAACGAACCAGAAATACAAAGCAAATCCAATCTCCAAGCCATTTTTCTCTTCATACTTCATCCTGCATGTGACAAAATTAAACATTCAAAAAAAGAATTTCCAATAAAGGAGACTCTGAAAGAAAGAGAGAGATAGAGAACCACCTGATCAAATGAAAAATACTGAAAGAAGGGTAACCCAGCAAAAGCCAGTATCTGAGCTATTTTGATTTTCTCTTCTGTTTTGATCATTGAAAATCATTCATTCGTATCAGATGGGTGCTGCTGCTGCTGCTGCTGCTGATTGAAGGAAGCTACACCACCTGGCCTCTGCCCTTTGTGCTGGTGAAATTGAGTCAAAGCTTGAGAACTCACAACCCCAATATGACCATCCTGTGAGAGCCCAAGCTCTAAACCTGGAACTTGCTGGTTGCTTCCACTTAGAACTGTGGGAAAACCCATTGACCCCAAATTCATACCAGGGACATCAAACCCATGAAACCCAAACTTATGCTGCATGATGTTCAAGTTTTCACTCCCAAAATTGACTGTTGCCTGACCAGAATTTTGATCAAAACCTGACCTAACCCCACTGAGAAAGGGCAAGGGCCAAACCCCACTTGCTACATTAGATCTGCCCATATGAAATGCCCAGTTGGCACTGCCTTCAGACCCAACACTTGGTCTTATTAGTCCTTCCATCCTTGTATGCAACCCAGAAGAAACAGAGGAAACAGAGCTCCCCTGTTCAGAAACAGAGGACCCTGCGGCTGCAAGAGCTGAAGCAGGTACAGTTCCAGAGCCAGTGGCAGCTATAATTGATGGCTCAGCTTGCTGCAGCAGCCACTGAATTGTTTCCCCATCAGACTTGTGACCCAATTCTCTGGTCAATTGAAAAACCCTAGCTGCACACAAGGCAGGCATCCGTATTCTTCTCCCTCTACCATCCACCTTTTTGTGCCTGTCCTTGTTGGAGCTCCTCTTGGGCGCCAGGTGCTTCTTGTTTTCATCATCTTTGTTTGCTTTCAGAATCTGCAAGTCCTTGATTTGCGCAGGCTTGTTCTCTGCCATGTCTGCTTTTGTGGGATCAGGCTCAGCTCAGGACCCAAAATGGTGGGCACCTCTTGTTGGGGACGATGATGTAAGCCCTTTGGCTCAGTGAGAGAAGGAAGTTGGGGTGGCGTTTGAAATTTGAAGGCCACTTCTCAAGGCTTGTTCTTTTATTGGCACGCGTAAATTTGCCAATGGGAAATATCTTGAAATTCAATAATTGAAGTCGGAAAGTTACAACTCGTACCGCCACCCTCCCTCTCTCTCACGCTATTTCCCTTTCTTTTTTTTTCTCCTTCAGTTTCTTGTTTGTTACCTGCTCCAAAAAATGGGAACATCACATACTATTGTCAATTTCCTCCAAATTTTTAAGTGCTTCATATTTATCTATTTATTTATTTAAAAACCATATAATAAAAATGATGAAATACGAATTACATAAGATTTTTTATTATAAGAACATCCTCAATGATATGCGAGGGAACCTCTTACTATGTAAATATACATGATAAATATAAAGTATAGTGGACTAATCTATGCACCACTGTATTAGTGTCACGACTTACATATTCCACCATACTATGAGACATGTGACTTAAAATATAAAATATTCATATTATAGCACATGAGTTAATAATATCACATACAGATGAACTTTTAACCGTGATAAACGTCAAAAACTACATCGTGCCTTAAGTAAGTTGTGTTGATAGTTAAGGCAATGAGGCGTCTATCGTGCCTCAAAAGTAGTAACTGATTGGCTAGGCTTGGCTCTCTAAATTCTAATAGAGTCTTTGCATAGTTTCAACTGTTTTTGACACTAGGGAGATTGATAGTAATGGGTCCAAATTGGCATGAAAAAAATGATGAAATGGTCTAAGCGTTTGGTGCAAACAATAATTAAGTAGGCCCCTTTGATTTTTGATTGAATGAGGAATTGCCCCTATTTTCTTTGATCATTTGACAACTCATCACATGAAACGTGGGAGATACAGCCAAAAAACCAAGGACACAAATCATCCAACTTGATGAGCATACATAAAAGAAGACGTGACTTCATAACCATAGCAGATAATGTTTGGAATAATATTTTATTAGTAAATTTGTAAAGCAAACGAAATTTGCAAAATCTTTTTAAAAACTTGCAAACAAAAGAGTGGATGACTTTGCTTAATGTCTTTATTTTCGTCGACGTTGGTTTCTTTAATGAAAGAATTATGAATGGGTAGGTAGGTATGAGATATGCATCTGATTCTTGTGTTATTTTTTCATGTGTTGGCCATCGAGGAGTCAAAAAGGGATCTTTATAAAATTTGCTATTGACAAATCACCCAAATTCTAAAGTTTATGGTGAAATTCTTTCTTTTAAAACGAGTAGGTTTACAGATAAAACCCATTCTTTTGTTCTACTTTAAAAAAAAGAAAAAGAAAAAGAAAAAGTAGTTTGCTCTTAATTTTCTTCGACTTTTTTGGCCAGAGATGGAAAGTGAAGGAGAGTGGTTTCATCCCAATGTTCATATATGGTCGTTTTTTAGGGTCTTGTGCGAAATTTAAATTGGAGCCTCACATAATCTAATACAAAAATACTATGTAAATTTTTTTGCCATAACTTAATGTCATAAAACAATTTTTTTATAACTAAAAGTCGCCATCAATAAACATGTAATGACAATAAGAAATCAAATTCATAAAAATTTAAATGTTTCTATTTCATAAAGTTAAATATTAGTATGTTTGGTATAAAAATAAGCTTCTTATGCCTCCATAAGATCCCTTGCTACCTCCAATAAGCAATCTGTGTTTAATAGGATAAAAAATTGTCAATCATAAACAAAAGAGTAGTTGCACACAAATGTCATTAAAAAAATTAGATTATACTGCAAACAGAAAAGTAACAACAAAAACATGCTTGACTATCCAAAAATCACTCACATTGTATTTGCTGTCTTTATTTGAAGAATTAAAACTATTATGCAAACTTTTCCCCAAAAAATTTTAAAAAAACACACAGCCAATACAATACTAATGTCTAAAGATTGATCGTCTTGAATTTTTAGAAGAGAAATCATCAATCAAATGCTCATAATCAAGTTTTTCTAGAAGTTCACTTTCAATTGAAATCAAAGCTAGTCCGTTTAATATTTCTTGCAACATAGTTGATCGCAAGTATGATTTTAACAACTTTAATTTTGAAAAACTTCTTTCTGCAAATGCAACAGTAACAAGAATAGTCAATAGAATTCTATATGCAATGGATGCATTTGGAAACTATTTAAACTTTTCAAAAAATCTAATATTGCAGTAGCTATGATTTTTTCTTTTGGTAAAAGCTCCCGTAAAACTTTCAACTCAACAAATAAATCTTCCTCCCACCGACATCAGAAAACTTGTCATTTTTCAACCAAATGACTGCAACAAGTCTTCAAATTGTCGTCATCGAATGAATTTAACTTCTTTGAAATAAACAAAAACCCAAAAATATTCTCATACTCTTGATGTTGTTGAAACCTTCTCCGTAAAGAACCAATAGCTTGATCCACTAAATACAAGAAATAATCAAATCTAAACTTTTCTTAAGCTGATTCAAGAACCGATTGGGATGGCTCACAAGCATTCTCATCAAAATATTTTTTTCTACGATTTTTTGCTTCTCATGAAACACTGGGTCAATGGTCTCCTGAATTTGAATTGAGACTTGAATCGGACTATTTAATTTTGAGTGGTCTTTATGAATTTAGGAATTAGGGTTTTCTCTTTTTGGTGATGAAATTCCTGAAATTGAAAGAATAACAAAATTTGTCAAAGGATTGAAAAAAGAACCAAAGAAAGATTGATGAATCATGATGATTACTTACCAGAAAATCAAAGTTTAAGGGAAATATGAAGCCATGACGGTTTTTTTTATTTTTTATTTATTTATTTTTATAAGTTGGGGGAAAGGGGGATATATATACTGCTGCTAAAGGGATAAGCACTGAAAAGTCAACTCCGCCACATACGCTTTTGTGCTAATATATAACACGCTAAAATATATATACAATTCCTATAATATTAATATATATATATATAATATAAAGAAATTTTTTTTTTCGGGGGCTCTGTGCTGTGGTGCCACTTGCACCACTCTAAGGCCGCCCCTATGTTCATACCTACGATTCATGTGATGATTCTTGGCTAGCCTATGGTGTTAAAACATGTCAAAAGATAAACCCTATGGTGTTTGGTTTGCAGGAAATGGAGTCTTGAATGATAAATAATTTATTTTCCTTTGTTTGGTAAGTCGGGAAAATGATTTTCATCTTCCTTTCCCTTGAGAAATTAATTTTAAATAATTGAAAAAAATTTATGTTTATTTTCCCACTTTTGCATATTTCTAATTTAAGAAATTTTTTTTTAAATACAAACGATACATTTTGTTTAGTTTTCCAAATATCCTCTTACAAATTTTTGTTCCCAATTCATGCACAAACAAATATGAAAAAGGAAATCAAATAATATTTTTCAATTACTTTCTCAAACATGATCAAATATAGAAAACGAATCTTCCATTTTCTATTATCTAAAAAAGGCATAAGAACTGATTTCCATGAATTCATTTTCGCTAACCAGATGCGTAAGAGGGTTATCGTCTGCTGTGGCCTATGGCCAAAGGCCAAGAGAGAAAAAAAGAAAAAGAAAAAGAAAAAGTCAACTGCAGGTCGGAACAAATGTGGCTTCAAAATTTGGGCCTCAGTAGATGACCCATTTTCTAATTTCGAACCGGGCTGAGGGTTAATGTACGACAATGTAAAAGCATGCTAATTAAGTTTTATCTAGAGCCTTTAGAAGATGCTCTATCTCTTAACTGTTAGATCAAACTAATCAATTTATTCCAAACGGTAAGAAATAGGGCATCATCTAAATGCCGTAGATAATGCATTCACTAGAATTCTAAGCTGATTATTATCGTTAGAATTTGTCATTTGAGTCTCAATCCTGGCATCAATTTTCAGGTTACATTCTCCGTCTGTATTACCGTGGGCAATTTGAGAGTAAATTTCTAGAGTCTGTTTGGATTTGCTCTTGTTGACTTCACTCTGCCACAAGGCATTTGGCTTTCAACGTAATTCGCATGCCTGCACAGTGAAACTCGACTTACTATTAAGCCTCTGTTTCTTAATCGGTGCTAGGAAACAGATTCATAAGTACACTAATTATCAAGTAATTAATTTACACACATATATGCCGGGACTGCGGTACTGGAGAAGAAACCTGGAGTGAATTTACTTCAATGTTTCTTCACGTTGACAGAGCAGATTTCACAAAAACTCAAGGATAATCCAAGTCCTAGTTCTAATTGCTTGTTGATTAGTAAGACCACACTCCTAATCTACCCGGAACAAATTACAAAGCAAAAATTTCGAAAAAAATTTATTCCATTTCGCTCTGATAGCAATGGAAATGAGGACTTCACTCAGAGTCACTGCTCCACACCAACATCACCCCACCGGACTTTGTACCTTGCTGCAAGGTAGTGTGCCCCAACAGGACCCCTACTTCCGTAAGGGTAGTACTCGGGAATAATCTTCTTCTCTTCTATCTCTTTCAATAAGGGTGTGAAGAGTGCCCAAGCAGCATCAAGTTCATCACTCCGAATAAATAGCCTCCTTTCCCCTTCAATAGCATCCAGCAGAAGCCTCTCATAAGCATCCGGAATCTCCTTTGAATATCTACAAATAACATGCCAAACAGATTTGGTTAAACATTTTAGTATTTGTCCAAAACATAAAATAGACAATCATAAAAAATAACCATAAGTAGTGTTGAGTACGGTTTCAATGAACTAGTATCATACAGTAAGAGTCTAATTCTGATATTACAATTAACAATATTTCATAGCAAGTACAAGATTAAACCCTTTGGTCGAATATATACATAACTTCTGAAATTTACCTGGCTGCGTAGTGAAGATTTAGGTTACTCCTGTCCAACCTCATTCCCAAACCAGGGACTTTGTTATTGATCTTCAGCAAAATAGCTTCATCAGGCTGCACTCGGATAACAAGCTCGTTTGTTGCTCGATCAAGATCTGTTCCGATATTTCGATTATACAAATTTCCAGGCACATGACGAAACTGTACCCTTATCTCAGCCCTGGAAAAAAAAATTAGAGAAACAACTATGAGTCGAGATATCAAAAACTCAGTAAATAAAACAAGAATTAGGTTATATCCCTAATTGATCACCTCTTATTATGCAATGCTTTCCCAGCCTTCATGAGGAAAGGAACCCCATCCCATCTTGCATTGTCTATGAAGAGGGCAGCTGCAGCAAATGTTGGAGTCAAGCTGTCTTTGGGTACAGTCTTGTCATCCGTGTAGGCTGGGTAAGTAATACCTCCTCTAACATGGCTCTTGTATTGCCCCGTGACCACATTTTCAAGTTGCAATGGCCTCATAGAACGTAAAACTTTAACCTGGCACCGAGCAAGCAATATAAATAAAGGAAAGAGGAAAGTTATAATATATGGTACTAAAGCAGTCTCATTTCAGGTATTTGTAAAACCTTCTCGTTTCTGATATCTTCTGCATCCAAACTGACAGGGGTTTCCATTGCAAAGAGTGCCAGTATCTGAAGCAAGTGATTCTGCATTATATCTCTTATTATCCCATAATTGTCAAAGTACCTACATCCACAGCAAGGAAGAAGGGTTTAGGAAAGATTAGAAATTCATGCCTAACTTCCGACCCCATAAAAGAGTTATGCCTACTTAGGAAAGAAAATTACCCTCCACGTCCTTCAGTGCCAAAATCTTCAGAGAAAATTAACTGTACATTTCTTATATACTGCCTTGACCATAAGGGTTCGAAAATAAGGTTGGAGAAGCGGAGAACTGAAAGGTTTTCCACAAGCTCCTTGCCCAGATAGTGGTCTATCCTGTTAACAGAAAAAAGAACCTTATATTAGCTTATGGTCCATAATCATTGCATGATCAAAACCAACCGGGTCCAAAAAAATCTACCTGAATATTTGATCCTCTTCTAGGTACTGCTTGAGGGCCTTGGTCAAAGCCGCAGAGGATTCTGAATCTCGACCAAAGGGTTTCTCAACAATAACCCTGGTCCAGCCGTTACCAGATGAGGCTGACAAGCTAGCACAGCGAACAGCATCTATGAATATGTTTGGAGGGATAGATAGATAGAACAGGCGATGAGGAACTCTTCCCCCCTACACATGCAGTTCCTTGTCAATCTAAATGGAAGTAGGACTAAAATGGAGAAAATAACTAACTTGAATGTCGTTGAAATGGACGATAATATAAAGTACACATGAGCAAGTCTGATATGCAAAGGCACTTAAAATTCATCCAAACTCCAAATCTCGAGCAGAATGCAAAGTATAAACATCATATGCACATAGATGTTTAGTTTATAAAGTACACCATATGAACATATAAAGTACCTCATGTTCCTTTAGTTTCTTGTCCAGCTTCACGAAATCTTCCTGTGAATCATACTGACCAGAATGGTAGAAACATCTTTGAAGAAATTGCTCCATTTTTTCGCCACAATTCTCCCTGAAGTTCCAACAAAACAATATCACGTACCAATCAACTCAGCAAAAGAACTGTCAAATACTATTTAGAGCTTTCAATCAAAGTACACATAACAAAGCAAAGCAACCTCATTTTACAAACAAGAATAAAGCTTGGCTCACCTCTTGTCAATCCTGCAAGTAAGCGTCTTGCTAACCGTGTCTCTGAGCTCCGCATCAGTCATCTTACTCCGAGCATAACCGTAAATAGTAAAATGCTGCAACAAAACATCACATATTATTTTCCACCGATCAATCCAAATATGGGAAAAGAGTAAATCAAATGAAAGAAAAACAAAATCCACACCTCAGGGAGGCAACCCTCGTAATAAAGTGCGAAAAGTGCAGGGAATATCTTCTTCTTAGCAAGGTCCCCAGAAGCCCCAACCACAGTGATACTGACAGTTGAGTCATTTTCATTGACATTAAACCCAGTTATGTCTTTAGATTCCCTGGAAGATGGAGCTGAAAATAACCCATCTTTCAATTTCTCGAAAGGAGTTTCATTCTCAATTGGGTTCACTACTGGCGCCACTGGGCCTACATTAATAAATGACAATAAGTATATAAATAAATCAAAAGGCGGAAGCTCTTAACGCAAGAACAGAACAATCTGATGATTTCTGATGGCATCTAAAATTCAAAGAATTGGTCTAAGGTTGTTAGCAAATCAATAAAATTAAACAACCACAGACTCAGATGCAATCAAGATAAGCTCACAAAAACTGAAGAAGCTAACCGTCTTGCATGTGGACAGCATTTTTCTCTGAAACGGATTGAGATTGCAGAGAAACCTTAGCTGAAACAAAACGTTTCGGAGTGGAAGGCACTGCGATACGTTGCAGGCGTCCGTGTGCAGATGAAAAAGAAGGTAAATACGATACTGAAGACGACGACGATGGAGATGAAGACGAAGATGAAGGCGGCAATGGCGAGTAAGTGTGGCAACAATGGGTAGATGGAAGAGTCGACATCTCTCTCTCTCTCTCTCTCTCTTTCTGTTTCTGTTTTTTTGTTTCTTTTGGGTTCAGAACAGAGAGAACAAGTTGTGTTGGGGTTTGGGTTAAGGTCGGAGGAGACGAGGAGTTAAGAAGGGAGAAACTTGGGAAACATCGAAGGGGGTCGGGTTATCAGAGAGGCCCTTTGAGATCTCCGAAAGGATGTTTTGTCTTCTTTACTTGCCTTGCCAAGTTGCCAACAAACCAACCACATTACCATATGCAGCTTACAAGGAAGGGACAAGTCTTGTTTCAACTTTGATTCCTCCTTCTAATTAGGTTTTTTCATGTAATTAAAATAATTAATCATTCTATCAATTATTATTAAAATGTTAACTAGAAAGTGAATGGCTAAAGCAATGTAGGCCCGAGTCACAATGGACTACTTCCATTAGCCCATTTTGTAATGGTAATGGGCCGAATTTGAATTTTGCTATGAGCTATTGAATAAGTTTAAGGCTTAATATCACAAAACGTCCCTAAGGTTTACGAAACTATCAGATTGTATCCTTTTTTTGTGTCATTCATGGTCCTCAAGGTTAGTATGTGTGATCACAAATGGTCCATCCTGTTAGGTTTCGTCAAAAGCTCTGTTAGTTTGCTAACTTGGTATATATATATATATATATATATATTACAAAAACATCGCTGAGGTTCATGCAGCTATCACAAATGGTTCCAGCGAATTTTTTTAATTTTTTTTTACTTAAAATTCATAAAATATTGGTTTTCTTTTAAAAATTATTTAAAAATATATATTGTACTTTAAATACACGTGACACTATATTTTTTGAAGATGGGGCTCCACATCAACAAATTAATGAAGTATTTTTTTAAAATAATTTAAAAAAGAAAACCAAAATTTTATGAATTTTAAATGAAAACAGAAAAAAATTCGCAAGGACCATTTGTGATAGGTGCGTGAACCTCAAGGATGTTTTGTGATATATATATATATAGCAGACTAACAGAATTTTTGACGGAACCTAACGGCAGAGATCATTTGTGATCACACATGCTTACCTTGAGGACCACGAATGACAAAATTAAAAAAAGAAAATTAAGGATGCAATATGATAGTTTTGTAAACCTTAGGGACGTTTTGTCATATTAAGCCTAAGTTTAATAATTAATTATGATTGTTGAAGAAAAATGTGAATCTCCCAACATAATTTCACCACAACTAATTAAATAATGAGATTTTATTATTTTATGTTCGACCCATTTTAGACATAGTGTCTCTTAATTACAATCCATTACTTCAAGGGAGCACCCTTTGATTCCATAATAAAGAAACAAAACGTGTGTCTTTGGTTTTGCGGCTGCCCATAAGTCGAATCTCAGGGTGCCTACGTATCCACTGCGGGAATCAAGACACTCATAGTTCAAAGAATTGCAATGAATAAATGGCTCATTGCAAGGGAAATTTTATTTGAATTGTATTGAAAAATATTTGAGTGAATTTAGCTGAATAAATTAGGGATTCGATATGGAATTGTGTTTGGAGGAAAATTTGGATAAAAATAAACCAGGGATTATGTTCAGATTTAAGATTTGGAAATTAATGGATAAATGTGGCCCACTAATTAAGATTTTGTGTCTTCGAGACAATTTGGAGAGGTTAAAATTTTCATATGTAGATGACCCACAGGAAAAATTGGAAATTAATGGGTAAGTGTGGCCCACTAATTGAGAATTTGTGTTTTGAGAGATTTGAATTTAATCTCATTGAAATTTGCAAGGGTAGATGACCCACGTAAAAAATTGGATGGTTTTGTATGATTTTTCTTATTTGTCAATATCCAAGAAAAATAATGAGCAATTTTGATTAACCCACAAATTTTCTAAAATTGACATTTGCACTTGGAAAAGTATTTTGGCAAATTTGGTCAGGATAAAACTAGGGATTCAAATTTGGTTGCGGTTGCGGTTGCGTCTATTGGGGTGCTAAACTGCCTACATACCCTTGACGGGATCAAGCCAACGTAGTTCCAAAAAGATTGTTTAATTTGCATGTTTTTGTACCACTTGGAGCTTTGGCGTGGGTTTGTACCATTTGGGATTTGATGTGGTTTCGTACAACTTGAGATTTGGTGTGGTTTTGTACCACTTGAGTCGTCACTTGACCATTTGGGAATTAATGGGACTTATTTATTTATTTATTTATTTATTTATAAATTTGAGCCCATTAATCCATAATTACATATTGGAATATGTAAAATAATTAACTGCTGCTGGAAACTCCTCGTTTTCTTACAGCTGCTGGAAACTCTTCATCTTCCAACAATTGTATTGTCTTGGTACTGTAAAAGCCTTTATTAATTCTAACGACTGTAAAAGGCTTGCCTATATATGTAGCCTGTTGTACTGATACCTATATGATGAATAAGAATCTCAAACTCCACCGAGGATGTAGGCTCAAAATTGCCGAACCTCGTTAAACTTGTGTTGTTCTGTTTTCTTCTTTTTCTATGATTTCTACATGGTATATGAGCAAGACCTTTGAAAATCCTGTCTCTTTGTCTTCTCAATGGGTGATTCTTCTGGGAGAGCTTCTGTTTTTTTCGGGCGAATCCGATGGGAATCCTAATCTTCGCCTTTGTTCGGTTCTTCTAAATGGATTTAACTATATTCCTTGGTCAATAGCTGTCAGTTTGGCTCTTGGAGGAAGATCGAAACTTGGCTTCATCAATGGAAATATTCTTGCACCTGCTGTTGATGATCCAAAGTATGAGGATTGGTTCTGCAAGGATCAACTTGTCATGTCTTGGTTGCTAAACTCTATGGAGCCTCAAGTTGCTGAGATTTTCAGTTTTTTTTTTTAATTATGCGCAACATCTTTGGACTGCTGTCAAAGAAATGTATGGAAATCAAAATAATGCAGCCAGGATTTTTCAACTAAAGAAGGATATTGCTAGGGTATATCAAGATGGAAAACCTTTTATTGAACATCTGGAAAGCTTAAAGGCATGTGGAATGAGTTAGATCTTTACAGACCACATACTACTGATTTAGCCACCCTTTTGAAAATGGCTGAAGAGGATAAAATTTTCCAACTCTTGGCAAGTTTGGATCCAGATTATGAAGACTTACGCCGTCACATTTTGATGAGTGTTGAAATGCCTTATTTCAATACTGTTTGTACTACTATTCAATGAGAAAAGGTAAGGAAGAAAGTCATGAACGTAGAAAACAAATCAGGCGCTGGAAGTTCTGAATCTAAAGCTTTTGTAGCTAGTGCTAAAAAACAAGCAAGCAAAAATTTCAAAGGAAAAAAAGGCAATATGGAGTGTTGTCATTGCGAATAAAAAGGTCACACCAAGAATAGGTGTTGGATTCTTCACCCTCATTTGAAGCCAAAATTTGGAAAGGAAGGAAAAGGAGAACAAAAACACAGTGCCAATCAAGTTTCTGCTGCTGATGATTTTGAAAAATTCACTACCAACCCTTCAGTTTTTCTTGGTGAGTTTGCTGCGTATCTCCACCAAAAAAATGAGAATCCCAATCGTAAAATTGATGCAAGTGTCTCTAATAATGCTGGAGCAAATCTAGCCTCAAACTCTGTCGCTCTTCTTGGATAGTTTGCTAATTTTCTTCAACAATATGGAAAGTCCTCTACTTCTGATGTCTCAGGTATTGTCAAAGCCTTTGTGACTGCACTTATTTCTAGCACTATGTCAAATGTTTGGGTTATAGATTCGGGAGCCACCGATCACATGATGAATAAAAAACAATATCTTTGTGATTTTAAGAATTTCACTAAGGCTCACTCTGCCTCTGTAGCTTATGGAACTGATGTCTCAGTTTTGGGCCAAGGGAAGGTTAAATTTCTTGGTACATATGTTGAGTCTACTGCCTTATATGTGCCATAGTTCCCTTTTCAGTTATTGTTAGTAGGAAGACTGACAAATTCCTTAAACTGTGATGCCATTTTTTCTCCTTTTAATGTGATTTTTCAGGATCGAATTACCAAGAAGAATATTGGTGAAGGTGTTTACTCAAATGGATTATATCTTCTTCATCATTTTCCTAACAACTCAAGAGGGCTCCAAGTCAATTCTCTCTCAAATCGTGTTTTGTGAAGCTTATTTCCAGCACTAGATAAGGCATCCCAAGATTGTGAGATTTGTCATTTTCCAAAGTAGACACGTCTACCATAGTCATTCATTGTCAAAAACCACCAGATCTTTTGAGATTGTTCACTCATATGTATGGGGGCCAGCACCCTTAGAATCTTTTGATGGCTTTAAATATTTTGTTATCTTTGTCGATGATTTCTCTCGGGCTACTTGGTTATATCTATTGAAATCAAAGAGTGGAGGTTGCTTCTGTCTTCAAAGAGTTTCATCGGCTTATAATGAATCAATTTTCAGCCCGGCTTAAAGTTTTGAGATCTGACAATAGTACTGAATTTATGAATAGTACCCTTTCACAATACTTAAGTTGTTATGGTGTAATTCATCAAACAAGTTGTGTTGGCACACACCAACAAATGGGGTGGCAGAGAGAAAAAATCGTGATCTCCTTGAAAAAACGCGGTCACTCATGCTGCAAATAAATGTTCCTAAGAAGTTTTGGTCTCAGGGAGTTCTTACGGTAGCCTATGTGATCAATAGGCTTCCAAGTAGAGTTCTTAACTACAAATCTCCTCCTGAAGTTCTCAAAGGAAGGAAAATTGATCTTTCCCCCCTTCGTATCTTTGGCTATGTTCGTTTTGTTCATATTCAAGGATTACATCGAGATAAATTTGACTTAAGGGCAGCTAAGTGTGTTTTTATGGGTTATTCTTCAACACAAAAAGGGTATAAATGCTGTGATTCAAGAACCCGAAAGATCATTATATCTCGTGATGTTGTGTTTGATGAAACATGTTCCTTCTTTGATAAATCCTATGGAAATAATAGTAAAGGGGAGAGCTTTCTTGATCAAGTGCCTTTGCCAATTGTAGAAACCATTGATGATCATAGTCCTACAAGTGTTCCTTGTTCTCGAGATATAACTTCCAGCAGTGAAGGAACACCTTCCAACAACGAAGGTACTCCTTTCGACAGTGTTCAAACTGAGCTTATTTCTATTCTTCCTTCTCTAGTTGCACCACGAAGAAATCCAAGTCGAGCGCGGAATCCCCCACCAAAATTCAAGGACTATGTCAGTTGTACCACTCGATATCCAGTTGAAAGGTATATTACCTACGCTAATGTGTCTCAATCCCATGCCGCCTTTCTAAGCAAAATTTCCAACTCTTGTGAACCCAGCTCTTTTCAAGAGGCAAAAACCCAATTGATTTGGCAAAAAGCAATGAGAGAATAACTTAAAGCTCTTGATGAAAATCAAACCTGGAGTATTGTTAAGTTGCCTAAAGGAAAGAAAGTGGTTGGTTGCAAATGGGTTTATAAGACCAAGTTTAACAACGATGGATCCATTGAGAGACACAAGGCAAGGCTAGTGGCTAAGGGGTTTACTCAAACTTTTGGATAGACTACAAGGAAACTTTTGCTTCTGTAACAAAGATGAACATAGTAAGAGTTCTCTTATCTGTTGTTGTCAATAATGATTGGCCTTTATTTCAAATGGATGTGAAGAATGCCTTTTTGCATGGAGAATTAGAAGAGGAAGTTTACATGAGCTTGCCACCTGGTCATCCTCAAGAAAAACAAGAAGGAATGGTTTGTAAATTGCACAAGGCTATCTACGAACTTAAGCAATCTCCATGGGCTTGGTATGCCAAATTAAGTTCAGTTCTTGAAAGTATAAATTTTAAAAGAAGTAATGCAGATTCCTCTTTGTTTGTTAAAGATGGGCATGCTGGAAGATTGGTGGTACTTATATATGTTGATGATCTCATTATTACAGGTAGCAATATGAGAGAGATTCATAAACTCAAGTCTTTTCTTCACAAGAAGTTTGCTATTAAGGATTTAGGGTCCTTAAAATATTTGTTGGGTATTGAAATTGCCTCTTCAAGCAAAGGTTTATTTCTTAATCAACACAAGTATGTGTTGGATCTTCTTCAAGAAACTGGTATGTTAGAAACCAAACCAGTCATTACCCCAATTAACTACAAGGCCAAACTTGGTCTCGATGGAGATTTGTTAGCAGATGCTAGTTGTTATCAAAGGCTGGTTGGGAGGCTCATTTATCTTACTATTACTCGTCCTCACATCTCTCATGCAGTAAGCTTAGTAAGCCAATTCATGCATTCTCCTCAATCAACTCACCTGCAAGCAGTCAAACGGATTCTTCATTACTTAAAGGGTTCCATTGGTTGTGGTATTTTGATGAGGAAAAATGGAAACAATCAAATTATAGGGTACTCAAATGTTGATTGGGTAGGGTGTCAAATTGACCGGAAATCCAACACAGGATATTGTACCTTCGTTGGAGGAAATTTGGTCACATGGAAGAGTAAGAAACAAAGTGTCGTTGCTCGTTCAAGTGCTGAAGCCGAATACAGAGACATGAAACTATTTTTCCAGTATCAATGAAACTATTTTTCCTGATAAAAAATAATAATAATAAGATGAAGACTCTAATCCGTACAAATAAATAAAAAGATGAAGACTCTAATTTGATTTTCTATGTAGGATACATTAATTACTACAAGATTTTTGACTGTCATTTGGTAAACCATATTCTATGAGCCCATGTATGAGCAATCAGTCACACATGGACATGAATGATGTTTTCATTGTAGTTAGTTGTGTTCCATTAGAGCATCTCTAGTAAACTCCATATCCTCTCATCCCTCGCTACTTTGACTAAAAAGAATGAAAATCCTCCTTCCAACAGACTCCCTACTTGGCGCTCTATATTGGAGAACCAACATTTGGCTCTCTACATCTAGCAAGGAGGAGAGAAAAATGGAGGCTCGCCAAATTGAAGAGAAAGAGAAAAAGAGAGAAAACGGGGGAGAAAGATAGAGACATTTGGGAGGTTGGTGGGGTTGGGTTTCTACTTTTCTTTTTAATATATTTGATTTGCAAGAGAAATAGGGAGAAAGAGAAAGAGAAAATAATAACAAAATATTTCAGATTAGCCAAAATAGAGAACATTACTGGAGGAAATACCTTTTAAGTGGTTTGCTATAATAGCTTTCTAGCTATTTTAGCTAGAATTTGACTAAAATTTAGAGACTCTCATGGATATGCTCTTAATTTTTTTCCTCTCTTGGACCTCTTTGTGTGTGCGCGCGTGTCTCCCTCTTACTTTTAGATATATAAATATGAAGTTTGCATGCCTTTTGGTTGAATAAAAGTGTTAGTCAATTCAGTCAATTTAAAAACATGTCCAGAAATAGTAAGAGCTCTTTGTCTGTAATTATGATACTACTTGTCTCTTTACCTGTAACGAGTGCGAATAACATTTTGACACATATGCAAAAGTAATTCATAAAAAACATATAAAGAATTTTTTTTGCACATGTATCACAATGCTATTGATAGGAATGTAAGAACTCCCACTTACCTGATAAAGAGGAAAGCATTTTCCTTGTAATTATAAATTATAACTCTTAATTTTTATTTATCAGTCTGTGCTTGGCCATTGGATGGAACTTTGAAACTCATGCATTATTTTAAACTAGCTCCTTGGCACATGCTCACGCCAATTGGTTTTCTTTTTTCTTTTTTCTTTTCTTTTTAGAATTAAGAAAATATACTATGGGTAGTTATGTTCCATAAAAGGAGGACCTATTATCTGATTTTGTTTTTAATTTTAATTATTTTAAATATGAAAAAAAAAATGTGAATTTACCATATTATCCTTATTTAATTAATAATTTTAATTCTTAATGTTTGAATTAACCAAGAGCATTTTTTGGTATTTTGAATGTTTCACCATTCTCTGCATTTTGCTTTATATATATAGATGCATGTTTAGTCTCTGTGTTTTGTCTCGATTTCAATTTCGAGTTACATTACTTTTATTTTTTTCTACTGTTGTATCATATAAACACGAAAATTAAAATTGAAAAAAGTTTTAAAAAGTTCTTATGGCAGTTTTCAAACCCTCAACAATATTTTTCTCAAAATCAAATGGATTTTTTTCTCTCTAAATTGAAAATCCAGATTTTTTCTAACGGATTATCACAATGACCAAAATTGGGAAGAAACAAAATAAAATTAGTGTGTTTAAAATTGAAATTGAGACAAAAGACAATGAGGAAAAATGCATTTCACTCTTATTTGGAAAGGTTGAATACAAGAAATGGAGATTCACTAATATACCCAATATGGGGGCCCAAATTATAAAAATACCCCATATGAAATGAACTTTATAAACACACCCAAAACCCATTTACAACATAACAAAGAGGCCTTAACTTCTTATAAATTACAAAACTACCATAAATTTCTTAAAACAAGCCCAACCTTAAAATCTCATAAAAATACCCAAAACACTCAATAGGGTATTAAAGTAATTTAATAATCAATATTAAATTCAATAAGGCCAGCTGTCATTTTTGGAGTTTTTTTTGGGGTTTATTTATAGAATTTCAATGATGGAGGGTTTATTTATAATATTAGTGCTAAGAATGGGTATATCACTAAATATCTCTACAAGAAACACATGGTGGTTATGAATAGTTTATTTAGATTTTAGAGTAGGTAGGCTGACCTTGAGTTGAGCTGTTCACAATTTTAATGCTTTTATTTCTGCCTCCTTTTTCTCTCTTCGGAGCTAAGGAAGGAATTTCAGCCCTCGGAGAATTGAGCGTCAAAATAAACCCAACATAATATTCATATTCATAGTGGGTTCTGTGGTGGTGGGGCATTGCTCCTTGCTACCCTAAAACCTGCCAAATTCTCGAATCTAATACAATACTAATATTATCTTTCCTCCAAATTAGAGTGGGTCTAGGGAGACTGAAAAAACTATTAATTTCAAGGGTTTATTAGAATCTCAACTGTAAAAATAATAATAATAATACGTTTATATGAAAGGCTTAAATGTCAAAATAGTTCATGTGTCGGTCAATTTAGTTCCCGTGTTATTAATTTGGTCAATTTTATTATTGTGTTTATATATGTTAGCCAATGTGATCCATTCTGTCCAAATTCTATTAAATCTATAAATTGGTGTTATTTAATTTCTCCCAACCAAAAAAAAAGGAAAACAAAATTCGGTTTTAATTAGCCCCAAAAAAAAGGAAAAGAAAAACTAAATAGCTTTTTTGTTCTTCTGTAACTTCACCATTATTGATATGTTAAATAAAGGGAGCTTATTTTCCAACTGATATTTTTTTCCAATTACACCCTTTATTTAAAATTATATGTTCCACTTACACTCTCTTATTGGAAATTATATGTTATAGTAAAAAGTAATTTTTTTTTTAAAAACCCAAAAGAAGTGTAAATGGACAAATTCCGATTTTATTTTCGTCAGTTTCTCCAATAACTAATGAAGAATTAATATTTAACAGCAGATATTGGCAATCGCCACTAGTAAATTGTTATTACGTAATCAATAACATCAATAATTTACCAAGGTTTTTCAAAGTACCCAAAAGACGAAAAGAAAAACAAAACCAATAATTACCCCAACTAATCAACCGAGTCTCAATTTTGGGTACCCAACATACTAATCAAGCTTTACTACAAACCAAAAATCTAGCTTCCAGCGACCTTTGCTTATTAACCCTCGCAATAAAGGCTTCAACTCTTTTGTTTAGTTCTTCAGCAGGAATTCCAGCTGCCTCCTCCTCCTCCTCCTCTTTTTCTTGTTCTATTTCTTCCTCTTTTTTCTCTTTTTCTTCTTCTTTTTCTTCTTCATCAGTTCCCTCACATTCTTTAAAGTCTTCGTCCTGATCATCTTCATGCTTGTCTTCTTTAGTTTCATCAACTTCTTTCTCTTCAAGTATCTTCGCATTGTCCTCCTTCTGACTCAATATCGCTAGTACGGTCCTCTCTTCTTTCTTCTCTTGAAACATTGAGATTGGCGCCCTGAGACTTCGAGTTCTCTCAACATACTCGTTGTACATCTCATTCGCGGGAGATGATTGCCTGCCGCTGAGCCTCGATTCTCCAATAAGGAAGACAACTATGAAATTGACCACAATGAAAAGGCACCTGGGGTTAAAGAACCCGGACCAAGAATTCGGAAGAGACATAAACAACAAGTGTTTGGCAGTGTAGAGAGAAGGAAACCAATGAGAGTAGGAACAAAGTAAACAGCATGCTATTGCAATAAGCAAATGAACAATAAAACTATAAAAAAATTGACTGTTGTTCTGCTGCTTGTAACTCTTCATGGCTCGAAGCTTTTCACCCTTGATTGGATCCATATATTATTTATTGCACAAAGTGGTATGAGGAATTTGGTGGGATTATTAGTTCTAAGTTGGTCCTTTGAGGGGAGCCAATTTAGAGGACTAAAATTAGACAGTGAGTCTTGATTGAAATTTGAATTCACATCTGACTGAACGCAAAGAAGTGAAAACAAGGTGTATATATAGGTGGGGGAAAGCTGGATATTTTGGTGGGATTCAAGGCATGCATGCTGCTTTATTAATTATTGTACATGCATTATACTATTGTGTGAGGGGAGTGTTACTTTATGAAAAAGCTAAAACAAGTTGAGAATGTGTTCATTTGGGTGCTTTTGTTTTTCAGCCTCCATTGTTTTCACAATTCCTTTTCAAGGTGTTGATGGTTTTCAATTTTCCTCTTCTGAGCTAAGAAACATACATTTGCCCATCATCAGCAATGGTTTTTGCATTTGGATATGTAGGTGGTATGGTCGGACGTCCTTGTGACATCAACCCTCTTAATTTGTTCAGGGTCACAGAAATTAAAGAAAAACAGCACAGCTTCCTACCCTTAACTTCCATCATATTACACACCTTTTTGTACAGAATTAAGTTTTTAGTGTATGTTTATATACATACATATATATATATATATATAGATATTTAATGACAATAGCGAAGGCAATGAAAGATTCGGCAAACAAAATTACACACAAAGGTTTGGTCGTCGGACTACCAAAACATCATACTTTTTTCTCACTTAGAGCATCTCAAACCGATGTGTCAAAAGTGCCACATAGACATTTGACGGCTAAAAATAACATCTCACCTCACTCCAACCGATGTGTCAAAGCTGATGTGGAATGAAGGCTGGAGGTTGAGATGTTATTTTTGACATCCCAAAAGCAAGATGTCAAATGAATATTTTATTATTTTTAAAGATAGTTGGTTGTTACTTTCATTTATTATTTTCCTTTTTATATTTTTTTTCTTCTTTATCTTAAATGATTTGACTGATACAATAATTATTTATTTGACATATCGGGTGGAGTGTAAAACTATGTAAATGTCAAATTGTCATATCAGCCATCAAATTTAAATTTGATGTTTGGTATTTGACATCTTCCTTGGAGATGCTCTTAAAGGGATTGGAGGGAGCATAGCCCCCCATATAACACCCCCGTCCCTTAAACACCCATGCAGTGAAATTTTATTAAAGAAATAAAAAAGAAAAAACCTATATATATATATATATATATGCTAGTGTTATACTACTATATGTATGTAGGGATCTCTTAAATAAACTTATTTGAGGGATACGTACTCTTGTATGGCCTATCACACATTGTATTTTAATGATTTGAACCATTTAGTTTTTAAATATTCCTTCAAAGATCATCTTTGTAAAAAAAAAAATCACTTGAATCGAAAACTATTTGACCTATCAATTAGATGGTTGTTATTATAGTTTTTTCTTGAAGCAACGTGTTCGTATATTTTATTGGTCCCAATTAGATGTCTTAATGATTTTCAATTTTCATAATTTTTTGTAAGAATGATCTATGAATAAAGACTTACAAAAATAGATGGTTTGGATTGTTGAAAAAAAAATTCTTAAGGAACCCTAAAGGAATTTTATTTGAAGAATCCCTCAATAAAAGATAATTGTATGCATGCACATACGTAAGCACACTATATATGGGGATTTCTCTTGATAGCCCATCCCTTTATGAAGTACAACAGAACAGAGCACCTCAAGACAAAACGAGGCATAATTTTAACAAATCAAAACATTGCTCTTTATGTTAATTAATCACTACATGGAAATATTGTTTTCCTTGAAATTTATTTGCTTTCACCAATGGTTTCCATATCTAAAGTTAAGAGTAAGTTAAGACTAGTTGCCATGAAAAAGTACCACTTTTAGGGTAGGCAGGCATTGCAAGAGAAGAGAACAGCCGTGAAGATGCCCCAAATGCCACTTTTAGGTTTTTCTATTTCAAAAAATTGATGCGCATGGTTTGCTTTTCTCCATATAATAGAGGCCTATGGCAGTATGGCATTGGCACATGCGTTGAACTTAAAAAAAGAAGAGAGGAAAGCACTTTGTAAAGGAGCTTCTTAAAAAGCTAGACAAGAGGGTCGTTGTCGAAATTAGCAATGTGATTCAAAGATTAACACAACAAGGGTTAATTAAGGGTTAATTAGAATCTCACTCTCAAGATTGATCAAATGGAAGTTGGTGGGTGCCAGATATATGGAGTGCAGTGCAGGAACTTTGAATCATTGAATTAGAGGTACGTAGTGCTCATAATAAAGAAGTTTAAAAGGAAAATCCCCAAAAGTCCAAACCTACCTTCCACAAAGAGGGTTAAAGAAGTTAGTGGTGGGTTTGGAAAGCAAGGCTACTGAGGTAAATTAAATATATCAACCATGAGAAGAGCAGCTTCCAAGTGTTAACTTGTATTAATTCATTATAATTTCTAATGCTTTCAAATATTTGGCATTTGATTGTTGACCCATCAGCTGTCATGCATATGCTAATTTACAACCTAATTCAGCTTTCCAAGACCACATATAGCAAGTATATACCTGATAGATGCGCCTTTTTCATCGTTTTGGAACACAAGTATGTGTTCAATGTATATACATTCTGCTTTTACAAAATGGACGGTTTTAACAGATTCCACTATTACCTGAGAGAGAGAGAGAGAGAGAGAGAGAGAGAGAGAGTGGAGTCCATGTATTTGGAGGTGAACATGAAGCTTGACAGAAGGACATAAAAAAGCTTTGGTTTTGTCTACAAGTATATTTATGCAGCAAATTAACGTGGGTCTTAATTGTTGAGATTTTCTATTTAAATCCGGCACTTCTCTTTGTTCACCCCAATACTTAAATCATTAAGTTGTAAGTTTTATTATTGTGTAAAAAGACAAAAAAAGTCATCCAACTTAATAATTAACCATAGTACATCTATACACCCCACACACCCCACCACTCTTCATATTAAGTTTTAGAAACCTCATTCCAACTTCTTGTTTACAAACTCTCCCTCCCTCTCTCTCTCTCTCTCTCTCTCTCTCTCTCTCTCTCTCAAGAATACCCAAGTGTTAGAATTCCAGTTACAGTTCTTGGAGAGAGATAAAGTTGTTCTCTTTCTCTAGAAAGTATTAAATTTCTAATTTGGGGTTTCATTTGTTTGTGTTTTTTTTTGCTGGGAACAAAGAAAATTGTGGGGTTTAAATAGAAAATTTATTTTAGTTTTTTTTTTTTTTTTTTTTTTCATTTTGGGGTGTATTTAAGGGTAGTTTGGGAAGATAGTGGGGTTTTCTTAGAAATTGTGAAAATTTTAATTAAAAGTTGGGGTGAACTAAGAGAAGTGTGGGGTTTAAATAGAAAATCTCTTCTTTTCTTCCATATATCGAGTTGGAATGTGATCAAATTTCATTCAAACAAAAACAATCTTCGTTTTAGGGAGCTAATTTTCCCCACTCTTCTTTTGTCTACTTATATTCCCTTTGTTGAAAATTATACGTTCTCACTCCTCTTTTGTTCACTTAGACATCTTTTTTTGTTATAGTAAAAAGTATTTAAAAAAACAAAAGGGAATGTAAGTGGAAAAATCAGCGCCCTTGTTGTTTGTGTAAATTTCTCATGGGAGAATATTCACGGATGATTCTTCTCTCTCGTACGTCCCCCTGCTAGATTCCCTGCAAGACAAATGGCGGTCAATGGAGAACCACTGGTGTGGTGGTGACAAGGGGTCTTCCGATGCCTAAGTTAGTAATAAGATCTCGGAAGATGCATATAATATTGAAAGGATGGAGATATTTCTCTACGGGGGAGATATGTGGCTTGGGAGTCGAGTAGGTAAGAGAGGTGGAGGCAACAAAGGTTGGCCAGCCAGCAAAAGAGAGAGCAGCTGGAGAGAGAGAGAGAGAGAGAGAGAGAGAGAGTGACAAGACCCGCCCCGAATTTCCTCGGAATCTGGGACGAACCCCGCCTAATTACCGACATCAACCTAATGCCGGGCCCACTTAGTAAAGATTAAGACTTTCTACCAAAAATTTGGCAGAGTCTCCCCTGTAAATTGAACATTCCCAAACTTCAACCTGTTCAAAATTTACAGTTAATTACAACCAACTGGCAGCATGCTTTACAAGCAACAAACCACTTGTGGTCCCAAAATCCTTCCGGACAAGAAAATGACCAAAATACCCTACTGCAAGGGTAGTTTCGTAATTTCACAGTTAATTTAATTTTAATCGTTGAAATAGAGTCGGGGTGTTACAGAGAGAGTAATTTTAGGGATTTTTCAGAGTTACCTTATTTGTGTCCTCCATTTAGCTTAAATAGATTTTCCTTTCTTATAACATTCATTTTCCAATTAAGGAGGGAATAATTGAGAATTATTCCTCTCATGATTAATTGTGTTGAGGGAAGTTATGGAAGGAAATAAATAGATTGAGTGAATTTATGGAATTTATTCCCTCAACCCAAATAGGTAACCCCCATATTGAATATATTATTAAATCATAATATTGATTTCACTAATTCATTCTTAGGGTTTGCTTCTTTTCCACGTGGTGCCTCCTGATTGGTCGTCGGATTTATTTGCTCCCATAAATGCCCCTAACTTCTGCATGTCACTCATGAGGCATGTAGGAGATGTGAAATACTCGCTTTTTAATTCCCAATTGCATCATAATTTAATTGTAGCCGAAGTACACATTCATAAAGCTAAGTAACTAGTTTTCAGAGGTTGAATCCACGAGTTGATCAATCCTTGACAATGGAAAGTTGTATTTTGGGCATGGCTTGTTGAGGTCCGTGTAATCTACGTATACTCTCCATTTTCCTTGGTCATTCTTTACACCAGAACAATGTTGGCTAGCCATTCAAAGTAGGAGACTTCTTCAATGAAGCTGGAAGCTAAGAGCTTGTCAATCTCAGCTTCAATGATTGTAACTCACTCAGAAGTGAAGTTGCGTCTCTTTTGAGCTATTGGCTTGCTAGCTGCGTTGACATGTATTCTGTGGCAGATAATATGTGGATCGATACCATGTATGTTAGATGGCATTGGCAACCATGTGAACACATCCTTGTTGTTCTGGAGGAAGATGGTGATATCCACTTTTTTTTCTTTGCTAAGGTGCGAGCTGATCCGCGCTTTTCTTTTTGGCTTGTCAAGATCAAGATCTATAAGTTCAACGTCTTCTTCAAGCTCCATCCTTCTTCAGGAGAACTTCCTCATCTCGATCCTGGTTCTTTAATTGCTATTGAGGAACGACTGTTTCTTTTTCCTTATGGTTTGCTAGACTTATAGGAATGAACTCTATTATCTCCTTTATCGGTTGCTTTTTCCTTGGTTTGCTCGACTTACGAGAATGAACTGGGCTTATTTGCTTTTTTTTTTAACCCTTGGGCTAAACATCTCCTTGCCATTGCATAATCGATGTTGATTTTCCCGCCCCCCCCCCCCCCCCCCCAGATAGAGAGAGAGAGAGAGAGAGATTTCAAAGTTACCTTATTTGTGTCCTCCATTTAGCTTAAATAGATTTTCCTTTCTTGTAACATTCCTTTTCCAATTAAGGAGGAAATAATTGAGAATTATTCATCTCCTGATTAATTGAGGTGAGGGAAGTTATGGAAAAAAATAAATATATTGAGGGAATTTATGGAATTTATTCCCTCAACCTAAATAGTTAACCCCTTATTGAATATATTATTAAATCAGAATATTAATTTAAATAATATATTCTTAAGGTTTGCTTCTTTTTCACATGGCGCCTCTTAATTGATTGTCGAATTTATTTACTCCCACACTTGTTTTATTGCAGATACATCATAGATTAATGAAAAAATAGAAAACAATATTCTTGTTTAATTACTTATTTGATAAGGAATATTATGTTTAGTTTAATTACTTATTTGATAAGGATTGCAATTACTTTTTGCTGCCTAAAATAATTTTGAATTGATATTCACCAAACCAAACCAAAACTTCAGATGTGGCAAAAGCAAATTGAAACAATATTTAACGTCTTTCTGGTATTGCATCATCATCTCTTTAATGAAAAGAGACTTGGGAACTGAGAGCTCCGTCTTTTTCATGTCATTCTGTAACACAACAATCATGTGGAACACATTTGCTTTAGAGATTAACAAGTCTTTAAACGTGGGCTTATTGGAACTTCGGGTCCCTCAAGGCTCGAGAAATCTACATGAGGCAGAATATGAGTCTGCATGGACCAGCTTTAAATGATTTGGGTACTGCATAAAGACCAGTTGCATGAACCTGCGAGTGATTACGGGTCACTTGCATCAACGATCAACGGTCCACAATCGCTCACTCAAACACGGATCAATTGTATTGACCACTTGCATCAACGATCATTAGTCCACATTAACTCAATCAAACACGGATCACTTGCATTAACGATAAACAGTCCACTTTCACTCACTCAAACACGGATCACTTGCATTAACGGTTCACAATCACTCACTCAATGGCTGAACTGATTGTTGTGATAGAAATTTGAAACCCAACAGGTTGGATGTGAAGGTCTATTGAGTCTGGTAGAATCACACTAATAATAAACTATTGAGTATGGAACATTACTGTAAGCTTTAAAACCAACGAGAACAAAAGTAGAACTTTAAAACGCATAATGATCTCGTCACATATAGGACCAGCAGGAAGAGAGAACAAATGGGAGTCAATTCTTTCATTCAAATGATAAAAGCCAGCTTAAGATACAACAGAAAGGCACCATTTCAGCTTGGACGAAATAGCGCCTAGCAATATATGCACCCTCCAAAAAACTCAACTACAACAACAATAACAAAAGCTGGTAAAACCACTGCGAATACTACTAAGGGTAGCTCAAGTGCAGGAACACAAAGCCTGCGAATACTACTATTGGGTAGCTCAAGTGCCACGAAGCCTGCTAGTTGGAGTCAGATAACCGATTCTAGCTAAAAAAAAATGAATGCTATGCAATCAAATTCTCCTTGTGGTCATGATCCAGAGAAGAATCAGGAGACTTAGATTGCATGCCAAGCACTAAGGGAACGAATAAATAGAACAACTACTTCTACTCAATCTCTCTAAAGCCACAAAACTGCAGGACATGATGCCCTCCCTTTCATCAGAGTACCACAGCAACCTTCTCCTGGGAAATTAATGACAGAGGATGGGCAATGAGGGGTTCATAGTGATCAGCTCCGGCACCACACCAACCTGTTTGAGAAAATGTTCAGAAATGTAGGCAGAGCTAGCTAATGAAGAAGCTAATCAACTGCATGGCATGTATTTAGGGGTATTTTCAGAGGACAGATTGTTTTTTCTTACCTGTTCCTTTCATGAAAAGAAAGAAAGGAGGTTCACAAATTTGACTCCTGGGTCGGTGTGGAAGGAAGAAAACACAATTTTCTTCATCAACCATTGCATCCGATCCATGTGCTTGAACCTGTAATTGATGAATTTCAGACAAGAATGATTCATAATCCAGTGCATCTCACAAACTTCAAAATTGCAAAAAATAATATATACCAATATCCCAACAAAGCAAAGTAAACGGCAGATTTATCAAATGCACATAGGTCAAGTTTAAGCAGCGGACTAATACTTGCATTGAGAATCAGTGTATCATTTCTCCTCATAGAATTGTAGAAAAACAACATTAAAACCAAAAAGATCCTCCATTGCAAATCAACAAGCTCTTTAAAGATCAACTCAGCCTTCTCAAACGTTAAGTGCAATAAACCTTGATGCACTTCTAAACTTTAGTAACTCACAGAAAATTTGAGTACTGATTGCATTCACACTTGTAAACTTTACTGATAAAATTAGATATCAAAATCTTCAACCAAGACTCTTTCTGAAGAAATTGAGTGAACAAGCAATAACATCCACACCAACCAAAACTTCCCCTTACCACATATATCTCTCGCTTAAACTCTGTGGCAAGACACTCTATTGCGATATCATCTCCAAAAGCAGCGGCATGACCACCTCTGTTTTCATCAATGGATAATAAACCTTCCTCTGTGTACTGCAATGTGATGATATCATATTCATCATGGGTAGAACCAGAGGTCGACATGTATTTGGCCCAACTTGCTCCATCATTCACTGGGATACATCTTTCTTTGTAAATAGACTCTGCTGCCAGCTCTCTTCATTCAAAAGAAAATGAAAAGACAAAACAATAATAAGGCAATCGAATCAAACAAAATAATTTTTCCTTGGCCTGAAAAGCATACAAGAAATGAAACATGTACAAGAAATGAAAATATTCAGATCTGAAAAGAAATATATATTTTTTTAATTATTCCAAATAAATTGTATTGGTCACATTTCAAGAAAGAAAATTTAACCCTAATAAAAACGATTTGTAGAAAATTTAACCCTAATAAAAACGATTTGTTTTCTTTTATTATCACATTTCACGTGTAAAACTTTAGATTTCAAAGACATGAACAAGAGCAGATCTGAATAAATATTACCTCTGCATGCCGAGCTGAAGAAGCTCATCGATGGCAGAATCAAGACTCACGCGCTCGTCTTTCTTGGCCAACAACTTGACCTCCTGAATCACATGTATCCCCCACCCAGCCCTCAGATCAGGTGCGTACATATGCCGAATCGCGTCGTCTATCACGCGCTTCTCCTCCCCGGCCGCAGATCCGTAGTCCTCCGTGAACCTCCGGACAGTCCGCCTCCTCAACTCCCGCGCGTCCACCTCACGCGCCGCCCTCATCGCCTTCTGGGACGCCGTGAACAGGCAATTCCCGTCCGACGACACCTCGCCCCCGTGCGACAGTCTGAAGACCATCGACTTCTGTGGCATTAACGAGTCCGAGTCGGACTCGGACGAGTCTTGATCCTCTGGGTGCTTCCACAGCACGCCCTTCGTGTGCAGCCTCTGGAGGTGCCGTCTCTGCTGCTCCTCGAGGCCCACCACGCTGTCCCATGCGACGTCGGCCGTTGACTGGTCAACGAGATCTACGGCCGAGATTGCGTCCTCGTCCAGTGGCGACGCCTTGGGTGGGTCCCTCCAGGGAACCGTCGGCGAGGAGCTTTGAAATGTCTCGGCAACCGTAGTCGAATCGCATAGTAGTTTCCCCATTTCCCAACTTTTTCCTCTTCTTTTGAAAAATCTTCAATCTTTTTTATTTATTTTATTTATTTTTGTATTTCTTGTTACTCTTTCTCTTCTTCCTCAACGGAAGTTGCAGAAGAGAGAGAGAAAAGAAAGAGAGAGAAAGAAAACACAGGGTTAACGGATAGATTTATGAAGAGCGGGACAATTCGGACACGTGGATAAATCTGACGCGTTTAGAAACATGCTAACCGAGGGAGAGGTGCTAACGTGAGCCGGTGGCGCATGAGGGTTGAAGCTGAGCCAAGTCTCAGCCAGATTTTATTTCCAAATTCTGAATATTATTATATGGAAAATATTCCCCCACTCGAGACGTTGGTGTTTGTTGGCATATGATATGCTGCTTCTCAGCTGCCCGGAAATTCGAATGTTATTAGGTTGGTGCACTCGTGCTCCAACCAATAATTATTTGACAACTCAGCTTATTATTTTAGTAGGACCCAACACCAGTGTTGACTTTGATCGTAACGGTTAGAAAATGACGTGGCAGTGTCTGATTGGCAGAGTAGTTGTATAAAAAAATGTGCTTTATAGTACAGAGGAATTAAGTTCGAGGAATTAGACCGTTTTTTGAATGGTGTGGATTTTACAAGGGTAGTTATTGGGTTGTTTTGTTTGGCGGGGTTATTGTAGAATTTCTGTTGCTTGCCTTTTGAGCGGGGTCAAAACTTGACGCGGGTAGTTGGCGCAGGAATGGTAAATAAATCGGACCCAAAAAAAATTGTAATCTAATCAATCAATTATGGTATCAAATTTCAAATTTTTACCATTTTCTCAAGAACATTTCAGGTAAAATTTATTGTAATTTTCAATTACCAACTTACCAAAAATTGAAATAACAAAATTATTGTCTAAGTTTTTTTTTAAAAAATTTTAAAATAAGCGATAGTATATTATTGATGAGCAAACAAAAGTACAAATTCCAAAAGCTAAAAAGAAATAAAAATCCTAAATAGAAAATAAATCACAACAAACTCCTAAAGAGTTTAGGAAAATTATTAGTCTAAAACAAAACTAAGAAACAAGACCACGACTCCACATTTTTTGGGCAACCCGAAGAAAATCATAGGGTCATATCGGCTAAACTCATGGTCCCGCATTAGCTAAACTCGAATCCAACACAACCAGACATCTTCCCCTTTTTAGAGCTCCAAGCTATGTTGAAGGGTGGCAAAACTTGTAACAATTTGAGTTCACAAAGCTATATATGATCATGACAAATAAGTTGACTATTAGCAGGACGGTTTTATGGTTGGCTCTTTCCTTTTGTTTTGCTGATAAAGTTTCAGTTGGCTCAATGCCATTGCTATGTAAATGATTGGCTTCATATTCATATGACTCTTGCTATAGAGCTTAATAAGTAAGTGCTTATTTGGAACTAAAAAGCAAAAGCGCATAACACTTTGCATTTGTTTGTAGCCAGCCACCACAGCCAATATATGGTGCAATTTAACTCTTGATTTTATTCTCTCTTGCTATTCTATCAGAATTATGATGTCTTGAAAAGCTTTTACATTATGGAACAGGCAAAAGGGTTTTCGTCGCTAAATGTCTGGTTGGGGTAAATATGCTGAGATGAGTATTGAGGAGGATATTGAAATATATTTTCCCTTTCTGGGTCTTTCTTATTGTTGTTGTTGTTGTTGTTGCCCTGTTTTTGTCCTTGTTCTTGCTTCACAATCTCAGCATGCTTCCCTAATTGATTTTTGATGTATTCTATCAGCTTTGGTGGATCAACCACTCCCCTCACTGTCACCCTTGAGCTCTCCATATTTGCTTCAACACTTAAAACACCTAAAATTGCAGCAAATCCCCAACAACAACAACAAAAATTCAAGATTAAAATCCCCACATTAAAGAGATTATTGAAGAGTCTTTTAGAGATTTTTACCTTTCATTTTCTCCAAGTATTTCTTAATATCATTTGCACAGCCTTCACAATGCATCAACATTTTCAACACCACAACCTTCACCTGAGGCTGAGCCTGCATGCATATTTACAATACCAACAATAAGTAGACTAGAAAAACTCATGACTTGTTTTATTCTTCAAGACTAAAAATAACAGGGACATACCTCTTCTTTCTTTTGGGGCTCTTTTTTCGCTTTGTTTTCAGGCTTTGGTTTTGGAGAGATAAGTTCAGCATTGCTGCTATACTTCTTCTGCAGTCTCTCCAAAACCTTCAATGGATTGGCCTTTTTCCCCTTCACAACCACTCTCTGATTCGCATAATCAACCGTAACATCTTCGATGCCTAATATTCATTTCAATGAAAAACAGAAACAAAAATTAAATATATGTGCATGTGAAAAATTAAATACTTGCACAACCCAAAATTAATTATGTTTACCATCAACCCCTTTCAAGCATTTAGAAACCTTGCTTTTGCATCCTTCACAATGCATAAGTACTCTCAACACAATCTCTTTGCTGGACTGACTGTTCTTCTCATCTTGTTGATTTGTCTCTGCGTTTTGGTTATTGTTCTCCTGTTTATCTTGTCTCTAATAACCAAAACAAATATTATGCAAAAATTTCAACACATTTACAATAAAACTTACTAGAACCAAAACTCAAATTACAAGCAAAGCATAAGTTCATCAAACCTTCCCCATTTGACAAACTCCTGTATTACATCGAGGGGGATGAAGATGTTAGATATAAATAAGACTCTCCCTGGAGTCCCTGCCATGCCATGTATATGATATTTATGGGTAATTAATTATGTACCTTTGCTTTTGAGAAACAGTTTCAGTGCTGCAAATAAATATTTTGATTTCACGGTTATTGGTTTACCAATTTACCAAACTGAGATGATCTGCAGAGGAAATTATTGGGTTTCAGTTACCACCCGGATTCTCATATATGGATGCATTTCCAATATGGGATTGAACTCCCAACTAGTTCTGGAACATTTTATTTACGCTTCCAATCCAATTGTGCAAATAAGTTTCGTTTCTTATAATGTATTTAGATTACACTTTTAATGAGGTAGTTTGTATATAAAAGAGATAATTGTTTTGCGAGGACCATGGTTATGGATCTACTCATAACTGTTTTTTTTTGGGGCAAAGTTTGGAAGGAGGAGGGGATGTGTCATTCGGGGTTCGAACCTAAAACCATTGATATGCAAACAAAAACTCTTACCATTGTGCTATGAACCCGTTCGAACTTAAAATCATTTCTTTGCGTACCCAACCTCCATAATTTTTTTAATACACCACCATATTAATATATATCCCAGCAAATAAATAAATAAACAAATAAACAAATTTAGTCTAATGAAGGAGTTGATCTTTTTTATTTCTTCTTATCCTCCTCTGGCTCGCTAACGTGGTCATCTCCATGGCTGCTCTCGCCTTGTTCTTGTGTTTCTTCCATCTCTGACCTCTTAACTGTGACCACCTTATTAGTCACATTTCGGAGGCGTGAGCAAAGCTTTTCCAGAAGAAATCTTCCTTCCACTACCACTACTGGATTATCCTTATCAACCACAACACTTTCAACTCCTGACATAGAAAGAAAAAAATCAATATATATATATAGAGAGAGAGAGACCCAGAGAGAAACAAAAAAAACAACAAAAAAAAAAAAAAAAAAAAAAGGGAGGGGTTTGTACCTTTCGTTTGTTTGCAGCATTTTTTCACATCTCTTATACAACCTTCACAGTGCTTGGTAAACTCTAGCTCAACAAATTTGCACCACTATTAAAAATTAAAAAAGAATTAAAAAGAATTAAAATATACCTTTGAAAAAATTGTAATATTGCACTTCCTATGTATTCAAAACCATTGTTGAGTGCAAAACTCTTCTTTCTTTTCTGATCCAACCTCTTCTTTTATTAAGGGGACGCGTTCATATCCTCCGAAGCTTTTTTTCTTTAACCACTTAACAGCCTTCATGCTTCAAAACCTCTTGATCTTTCACCTCTTTCTTCTCTTCACCTGTCTTCCTTTTTCCCCCCTATTTAACAATGGACAGTTTCTCAAAGGAAAACCACGTGAAGATTAGAAATTAATTAGGCACATTGCTGCCATTGCAATGGAGTGACAAGAAATTAATTATGTGATCGCTTAAATATTTGCTACCACTCATGGCCCTTCAAATAATTAACATTGAAATCATTGATTGATATGCTGCTGTAAGATTAGCCTTTAATATTTCTTTTAATCACACGTTTAAGGCTTGTTTGGTATCCTAACTGGATCCCTTTTTAAAAAATTTAAAAATAAATTTTGAGTCCAAAGCCCATTATTAGTGTTTGGTAAAGTCCATTTTTCAAAAGGCCAACTAAAAAAAACTTAAAACATGCCCAATTTTAAAACAAAAGAAGTGACGTTTTACTTTTTTTCTTTTTTCTCTCTATCTCATCTCCCCAAAGCCCGACCTGACTTGAACCTGCTCCCAGATCTCATCGTCGACACCTACTAGTTTCACACCTACTGGTCTCCCAGATCTCTCTCTCCTCCCTAGTGTAAGGGCTTTTTCGTTTCGGCAGCTACTACGAGTCTGGGCTGCCGTAAATAGCAAAATGGATTAAATTGCCCCTTGAGCCTGAGTTTAAAGATCAAACCCCAAGAATGCTTCGAAAGGACAGTGAAGCCTTAGGAAACACCGTGATTACCTTCACCAACAAAAATAACAACAACTTACAGATAGATTTTAGCTTGGCATGAGAGGCTTGTGGCATGGGAGCAAAATTGACATAAGTTTAGCACTAAAGAGAAAGTTATGCGTTCTTGGGCTAAAAATAGGGGTGTTAAGGTAAGAGAAGAAGTGTCTGCATGAAGGTTAAGCTGAGAACGAGGGAAAGAGAGAGGAATGGGTGGCTTGAGTATTTTTTCGGCAGCTTGACAAAGGCTCTGTCAAGTGTTAGAACAGCCTGCCAGCATAGGGAAAATGATGAATAGAGCACGAATTTGCTGGGTTTTGCAGGTGAGAGAGGAAGCTTGCTCTCTGGATGTGGTTGTGGCTAGTGGTGAAACACTAGGTGTTTTGGTTAATTTTCTAGCAGCTTGACAAAAGCTATGTTAGACTCTAGAATGGCTTGCCAGAAGAGAAAATGGGAGGAAATGGAGGAAAAGGGCACGAAATTGCAGAGTTTCAGAGATGAGAGATGAAGCTTGCTCTCTAGATGTAGGTTGTGATAATGGGTAAGAAATGCCTCTTTTTATAGATGCTGGAAGCTATAATTTTCCAAGAAACCCTAATGATTTCTATCCAATTTGGCCAAGTCTTTCCCTTCTCCCTTCATCCATTCAATCATCCTATTTTGGTGAAATCCACTCTGCCCATTTACACAAAATCAGGGATTTTTGGGAGCTCAATACTCTTTCCCGCAGCTGACTCAGTGGAGAACCCCTATTTTCCGCCATCTTTCTTCCTTCTTTTCTCCCCTCTTCTATGGCTAGATCTGATGGGGGAAAAGAAATGGGTATGTACACTGATTTGAAGGGTGTTTTGCTCAAGTATCTCTTGATTTTTTGGATGTTTTTGCTTGAAACTTATTCCCTCCTATGTGCTGGAGCCTCCCAGCAGCTCACTGACATGAATATTTTGGCTTTCATCGTGACTTTTGTTTTCAGCTAGGTGTTGGAGATTTACATATATTTTCTTGAGTTGCTTGGGCCTTCTAGGACAATAAGTTGGTTTATCAAGCAAATGGGAGTATTGGGCTATTTTGGTTGGAGTGATGGGCTATTTTGGTTGGGCTACTTTCTCTTTTGTGCTCACTCACATGTTTGGGCCTAAGAAATGGGTTTTAGTTCCGAGGCTTCCAAGCAACCCCGGGACTTCCATTTCTCGGCCCATCAATGGGCCTCATGTCAACTTATTATCATCTATACCACAACCCACTCAAGTAAGCCTCGGGCATCTTGCATGGCTTGGACCCACTTAAACTTGTAACGTGACATGTTGCTTATTTACTTGACATGACATGTGTGCAAGCGCATATAAAAAAACTTTCACGTGCCCAAATTGGGTTTCTTCTCGGTAAGGTATCGCATTGGGCATAACCGTGGATTTTTTGGGCCTCAACACCTAGCACCTATTTAAAAACTCATGTTTTGTTATAATAAAAAATCATGATTTTTTGAGCTCATTTTTTTAGTATGATACCAAACGAGCCCCTACTAATCCGTAATCGGAATCAAAATAAGAAGTTGAATTCCTATTACGGATTACTCTGATGTTTACTTCACATGGAGGAATGAAAATGTATGTGCCCCCACACAAAATCATGAATTCAACTCCTGATTTTGGAGGAATTGAACTCTTGGGTGAGAAGTGATATTCTAATTTCTAGAGCTAACCCATCAGAAATCTATCTTTTTTATCTATTATATTCTCACATAAATTTTTAAATATATGTCATCTACTTTAACCCAACAACAAAGGTATTCTAGTAATCAAAATGGGTTTCAATTCTGATTCATGATAATTTTGTAAACAATTTATAAGGAATCAATACCACTTCTACTCCAATTCCATATGGTTTAGTAAACGACTTTAATAGAAATTCAGATTCTAACTCTCTTCTATTTAATTCATCCTCATTCAATTACGAATTAATAAACATATCATAAATCTGCATTTGTGCCTGACATTAAACCTTCCTTGTGTATAATTGCCATTGCTATCCTGCCAATATCTTACTCCTTCCACAAACCGATGGTTATGAAAAAAAAAATAAAAACAAAGGGATCTATGTGCCCTTCAAATAGTTTATTATTGTTTGTATATTATAGTTAACATTTCTTATTCAACTAACATAACTCACACCTGCACAAATTTATCGCATAAGTGAATTAATTAGAAACATCACCTTTTCCACTGAAAAATAGATTGTCAGGCCAAACTAGTTGGCATTGTTTCTATGGGCCTTGGCCCATCGTAGCAAACAAGGAAAATCAAAAAAGAAAGAGATGGTTCCAGACCGATTTTCAATACTGCCTGATCCATATCGAAGCGGCACAATGCCATGGTCTTGGACGCGTGTCGCCCAAATTCAGTCCGGCGTTTGCACGAAACCAAGTGTCGTGCGCAGAATATTACACGTACAAACAGAGGAGAAGAGTAAGTAGAGAGAGACATGCCTTGCCTTTGTGTCCTTTTGTTTTTCCACGTACGCGCGCGCACTCGGCCTCTCTCCCCTGATTTGATGCCTCGTCTTTTCATTCGGAGGCTTTCGTTTTGGTTTTGAATGAATCATTTGCTTTAATTTCATTCTCACTCATCCCTCATCTTCAGTAAGATCTCTCTCTCTCTCAAACTCTTTCATGTTCTTTCAAGAATTTCAGTAACAACAACTGTTTATATATTGCAGGCAGTTATAGTTTGTATGTATGAGTGTGTTGCATTGCATTTCAGATTGTTAGCCTTTCTTGATTGGATCGGGTGATAATTTTGTGTGGAAACTATTGATTAACCCAAGTTAAATCCTTAATTGAAACTTTTTTTTAATTGCTTACCATTTATGGCCCTTCAAATAATTAACATTGAAATCGCTGATTGATACACTGCTAAGATTTGCATTCATTTCTTCTTGTAAATGTGAATTGGGTCAATTTGTTTCCATCTTGTTCAGGTTCAAGAAGTATCACCAGGAAGCACTTAACAAATCTTCCCAAGCTAGTCTGATTAAAATCTCTAAACATCTCCACACAAAAAAAGACATGTCAGGTGTGTCTCTTGCTGTGGCTCCTAGAACGGAGCCTGATACAACAACTACAAAACCCGGATCTAACTCGCAAGAGAAACCGCAGCACCGTCAACAACAGCAGTCTGCTGTTGGCGGTGTCATGGGCTCATTGCGGGTAATTGAGCTCCAACTCGTGGCCTTCATCATGGTCTTCTCAGCCAGTGGCCTTGTCCCGCTCTTTGATTTGATCTTCCCTGCTTTTGCCTCTGCCTATCTCTTAGCCCTGTCTCGCCTGGCCTTCCCGGCACACGGCACCGTCACTTCCAGCTCTCAGGAGATTTTCCAAGGCAGCAGATTCTTCAGGGTCTATGTGATCGTGGGCACCACCGTTGGGCTTTTCTTGCCGCTTGCATATGTGCTGGGTGGCTTTGCAAGGGGTGACGAACATGCTGTGCGCTCTGCAACACCCCACTTGTTCTTGCTCTCGTTTCAGATTCTGACTGAGAATGTGATCAGCGGGCTGTCGCTGTTTTCGCCGCCGGTGAGAGCTTTGGTCCCATTACTTTACACTGTCAGGAGAATCTTTGTCATCCTCGACTGGACCAGAGATGTTTGGCTCAACAAAACCCTGCCTGCCAATGCACAGTTCAAGGTAAATTATAATCATATTTCTCGTGGTTCTTAATTGGTTTTCTTATTTGGGGTACTTGTAATTGTAGGACACTGCATGGTTTTGGTTTGGGAGGACCTTGGCCATAGCCAATTTCCTATATTTCTCCATCAACCTGTTCGGGTTTTTGATCCCTCAGTTCCTTCCGAGGGCGTTCGAGAGGTACTTCAAGGAGAGGGATGAAGTTCATGCCAAGATGGCAGAAGACAAGCGCTCTGCAGCAGACGCAAATAAATCAGAACCAGTTTCAGATAAGAAAGCTGCTTGAGTTTTGGTTTTCTCGCGGTCATGGTTATATATACTGTTTTTGTTAGCAGAATACTGCATCTTAACTTAATCAATTTGCTGAACATGATGTGGCTTGTTGATCTGCGGAAGTTTGTTTTGTATAACTGCGTTTGTTGATGATGTCTCACCTGCTGAGGTATATTTAACTAAAGAAAAGCAAAGGTGGTTTGCCCATTTTTCAAGTTCAAATTTGTGTTGTAGTCGACCAACCAACAGAATCTTTTGAGCCTGCCAGTCCAACCGCAGCTATAAATCCCAATAGGGTACAAGGATTTAAACTCTCAACCCACTCCAAACCAGAATTTTTATCTAAATCTCAATCCAAACTGCAGTCACAAGTTTGAATGTTCCCCGTCTTTTATTAATTTGAAAAGAAAAGGCTAAACCCAAACTTGGTTAAAAACGTAAATGATCCATACTTGAGGGGAAGAGTGCCTAGTGATCAATAAGCCCCATGAATAGTTTTTTTATTTATTTTTTGCATGAATAGTTTTTTTCTTTTGTTTTTGGCTCTTGTAGTTTGTCAATTTGGACCCCATAGTATATTAATGTAGTTTTCAATTCAAAGCAGTTTCAGGACACATTTTAATTTATGTCAAAATTCCTATACGAAGCAACGTGACAACGCAATTACCTAACAAAATGAAGTCTGGAATTCACTAAAGATGAGAATACCTCAATCTTATTAATTTCAGAATGATAACATGATGTCCTAACCACGGGCTAAAGTTGATTTAAATACTCTAGAAACTCTAGGAAACAAAAATGGTATTAAAAGAGAAATTAATAAAAGTTTTCAAATACTGGAAAAATAATAAAAAGGCACGTTTGTGCTGTTAAACTATCTCGAACGCCCAAAAAAGCCTTCATGACAAAGCAATGAGTTTACTCATGGTATCATTATCTTTGAAACGGTAGGTCATGAGTCGAAATTAAAACTCGAAAACCAAAACTTATTTACCGATCTTGTCTTTACACTCGTGACACTCCATCTCATCTTCCATCACTTCAACCACATGTTCTAAATCACTATCAATTGGTAAGTTTTGATCATGTGCCCTCACGAAGAGAAGTACTTTGGTCCACTTGAGTCAACTGAAATAGTTCTTCATTTGTCCTTCAAATTGCCCCGATTGAAACTCCTAACATAAAATTGACGAAATTGAAAATATATGTACTAATGTAGTAAAATCGAAAAACTATAAGGGCCAAAAGTAATATTTTGTCTTTATTTTATTTTTTTGGGTTAAAAAAGGCCCGTTATGATTTTAACAGCTGTAATAAAATAGTGTTCTTTTAAGAAAATAAAAAAAATCAGCCGTTGATCTGTTTTTACTAAGTTCCAACGAATGAGATTCAAGGGGGAAAGGAAAGGATAGAGGAGAGAAGATCCCATTCAATCCCCTCCGTAGCCACACCACCTCAATTGACTCCTCCAATAGTACTTCTGGTCGGGTGTCCACTTGTCCTTATCCTTGGCGCGGGTGCTGAAATGACTCTTTTACCCATAAAGTAAAAAGTTACATCTAGCTCTGTGACAAAAAGGATCAAAACCCAGATAGGGGCAGTCCCGTCACAATGGCGATGGGGCAGGTAAACCTTTCCAATTCATTCAAACTGCAACACAAAACCACGCGCGGAGATAAAGTGGTGACCAATCGAGCATTCAAAAGTTTATTTTCAATACATGTTTGACATGTGTTGCCCCCATCATATTTTTTTGGATGCATATATCCTATGAATTTGTCCTTTCTCTAGACTTAATCAGATTTAGCTTGCATACTTTTATGTTACTCCCCACTATTTTGTTAAATAATGGAAGACATAAATTGCTTGCTAATTAATTAAACAGTTCAAATTGTTGAGAAGAGGAATGGCGCCGATTAATCCATATGTTTGATTATTTTCGTGTAAATGCCAACTACGAACTAGTGATCTAAAATTTAGAAGGGAAACTACATAAACATGATAATAATAAATAAACTTCATCTTTAAACTGATGGAACATGTCTTTTACCATTTTAATCTTCTTTATTTTCGAACACTTCATCTAAGAGACAACGTTAGTTAATGAAATTTTGTGGTTTATACATAGATTGATACACGTGAAGGAAAGAGAAAAATATCAAATAACTTATTTAGAGTGTCACGGACAATTTCATGTTAACAACATCTCACGAAACTATACGTAAGCAAATTGATTAACTAATCAATTCTATCATGTAGGCCAGTAACTAGCTTATGCTGCCAATTGATCGACTGGCACCATGTTTGTAAATGCAAATGATGCGAATTAGTAGAGTAAAAAATTGCAACACGAGTCTAGATGATATAATTTCATTTACTAGTACCGTGTTCACAAGTTGCCCCTATCAAATATTCATTGTTACCCAAATATTTAATAATTGATCATCTTGTAAAGCATTGAAGGGTGTCGTTGTAATTTAACATCCAAAAGAAGAAAAACCAAGAAACGCGCCCCCGCGCGTACAGAAAAGCTAGTTAACCTGAAAAACAAGGAACGGTGACCTCTCTGCTCTGCTCGACGTACTACTGTCCTGCCTTGACAGCCCACTCTTCTTTTCAAAGCAAAAATATTAAAATTAATTGATAAAAACCCCCACAACTATTCATCACCCTCTCTCTCTATCTCTCTCTCTATCTCTCTAAAGTTTTCATCTTTTTCCCAAAATCCCTACCCAGCTTCATCACCTACCACTCTCTCTTCCACACAAGCAAATCATCAAACACCATGAAGATAAAGAACAAAGGCAAAGTGCACCCATCTCCTTCTTCTTCCTCCTCCTCCTCATCCAACTCTGATGGGTTTGTTCTCTCTGTGCTTCAGCTCCTCCCAGCTGCCATTTTAGCTCTGGCCTCGGCCCTCTCCCTCGAGGACCGCGAGGTCTTGGCTTACTTGATAACCCGGTCCATGAAAACCACCCCCAATATTTCTTCGATCCCGGCCCAAGACCCCAAGAAGAAATCTTCCAAGAAAGGTCCCAAGTCCACCAGCGCCAGCACCCACCAGCCCCCAATGTTCGATTGCGACTGCTTCGACTGCTACAGAAGCTACTGGTTCAAATGGGACTCTTCCCCCAACCGCGAGCTCATCCACCAAGCCATCGAAGCCTTCGAAGATCACCTGGCCAACGGCGAGAAGACCAAGAAGAACAGCGGCAGAGGCAAGAGAAGAGACAAGTTGAGCCGTCGCGAGGCCCCGAAACCAGTCGATGTTGCTGCCCAAGATTCTATCTTTCTGGAAGAGAACGCTCAAGTTTCACATGAGCTTGCCGTTGAAAGCTCTGCTTCTGCTCTGTTGCCGGAAAACGACGTGGTTTTGGTGGGTTCGAATGAGAAAGCGGATGGGGTCGAAGAAAATGAGGGGAAAGTGGAAGACTTGGGTGCGGAGGTTAACTTAGAGCCTCCGGGGACGGCGGATGACGTGGCGATGATTGCACAGACGGCGTCGGCGAGCAACCACAGGGGATTGGCTAGGAAAGTGCTGCCGGACGTGTTGGGCCTGTTTAATTCTCGTTTGTGGAACCTTTGGAGTCCGAATGTCTAGCTTCCAATAAAAAAAAGAAAAAAGAAAAGGAAAATCTCTAAATTTCTTTTATTTCTTTAATTTTTCGAGCCTCAAAAAAGAGAAAGAGAAGAGAACCAAAGTATTATATTTTTGGTGGGTTAGGTTATTTTTGTGCTCGAATATTAGGTATGTCCCTACGCCCTCCTTCCCTCCCTCCCAAATGAAAATGTTCATTTCTTTATTTCTTTATTTCTTTATTTCTTTTTGGCATGGAAATATCTTTATTTTTGCTTAGAAACCAAGCTTTTATATGTAGCTTTCTGATTTGGTGGCGATGGTTTGGATTTGTGAGGTAGTGGGCCAATCGCTTTCAAGTTTTGGGGATGTTTAGTGATGATTAAATTAAAGGAATTAGGATTATTTAACACTAAAAATGAGTTAATGATGTTATTAGCTTTTGTTTTCTTTATTCGGGTTCTTCGTTTTTGAACGTCAAAGGATGCGGTTTTCTATGCTTTTATCCTTTCGATTCCTTTCGGCCGGAAATTTCCCATCAAAGGTCTAATAATTCACATACCCTTCCATTTTATATTTTCCCGAGGCCACTACTAATTTGGGGTTAGGTGCCCTATGCTTCTCTGACATCTAGCCCTACAAAAAGCTACTTAAAAAACCGAAATTGCCCCTTTCTCCCTCTCCACCAACAATCGGGTGCAGTCTCGTTTTCTCTTTTAGGGCAATCTTGTCCTGCGATAAAAAGTTGTTATTTTCGAGATGGTACTTACATGAAAATGAGCCATAGAAATTTCATTTTGTTTCATGAAATTACAGAAACAAGATGAACAATGTAGACATGTGGGTCGTGTTCTTGCGCGAGGCTGAATTGTCTGGTTGTATTTTGTTAGTTTTGAGGACAAATGTTGGGTTGGGTTTACATATGAATGAATGAAGATGGGGTTATGGACAAGGAGATGAATACTGAGGGGTCAGGACACACAAGCTCCTCTCCTGTTACAAGAAATGACAGTTGCCAGGGGTGAGGACCACTCGTAGTTGTTTAACTTTAGGCTTATTTACATTACACCAATGTCTCTAGAAATTACGGTCAAATCTCATATTGCATGTTCATACTTAAAATTGCCTACTTAGGCTTTTCCAACCAATTTGGGGCTAAATCTAAATTTTTCCCCTCCAAAAAGTAACTGTTTGAGTTTTATTTGGACTCAAATAGTTTTTTCTCTCGACCCTCCGGATTCAAATTTGAAGTCCGCAACTTTATTAAATTGTTTAAGAATGATTTAAGTCTAATATTTTTTTTATGGATAACTTTTCTTCATTTAATCTTTTTAAATGAAGAAATTGAAATTCCACAAATATAGTTGTATGGGCTTTTTCGTTCCGGCAGCTACTACAGGCCTGGGCTGCCATAAATAGCAAACTGGATGAAATTGCCCCTTGAGCCTGAGTTCGAAGATCAAAGCCCCAAAAATGCTTCGAAAGGACAGAGATGCCTTAGGAAACATATTGGTTACCTTCACCAACAAAAATAATGGCTGCTTACAGATAAATTTTCTAGCTTTGCATGAGAAGCTTGTGGCATGGAAGCAAAATTGTCAAGAGTTTGGCACTGAAGAGAAAACTAAGTGTTCCTAGGGGAAAATGGGGTATTAAGGTAGGAGATGAAGAGCTTGTAAAGAGGTTTGGCTGAAAATAAGGAAAAAGAGAGGAATGGGTGGTTTGAGTATTATTTTCGGCAGCTTGACAGTGACTCTGTCAAATGTTAGAGCAACCTGCCAGAAGAGGGAAAAATGGGGAGGAGAATGAACATAGCACGAATTTGCTGGGTGTTGCAGGTGAGAGAGGAAGCTTGCTTTATGAAATGTGGGTTGTCTTTGGTTGGGTAGAAGAGGCCCCTTTTATAGTCGCTAGAAGCCATCATTTTCCAAGAAACCCTAACGATTTCTATTCAATTTGGCCAAGTCTTTCCATTCTTTTCTCCCCTCATCTCTTCAATCATCCTATTTTGGTGAAATCCACTCTACCAATTTGCACAAAATTAGGGATTTTTGGGAGCTCAATGCCCATTTCCCGTAGCTGCTTCAAAGCTCCTATTTTTAGCCATCTTCTTTATTTCATTTCTTCCTTTTTTTTATGGCCAAGTTTGATGAGGGAAAGAGAATGGGTATACATGCTGGTTCAAAGGGTAGCTCCTTGCGCATCAATATCTCTTGGTCTCTTGGATGTTTTGTTTGAAAACTTGTTCCTTCCTTCCCATCAACCCACGTGGTCTTCCAAAGTCCTTCGTGGCTTTATCTTTCAGCCAAAAGATGGACTCTTTACTGCTTGCTACTTCTAATTGTATTAGGATAAGAAGTCAACCTACCAAACAAATGGGCCACCTTCATCAAATATTGGGCTATAGGGGTTAATTTTAGTGGACCATTTCGATTGGGCTTTTTGGTTGGTTTATTTTCCCTTTTGTGCTCATCCATATATTTGGGCCTAAGAAATGGGCTTGGGTTTCGAGGCTCCCAAGCAACCCGGAACCTCCATTTCTCGACCAATCAATGGGCCTCATGACAACTTATTACCATTCATACCACAACCCACTCAAGTAAGCCCTGAGCATCTTGCATGGCTTGGGCCCACTTAAGCTTGTAGCGTGGCATGTTGCTTATTTGCTTGGCGTGACATGTGTGCAAAGCGTATATGACGAACTTTCGGGTGCTCAAATCGGGTTTCTTCTTGATAAGGTATTGCATTGGGCCGAGAATTTATTTGGGCCAAACTGTGGATTTTTTGGGCCTTAACAATAATTTTATTCCAAAAGAAAACACACAACATAATTTCAAATTCACCATACTTACACTAGCTATAGAAGAACGTTGTATGGGAGGCTCATTTATATCATTCCACTTTGGGCAATCTTTTAAGATTTTCCTAGCATGGTATAGCTTGAAAGGCCTATTCGGAGGCTTATTATCATTAAGAAAGATCCTTTTCGCATACACGTCCTATGCATGAAAAAATAAATTTAAATTTGGAGTTGAATAAAATTACAAATATAAATTTAAAGCTTTAATAAGAATGGGTACTTACCACATCATGTAGATTTGAGCCACTTTGTAGTTCGTATTGGCCTTAGTCAAGCATGCCTTCCAAAAAGAACACTGTTAGTTGATAGTCTTGAATCGAGAAGCAATGTCTTGGTATGTTCATTGCTTGGGTCTACTAATGCCCATATCATTTTTCAGAAATTTTTGATATACACGCTGCCAAAATGTGTCGCTTGCTTGATTGGTGTCAATAGCTTCATATTCACTGATGGAAACCCACCCTCACCCTTTACATAATGCCTCATCTTCTTCAGGCCTCCAATTACACTTCTTTGAGATTTTGTGGACATCTTCAACAAGAATGAAAAGAGATTGATGAAATTAACGAAGGAAAAATAAATTGAGAAATAGAAAAAATGTGTTTGGTAGATTATTTGAGAAATGGGTTGGTATTTATAGAGTTTGAAGTGAGTTTTAGGGTTGGATCTAATTTAGAATAATTTAAAATATTGTTTTGACCGTTGGATTTAAATTTCAGCCGTTGGATCTTTTTTTTTAATTTTTATTATTTACAGTTTAAATAGTTTGGATTTAATCTAGATCGTTGATTTAGGTTACTATTGGAATATATAATTAAAAAAAAGAAAAAAGGATGCTTTGAATTGTTGCCGTTGGATCGCAACACATGGCTAGACAACAGTTGCCATGAAGCAACACAACAGCAGCGTGTGGGGCCCTTATTAGCTTCCTTGCCACGTCATCATAGTTAATAGACCTTTGAATGGAGTTGACGGCTGGTGGTAAAGTGGGTCACCAAATTACGGTCAAGCAAAGTAAGTGAGCGACTTTAACTTTGAGGAACAATGTGAGATTTGACCGTAGTTTTGAAAGTATTAATGTAGATGAGCCTTTAATGTATCGTCATTCTAATCCAGTAGAGGCCCAAATTTATGTTAAAGAGTTCAAAATGTAGTTTGGAGGAACAATTAGAAAGAATGAAACGAATACCAAATAAACAACGTTATTCTTGAATTGGTAAACAAATCTACCACCAAATGCACAATCCTTTGTTATTATAGGCCCACTATTATTAAATAATGCTAAACTCTAGATGACATCTTTTCAATAAAGTTTTTCTAGTGCTTGTAGTGTTGGCTTTGTTGAAGAATGATACACAGGTCACTGAATTTAGGTGGTAAGATTACAAATGGTCTCGTTAAACTAAAATACTTTATTTTGTAATTTAACAAAGTACTTACTAGTTTTATATTATTATAATTATGTTCTAATTTATAGGAAGGAGACTGAACTCAGGTGTGAAGGACGGATATATTGCCCTAGTTAATTGGCCAAACCCACTTCTGCAAGTAATTAGTTTAAATTGGATATATATTGGCACAAATGGTAGTTTATAAGAATTTGATTATGAGACTTATAAATGTGGAGAAAACGAAAATAGAAGTAAAGTGTGGTTTAAAATCTAAACCCAACTCTGTTTCAGTTAGGCCCTTGGGCAACTGGTTCCAAATACCATCAGGAGGCCTCTTACTCTTGATCCACAAAAGAGGAAGGAACGAAGTAGAATTCCTTTATATCAAATGGGGTATAAGAGAAAATGGAAATAATAAAGTTCAAACGAAAAAAAAGGAAAAAAAGTTGACGAGAGGGAGAATCTCTTCATTCCTTGAGTTGTTTGTCTGGCAATGGAGGGAGGGTCAAACCTAGAAAGATGATTTTATCATTTCACCCATATTAAGAAGATTAAGAACAACAGTGAGCTGTATGATATTAAAATTTTGAGTGAGTAGCTTCATGGCTCTGAGCTCTTAACCATTAAAGCTGATTCTAAAGCATCAAATCTTGGTTGTTTCGATGGTTCTATCTATCTATCTATCTAGTAGCACTGGTAGTTACCCTTTCTTTTTCATAACAAAAGTTGATCAAATAAGAATGAATGTGTCGACACTGAAAATCTGCAATTGATGATCGAAGTACTAGGAGATGTCAATGAAATTAACTTGGCTTAAATGATAACCTGATAAGATCATGAGGTTTGTAAATTAATCACCATCTTTTTCAATCCACAAAGTGAAGAAAGAGTTGAAGGCATGGAGACAAACAACGCCGTCCAAATAACAAAATGCATTTCGTATCACACTCAAACAGGGACAGGACGGTGGGACTTTTTTGGTAGGTGCTTTCAGGAAAAATGATTAAAAAGAGGTCAAGTGGGGATGTGGATGGGGCTCTGTATTTTATGTATTTTTTATTTTTTGTGTCTCCTTGAGCGCTGGTTCCCCTCATGACAGTAGCAGAAAAATTCTCCACCACTTCGTATTTTAGCTGCATGTAGGCTTCCCAAGAGATAGAAGAGAAGTTCACTTGGGGCCCTGCAGCCTTGGACAATGCCATCTTTTTCAAACATTTATGTGGAATACTTTCATTTTCCAGAGCAACTTATTTGCTTTTTCGGCGGCACAGATTATGAGTTGTGTTGTGCATGAGCAGCCAGCACTCAAGTCACATAAACATACAGTAGAAATAGAGGTCTTGTTTTGTCCTCAACAAGTCACATGATCATCCCAACTTCTTAATTACCTCACTGATCTAGCAGCACAGTTTCAAAACAACCATTTGATATTTTAGTCTCCACTTTGTTGGAGGAGATGGTGACTTCATATCTCACGAACAAAAGTCGTTAACCCGAGAAATAATAAAGACTATGAGGTCTAAGACATGTCACAAGAAAAACCCTATTGAAGAAAACATGAATATAGTTATAGCAGGTATATTTAGTTGTTTTTTTTGGTCGTAATCATGGATTTTATTCAAAAGCAACTCTGAGAGCATACAGAAGTTGATATTACAAAAGCAATACAAAATAAACCTATCCCACAAATCCCATTCTTCTGATTACTCATTGTCAATTACTGTTCTATCCAGCTTTATAAGATAACCTACGTATTAAACAGATGAATCAGAGCAACGTTTTGGGAATTATTATCATAAAAACAAGAATCAGCCACTATCATCAACAGTTACCCGATCCACGGCCATGTCCCCTGCTATTCAAAAAATCTTATCAACCAGTAAAGTGGAATCTCAACATACAATGTAGATGGAAATAAAACATTGGGAGACTGCCAATCTAACAGTAGCGCAATTATTTGTGATTGATATCCACTCTACCCCTCTTTATAAACATTTTCAATCAATCTGAAAATATATTTTTCAAGGGTTTTGTTTGTGCCACAGAAAAAATTAACATAATCATTGAAAGAGAACATTAACCCTTCTTAAGCTTTTTCTCTAGCTTGCTGGTACCTATGCTTAGAGATTAGACAAAGATGCGTCTGGACATTAAGAGAGCACAATGGCTAGATGCCTCTAGGCTCTAGAGATGATCTTATCCGTTATCCCCACTTGATTTTGTTCATGTTGCCGCAGACCACAGAATACAGAGGCAATGGAAAAGAAACAGACCAAGTTTGCATCCATCATTTTCACAGAAACAAATTCTTCTACTTCTACAAACATATCAAGATTCTTCAATGAAATTATTGTCCCTTGATTAATCATTTATCAGTTATTAATGAAATTGCACAAAAATGCGTTTTCTTTGGTTCCTATCAAGGACACTTCTGTTAGACTGTTACCTTTGTCTCTAAGCCCTCAAACCCTTTAGTTTTTATCAGCTCCTTCTTATTCATATATGTAGATGCTCGCGGAACTTTTCCAGGGCAAAACGGCCCCGTTCCACATGCACATTTCTGACTTTGAGAGTGAACGCGTTTCTAATGAAAACGATATTTGCAAGTACATGAACATGAATGGTTAATAATGAGGGAGGACAACTTGATAACATGTGGCAATCTTGCCATCTCATGAGTCATGTCAAAAGGTTTCAGGAATATTGACGAGATAAAAGACTTGATGTAGGAACCTTTTTTTTCTTGTTCTTTTTCTAGTAAATCTTATGCCAGAATGATGGTGAAAAATGAATGTCATTGCCTGCAAAAGCACAGAAAACACCTTGAACTAGTTTACAAGACCGGCTAGAACTAACAAACAGAAAACATGACAGCAGTGGAAGATGTGGAGACAGACCTGCATTAAATCACCAATCCCATCAAAGCTTATAAGCTGATATCCTCCAAACATGGTAGAATATGGGATTTTTTTGGAGTTCAATGGTAAATTGACTGCAAACAGCAAAAGAAAAAAAAAGTTTAACCTTATGAAGATACTTGTTAAAAGCAATCCCAGTTTATCATAGTTTATCAGCTAAGCTCTTTCGGTTAGAACTCCACCTGTGGACCTACCAACTGTAGAGAGTCCGACGTTTTGTGTCCCCAGAGAAAGAAGATCAACTTAATTGTCGAATTTTATGTTTGGCTCCATTGAGGTCCGACAAAATATCCCCTGCAGTCCCTATTGTTCAATCTAGGGTCTTGGCACAAGTTCCTAGTAAAATAACAAAGTATTAGAAATTATTAGACGAAACTTACTTTGTTATCCTCTGCCCAAAGCATGTGCATGGTGAACATGTCAGCGTGGAAAGCCCAAATGTAACATGGTACACCTGATATGGGCATGTTTTTCAAAACGGGACGTGCATCAGAAAACACCACATCCAGAAAACAGAAGACATAGCAGATATACATGTGTATGTGTGTGTGTGTAGATATACATGTTTTTCAAAACATGTGCACAACACATCAACATTGTGTATACTGAATGACATGTAATTACGCACCAAATGATTATAAAATATAAACCCTATAACAATCAATCTCACACAATAAACATATGTGCATGACTGGGTTGGTGGTTCGGGACCCACTTGCCATTTGTCCACTTGATTTGATCTTGACAAAGAATAGCCAGCCCAAGTTTGTAACTATCTGTGTGTACTCCTCTGCTCACCTGCTCTTCAGAGCCTGGAGGCTTTCAGGTGGCATTTGACCTCTTGTTCATAAATAAGCATTAAGACTACCAATGAAAAGAAGCTCCTCTGTCAACCTCTCCTAGGAAAAGAATTGGATCAAAGCTCTCAAGTGTTCTAAACAAGATCATAAGATGAAGGTAAGAAAAGCCTATTCTCTTATTATCCTTTAGATAAGCTAAAACTGTTTCAACTAATCTATAAGTTGATCTTGCATCCCCATGTTGCAGTTACTAGGTTGGATGCATCGTAAGTTTCGGCAGAATAGCAACGAGCCATTTAAAGTTTTTGTCATTGGTAAGTCGTGTGGTGCCTTATGCCTTTCTCCTATGCATTCCTGTATAACTGCAGTTTACCAAAATAATGGCAGAAAACATCATTATGGGTTCTAATGATGCACAGCAAGTTTGTGAATCAACCAGATAAATCGTTTCATTCCTGAAAGACGGTACAGGATGCAACTAAGACTTTGTCTGCCTAATAAAAGAAATTAGTCTGAACAAGGATTTTGTGAAATACAATAGTTTCCCCATTGCATGGTTTTTTAGACTAGAACAGAACAGCCCCAAAATAAATCACATGAAGTACATATGCGTAACAGCTTGGGAACCAAAAGACTAATATGTACTTAGAAATCATAAGATCATTATTAGAGACAGAGAGGTTTGTACCGATATGCAGTGGGAGAATCTCTGCTCTTGCTCAATCTGAGTCTCATCCAAGTTTACATTTTCTTCTTTGTGTCAGAGAATTCTTGTGCTTGTCTTTCAGGGCAGCCATCTCTAGATGATCAACAATGCTATCCTAAGCCAAACTGTGGCACAAAGCCCTTTAAACAAACCCAGAGAGACCAGCACCTTCGGAAGTCTTTCAACGGTCTAGAGGCAGCCAGGGCAGAAGAAGAATACTATGAAGATGAATCATCTGCTGCAGCATCTGAGCTCTTCCATGGCTTCCTTGCAATTGGTACCCTTGGCTCAGAGCAAGTCATCACGGAACCATCAACTCCAACACTTGCCATCTCTGTGGAGAACATAACTGAAAAAGAGACTGAGGTCACAGAGAATGAATTGAAGCTCATCAATGATGAATTGGAGAAAGTGCTGGCAGCTGATTCAGCTAAAGATGAGATTTGCAATGATTCATCTGGAAGAAACAGCCATGTTAGCAATGGAAGAAGTAGCCATGGTAGCACCATCACACTAAGTGGCAAGACACTGGAAGGCTCAGAGAGCAATGGGATTAATGGAACCACAGTGTGCCCACTCCAGGGATATCTTTTTGGGTCAGCATATGAATTGTCAGAAACAACAACAGTGGCCAAGAAGGAACACAGGACATCTCTTGGCGAGCTGTTTCAGAGGACTAAATTGGCAGAGGAGATTTCTGGACCGAAATCGGCCAAGGAGGAGAAGCGAGCAGAGAAGGAAGCTGAAAAGTCTGCCATGCACTTGATGAAAAAGAAGCTCAAGAAAAAAATGCTTTATGCTTCTTCTCGCAGCTCTGGTGGACCTGCAGATCCTTCCTCAGCAGAAACAAAACTGAATAAGGTACCTCTAATCAAACATTGTGCATGCATTTCAGACTTTTCACATCAAAAGAGTAATGTGAACTGAATTAGACCATATAGTCCTGGCTCATGGCTATGGTGTGTGTGTGGCTTGCAGATCCTTCACATGTTCCACAGAAAAGTTCACCCTGAAACCTCATCTGCTGAGCAAAAAACTGGTAAGTACCATAAGAACGAAAACAAGAAGAAAACAAGCAATGATGGGGCTTACAACAGTGGAGATCAGGTGCTCCCAGATGAAGACATCATGCTATATCCTGAACGAGGCTTCTCCTTGAAGCAGAGCATGCGGCGCTACAAGAGTCAATCAAACCCACCGCAATTCGCGCTTAGCAGCATTGATTCAAATGAGAACAGGGAGCACTGGATCAAAACAGATGCAGACTGTAAGTAGACTCTGCACTAAGCTCTTAATGTAGTATTTGGTGCCTCAATGCCTTTACTTAACAATGAACACTAAAATGAATCAAGTATTACATTAACTGTGAATCAAAGTTTTGCCTATTCTTTAGACCATCCTAATTCTTGTGTTGTGTTGTGTTTGCTGTAGACTTAGTCTTGGAGCTGTGAAAGGTGAAAGAAAGAAGATGGCTTTCCAGTTGGGTTTTCAAATTAATTTGTGAAGCTTGATCAGTAAGAAAGAAGTGATTATAGTTACTGTTTGTAAGAGTGAGAATTTACTTTGTTGGTGTTACTTGGTAGTGTTGGCATTTGCCAATAATGATCAAATTAAAGAGCATTTGAAGAAGAGATAAATAAAAAGAGGCGCTCAGTCCTCTTATAAATCTATCTGATTGGTGAATGTAAAATATGTAAGATCGTGTACTTTGGCTGGTCATCGTATTTCAACAATTATCAGAAATTTTGAAATATATTTTTATACATCCTTTTATTATCATCATCTTCATCATAAAATAAACAGAAATATATGCTGATAAACGATGACTTTAATTTAAAGCTGTTACCAGACTTGTTTTATCATCATCTTTCTAGACTTGTATCAAGTTGATTAGGCACAATCTGATATTAATCCCAACTTCAATTGGGACTTGAATTTTCTATTTGCTTAACCCAAACTCGAGATAAAACTCAGCTCAAACAAGTTGAACCCAATAGACCAAGACTTCAAGCAAACACCTGAACTCAACTTGGATTCGAACTCCTATGGCACCTTAGACAATCGCTTGTATTTTTATTTTTATTTTTAAAAACTCAGCTAGGGTTGATATCTGGCACTTGGTCCTATAATATTTGGGAGCAGCATTTTCCTTTTCTTATGAATTACCGCTACAAAGTAGAAAATTTATCCTAACTAATAATTGCAATGGACAGGATTGAAGTAGGTTTAAAAGAAACATAACCTATAAAAGCAGTTAACAATTGTGGAGGCTCCGCAAGGGGGCAGTTGATTGAATTATAAAATAAAAAGTTGTGAATGAGCAGCAAATGATCACAAAATACACGTATATATCGTGGATTTAGACAATGAATCCTTAATCAAACCCGAGGCAAGAACATCAAGTAATATTGGAGAAAATCAACGAATGGATTTTCATTTTTCTTTTAACTTGTGGTCTTTTCAAAAACAACATTTTTCTTACAACTTGACCAAAGAATTCTATGAGAAACAATTTGGAGAGCGCCACTAGAATGCACCGTCCATGTAATTTACCAACAGCTCCTGAACCGTACCTCTATCTGGCATCCTCCCCGCAGCACCATAAATGGGAGCGAGCCCTCCGCTTATAGGACCCGGATTTTCTTTAACCTGAATGATGTCACGTCACAGTTAATAAAAATACACATAAATGGTTTTTGGTACACAGTAAAGGGATGTAATCAAATGGTAAATATGGTCTGGTATTTTGCTAAGTTCAAAATCAACTTACAGTTTTCACAGATTCCGTTAGATCCCTGAGAAAGTCATCAATAATTGGTACGTGTTGAAGCGTCACGCAGATATGAATGCTGAGTCAAGCATAATAAACAACACAAATAAGTTTCATGCGCATGAATTTGTGAACTAATCATGAAGACAGCAACTGAGCACAAGCCATTTCTGTCATTCACTAAAACAGAATACCTTCCCACAAAAATCATCCATCCAATTCATATTGAAAGCCTCCCCTTATTTGACACTCCATAATAGTAAATTAGACAATCTACTTGTCACTAGTGGTGGATACTTTTTGACATGGGAAAAAGAAAGGAGGCTATAGCCTACCATGACTTTGTGCATAACTTTTTTTATTTTATAAGAAGACGTATGTGCACATGCAGCCACGCAAACAAACACACAATAGCCTACCTGTTGGGTCTTTGCAATGCATTCAAATGCCAGCCTTTAGATGACATGATATCATTTACTTCAAATATGTCAACAACATTAGATCCCAATGCCACAACTGTCATGTCTGGCCTTCCAATGACAAACAACTCGGGAATTTCCTCTATCCTGCACACAAAGATTATCAAAAGATCAATACCCCTGTTTCCAATCCCCAAAGTAAAACAAAAATAACCAAACAAATAAGACACCCTTTTCAGACAGAGAAAAAGAAAAGAAGAGAAAACAACACCCTTTCTGAAGTCTTTTTGATACTTCCATGATCTTTTTTGTGTTTTCCAAGTACCCTACAGAATGTTGGAATGTAATGGAACATAATCAGCCACAAGCCAAGAATTTGATGAAAATATTTGGATTAGTAGAAACATCGGGCCAATACGTTCTTACCTTCCTCCCCCAAAGATATCATAGATGCCCAAGCCCCAGCAATTAAACCACCAGGTCTGCTTCCGGCAATGGTTGGAGACACATATAGCCCTCCTGACCACTCGGTAACTGCAAACCATAAAAATTGGCAATGATTATTGCATCAAAATTACATCAGTTCCAGCAACAAGACAGATGAACATTCAGTTGACAGCCTGGATATTCATTTTTTTCTGAGGAAAACTTACCAGCAACAAATTGATGCTGAGATGGAAAATAGAAAGCCATAAACCCGGCATTCCAATGAACCAATATGCAATGAAAAGAAAAGCATATTAGGAAGGCTAAATCCAAATGCAAAGCAATGTTTTCTGAAAGTTTGACCAACATCAATGGATAACCTTTCTGAGGTCATGGTTTCTGTACAGAACTACACTTGTTCCTTTAGGAGCCAACCCATATTTATGCACATCCGCTGATATTGACGTCACTCCTTTCACTGAAAAATCAAAGGGTGGAATTGGATACCTGAAAACAAACAGTTGAGAAAGATAAGTTAATAATAAGAAATTATAATTTCCAAAAAAGAACACCCATCTAATTTCAGGATACACATATATATATATATATATATATATATATATCCAAAAAGATGACATATGGACATGTGTATGGAAACTGTAACACCTACCAACTATTTTATACCATAAACTCTCTAATATCAAATTCTAAAAACAATAACCATCTAATATCAATTAAAATTACCGAAGTGCCAACCTATACAAAGTAGTTACAGCTACCAATAGCTCTAAATTGTAAAACCAAGAGAATAAACTACGATTATCATGTGCAACACTAAACTCAACACATTTGCTTAATCACCATACGGTAAAAGAAAATTGACCAATCTAATGTGGTTAGCAAATTTCAAATTCATCAAGTTAACACCATGGTACCTTCAAGGCTGCAACTCATTAACTTTTGGAACACAAGAAGTTTAAAAGACTTGTAAAGTAGAGGACCATACTCCCAACAGTAAGACATCTACATGGTAAACAATAAAATCAATTGCCAAAATTAGAACCAACTTTTGCTAGCAGAACCAACCCAGACATACCCAAGCTTATTAGCGAAAGGTAATACGAAGCCGCCAAGACAAAGGTCAACATGGAGACAAATGTCGAAGCTTGAAGCCAATTGACCAAGCTCCTGTACAAGAAGTTCCCGTATATTCTCAGTTCAAGGTTCTTAAGATAAGAGAACATCACTAAAGCTAAGATCACGTCATCTTCCAAAAATTTATCCATAAAAACCACCTATAAAAAAATACCTCAATCGGATCAACAATGCCATGAGGGAAACCAGGTGCAGATCCAACAATCTGCAGCATCACAAAAGTATAGGTCAGTTTAACTGGCAAACAGAGAACTTGAAGTTATGAAAATCACCCATGTTGCACAATGGGTTAAATGGAGATTTTTTTTTTTCCTTTTTCTCTTGAGCTAATGAGAATAACAAAATTTTAATAGAATATATTATCAGAGATACAGGGGAAAATATGAAAGGAGCAAAATCAATACATTAATTGCATACCAAAATGGTGTTTCTATTAATGTATCTTCTAATTGCTTTGACGTCTGCTTGAAATTCTTTATTTACAGGGACGCGCCAGAGCTTGATGTTAAAATATTGTGCAGCCTTGTCGTATGCTGAGTGAGCAGATTCAGGTATTATCCTGCGCTTGAAAATAAAATAGGTTGCATTAATACTCTCCATCCTACAACAGTTAGTATTGATAAGTGTAACATGACATACATTTCAGGCTTTTTAATCCCCTTCGTGGTTTTCATATAATCTCGTGATGATTTCACAGCTAATAATATACTTTCAGTTCCTCCTGATGTCATGTTTCCACATATTTGTCCTCCAGAAGACTTCTTTTTACTTCCAAGCATTGCAGCAGTCATTGCAACCACTTCTGCTTCAAACCGTACCACACTCTGGAATACATCCATATGCAATGGATTGGTATGTGCAAACCTGAAAGCCAAATCCAAGCAAGTTCAAACAATACGTAAAACATGAATACATGGGAAGGGGTGGAGATTGGAGAGGAAGTGATCTTATCAGATATAATAAATATGGTACCCTAGCTATAAAGCAAAGAACTGTAACAGGCAATCTTGTCTTGGACACACATAACCCCAATGGTGTCAATGTAAACAATGTACCTGATTAAAACTTAGACATCTAAGAAGTTGAATCATAAAGCCAGTGCAAACTCAATGCTTATACGAAAATCACCAATTCACCCACCCTTCTGATGTTTCAGTACTACAATTTTTTTTTCTTTTTAGGCAGGGGTGGAGGGGATGCAAAGGAGTTTGGCATTCACTTGTTTGTGAAAACCCGGCACAAGTGTAGAATTTATCAGGACACATTAAATGTAGAACCCTGTAATTATTTTTCAGTGGTATATCCTATAAATATATATGGGGTATGGGTGTTTCTGCACCCCAAGTTCTAAGCAAAATAAGTTTAACACCCTAATAAGAATAGCAATAAGAAAAAGGCTATTCACAGATGTAAAAAAAAATCTTACTTACATTGAGCATGCCTCGTTAATTAAAGAAAAATGTCCTTCACACTCACTTCCTCCAATGTAGCTGCAAACACGAACCAAGAAACAACCAGGCTCAAGCACAGAAATAGATACAATCTAACACACACATGAGTGTGTTTCGCTTGTGCATGACAAAGATACAGAAGATCCCTCAACAAAGACTCAAGCCGTCAATCACATAGACTTCCCCATGCAATTAATGGCCTGTGGTCATCCATGATATTCAGGATGTCT